AAATATGAGAAAAGGAAAGCAACAGCAAAAGCAAAAGAAAGGGGAAGGAAAAACGAAAAGAAGATTAATGTGTTGTCCTGTTCAATGACGGATGAGAACACAACGTCGCGGTATTGCTTTTTATTTTACAAGTCTTAGGAGCCTTACCTTTCGCCGAAGAAAAAAAGACAGTATGTATCTAGGCGCCTTTGAAAAATTGAAGCTTTTACGGTAGGAAGGATTACGGTGGTAAACGAGCTGCGTCCGTCGGCACTTGTTGGTAGAGAGGCGGCGTCCAAGATCCAGATCGATCACCGCATGACCCGAGTATGCCTCGAGTAATTTGATTGCTCCAGCCAGTTTTTCGCAAACAAATGACGTCGATAGGCGCATCATGATTGATTGATCGATTGCTTAAGCCTCTTTTAAGTCCTAATTGCACCACCAGATTAGTGATTTGCTTTTCGATGGTTGCAGCTGCTTATGAAGCTGACACTTTGTTTCTGGGTAAGGTGATAAGAGAGAGACATTTGATATTTTGTACCTTGCATTCGTCTCAAGGGCTGTCCCGGAACATCTTAAGATGCGCCAGGCGCCAGGTGCCAGAAAGCGGCAATGTTCTCGTGGTAGACTGCGTCATAGTTCTCTCCTATCCAGTCTGAGATGAGAATTTCAGATAAACAAACATGGACTTACGCTCTTCGTAACCGTAAATTCTTTCGAGGCGCAATGTCGGTGCGGTGGCGGCGGCGAGAGCTGAGAGTTGAGTTGAGATGGATGAGTCGTTGGAAAGGAATGTTTTGCGTGTAACCGAATGACGTCATGATGGGCATTTTCAGGTAAGCCTTGGCAATATCAGGATTCGGACCTCTTCGCAGATTAAAAGGGACGAGACATTTCTTTTTATGGGGAAATGTTAGCTTTACAACGCCTTATCACGAGTGTTTTCGCACTTTGGCGCCTTAAGTGCAAGCCCAATATTGGCTTCGCACGCGCGGGGCGTCTCGGCTTAAAAGTTAAAACCGCGTGCATCCACATAGATAATATGGACCCTTAAACTGCCATCTCCTTCTAAAAAACTTTTCTGATGAACAATCAATCTACCTTGATGGCCATTATACAGAGATGTTTCCCAGTATCTATCGATTACTGATCTCAGGACCAAGATGACTGACAAAGCTAGAATACGAATCCCTGAGTATACAAGGAATCTTGTCGCTGCATCGTTATTGCGATCATTTCCCTCCACAGACAAAGATCAACACGCGATACAATTTTCTAGACCGATTCAGGCTCGCCGGGTGTCTATAGGGGTATGATGTGCACCTGTACAGAAGATTTTCCTTCCTGCCGCTACAACAACCTCTAGTAGGAGAGTATCGGAAACAAGGGTTTAATCCAACTAAAACTACATACAAGCATGCCCGAACTTTTATTGGCTGGTAGTTTAGGGAGCATAGCCAGTGATAATGCTGGTCAATAAACGTCGGTATCCTAGCATAGCGCTTGAGAGCCTTGGCAGTCGATTGAGAATGATATATTACGAAAACGATGAGGAAACAGCTACCTTCAGAAAGAATTTGTGCCATTGCAACGTCAACATCAGTAGAATAGGGAGCATCTCTCTCGCTGACGCTGTTCAAGACTTTAATCACGTGACGGTGTTTAGCCATATGTATGTGGGTACAGTGTCAATGACGGGACGACTTCTCGGATTCTCACAAGCTAGATTCGCGTTCATCGCCATAGGACCATCTAAGTGTCCAGGAACTGCTTAATAATTCTTTACGGTATCATCTAATCTTCTCTCCTTCTTGAGAACTAACGACTAGGTACTCATCCAAACAATCGCGTCCGAACCAATTGCGCAAGCTGTCCCTAACTAGCCTTACGTCTGCATAAATAAGGGATTACGTGGCCTTGAGCTAAACGATAGGCTCCCATTCTGATTTATCTCGGAGCGGTGTCACACTTTCCTCCACACTGTTTAGAAAGGTCCGGAGGCCGGCGTCATCCAACCCAATATCCACGTGAGAATTGCAGCCAATTCCACTCCCTATAGTAATATAAATACAATAGAGATTTATCAGTAATCTAGGAGGTAAGACCTTTTAAGTTCATTATTTCATAACTATTCCTCAATATACTAAGACTTATGTATTCTACATAGAATTACTCATGCGTGAATTGAGTCCTGACAATTCGTGGTGGCAACGACCTCACGAAATTTCTCAGGACTTACTTAATTAGCGCGCGAGTACTACAGGTAATAACGTTTACTGACTTTATTATTGTACCCAGGAGGATTATGAATGGATGTATCCTTGATGCAGGGCCCTTACCTTGGATTGAGTTCCCCTGCGATTAAGCAGATACATATATCGAACCCTTTGCAGCTCTATATTGGGGTCTACACCATTAAGAGATCTGTAGTCTTACTTACGGATTTATTTGTCAACAGCTACATAGTCAAGAGCGATTATTTGATACAAGATTAATACGGAATATCATATACGAATTACATAGAAGTATATCTCCACAAACGCAAGTATTTTACGAATTAAGCTAGTCCATGCAGGTCACAGGATGGCAAGAAAGCTCCCCGTATTCGCGTATGTACTGAGGTGTCCAACATGTACAACGACTAATAAGAATTTCCAATACAGCCAGGCCAATTACAAGACAAAATCGTGATTATGGGATCAACTAAGGGCTCCTCTAGATTTGGAATCAGCCGGAATTGATCCTGAACATTGGGAGATATGAAAACAGATCTAGAACAGCCCAGCAAAATCCCCGGGCTCTAGTTATACCTCACGGAAAAACTCGCGCGGGATAATTGCCGAAGGGACCAAACAGGATTCCGCTTCTTAGGGGAGAGATAGGTGAGTATTGAAGTTGAATTTACGCACGTTTATGCACGCCTCTATCCTGCTGCTTGCAGAGTCTCGGGAGTCTCATAAGTTTTTCATACTGGATAATGGGAGTGGTTGTTGGCGGAAGTGACAGATTACGGGATGACGACGATAACGCCCGTAGGAAAAAAAAGCTTAAGTGGTTAACATCCCAATAACTGGCCCCATGACCCATTTTCATTCTGACATACATGCAAGAATGCAGGGTACCTACATGTGGAGTAGGTTATTGAGCACTCTACTCTACTTACACTCTCCCGCATGCGACTGGTCGAGTGCATTGGACATTGCGCGCATGGATCGAGTAAATCACTATCACCGGGTTCTCTCACGGTTGTATGCATGCAACACCTCGACTCGCTACCGCACACCTCAAATCTTGGACGTCGAAGGTGAAACTTCAGACGGAATGACGAGGTTCGATGGGAGCGGGTTGTGGGGGTTATGTCCCGCCTACTACATGTGGAGGTATGTAGGGTACCGCCCCGCGCTCACAGGGTTATGCATTGGTAGTACCCGGCCGTGGAGGTGGAGACATTTTCTGCTTGTAAATTCCGACCGGGAGCCCGAATCGATCTCGATCGTGTACTTTTCGAAAAGGTTTTGGACGGCCATAGCACTTCTGTTCTTTTCTTTTCACGATAGGATCAGAATCTTACTACACAGGCAAACTCACGCCAAGAAGACCTTTCGGGTTCCAAGATTTTAACACGCAGAAAAGCCGCAATTGCAATTCTCACCGTATCGCATCCGCATAGATATAATCAAATCAATGTTGCCTCTGTCACTTTGGGTGTGTGATGAGGTGTCGATCGAAAAAAGAGATATTCACGATACAACCGGTGGGCGGCGAAACATAAGGAAGGACCCCAGGAATTGGAAACAAGTGAGGGCTCCCCCGGCTCTTTATCAAATCAACCGGAAAATTGCGTATGTGGTGTAGAATCATATGTGATAGGATAATAAGTCACACCGGGTCTGTCCCGGGTACTGGGTGCGTGATGCGTGATGCATATGCAGCCACATCGATGAAAATTTTGACAGGAATTATGGTGGGAGCTTCTAGACTTGGTGAGCAGTTGAGGGCGCCAAGCCCGACGATATCCTTCAACACAATATCTACCTACACATACGATAGAATCTCAGCTCATAAAGGATCCGGACCTGCAGAGCCATTTCGGGATATAAGCCCCCTGGACCTTTAGAGCATGGATCCCTCGAAGGACAAATCGCTTGGGTCGTGTTACGGAGGCTGCGGTATACTTAACTCGGAAGCCATTAATATTTGGAGTGTAATCAAAACTCTGCAGTCATGCATCATCACTCGCTATCGCCAAGGCTCCCTAAAAGGCCTAGTCTCATCTATGGCTGGTTGATTGATTATTACTTCATTAGAGGCTTTCAGTTGATCCCTGTTTTCCATTTTCAAAGTGAAAAGGAAACTCCTGCAGCCAAGAGTCTGTCCGAAGTGCATTGAACTATCGACAAACAGAGCATCCTGCAGGTGTAGACTGAGAAATACTCGAGAACGGAATATTTAGCATTAAGTATTCATCAGAAAGTGACATGTCAGCTGCAGAAGCTGACGCAACTTTAGCTGCATGAGTTTTCCTTTCACTTTGAAAATAAAAATTCGGGTCAACTGAAAGCCTCTATTCTCATCTACGGCTACAGGAAACAGTGAAAACTAAGTACCCCTGCAGAGATCTCGAGATATCCTGTAAGTGCGGTCATCTTTTTGAGGGGTACATACATGTATGTATCATGTGTATGTATGTGCACCATCTTCCAATATGAAAAATGGGGGTCAAACATAACATGCATCATAGAAGTGCATATCAGAGCTAATCCCTCCACGATATATTTGCAAACCGGCGAATCAATTGATCAACCGATCACAGTGGAAGGCCTATACTAACGTGGGACCTTCTATGAACGGATCCTACTATAGGTGAAGGTCCTATAAAACGGTTGAGGCTCTTAGACGCTGTAGAGTAAATTGATCCAATTACCGTACCAATCACAATTAACCCCCACTGGAGATCTTCGGTGTCTTATTTCATTACAGCCTAAGCACCTCCCTATTCTACTAGGATCCCATGAATATCATTCCCCTGGCGCAGCTGCCACCTCTGAGATCAGGTTAAGATATTCCCTTCCATGTATACTATTTTTAGGTTTGGTTAATCAACCTCATTAGCTACAGTGTTAAACTAGGACCTACCTCGCTATGGTCGCCTTTATAATAACCTATGGAGTGGAATCGAGTTCAGATATCATTGCTAAAGCTTAATTTTGAGGTGTATCTGCAGCAAATTCTGGCATTAAATCATTATAAACTACCAGGCGAATTACACATATATAAAATCACCTAGGTCTAGGTGCAAATACCTTTAGGAAAAAAATGATGGAAATGCTGGCCATGTTGCTAACCAGCCCAAGCTGACTGTTTGACTCTTTTACTCCTGCTAGGCTAAAGGCTCGATCGAGGGGGTGGAGGTCCTTTGCTCACCTGTCTAGGGAGGTTGGTCTAAGCTGGGTCAGGATAAAGCTGGGGAATGAACTTGCTAGCCCCCCTTGTACTAGGAAAAGAAGCGCTAGAAGACGGGAATCCAACGATGTAATGTTTGAGCTGAAACACAAAATTTCCTTCTACCATGGGTGTTATGGAAGCGATGAGGGAGTTAATTTTTTGGCGTTATGTAAAGCGAAGCTCAATTGATCAAGGCAGGGCGGTGAACCTGGAAATTAAACATAAATTATGCTGCAGGTTTAAATCAAACCCGTTGTCGGATAGTACTGCAGTATACGTGTTTCTAGGCATTTTTCCCCGTTTCCGGTATGCGTGAAAGGCTTGTCTTTTATGCTTCCTAATAAGTCCATAATCATCCCATAGGGGTACCTGAACGTTGGATGTAGAGTCGCGGCCTTTTTTATATGGCAGTCCTGCCTGGGTTTTTATGGGGTACCTATAGTATATACACCATCGGCCGATGAATTCTCAGGGGTATCCAAGTTTTGATACAGGTTTGCGTCATGCAGAAGATCATCGAGTTGAAGATCTTATTTCCGTGGATTCCCTTTTTCGGAAGGAAAAAGAGTTACAACCGGCTGTGATCACAAACGCTCACTCGAAATCAGGTCTCCATTGACGCGTTAATGAAGATCAAAATTTTACCGCCCGCTTCTTAGCCGATGCATCAACCCGTAAGAGGTGAGGTGCCTTGGGCCCTTCAAAGTCAACCCCAACCACAACGTTTTCTTTTGAAATTTTGCGGGGAATAGAAGGCACGGAATTTAATTCCGAACCCTCCCCTGCCTGTTTGGTCTGTGCTACCAGACACGTGGGATTCCTAAGCGAGGCGGTGGAGCAGCTGTAGCTGTATGTAGCTTTCGTCTAGAAACGCACCACACGTCAGACAGACAGACTTACATAGAGGTGCTTGCAGCTCAAACTTCCTCAGGTTTGGACGTGTAGGTAGAGCACAACAGGATAGGTAGAGAGCTGTCGGCCAGTTGATGCGTTAGAAATAGGGCAGTAAAGAAATCCCTAGGAGGCAGACAGGCATGATACTTGGCAGGGAAGAACAATCTGCCTAAACCTTATCTATCTATAGCGCGGGGAAGAGTGTTTGCAGGGTTAATATCCAGATCTTCAATATAAACCAATGCAATGACGTACCGGCCATTTAAGAAACCCTTTGTTCAATCAGTCAACGGTTATTTCCTGATAGCCCTCCTACATACCGTATATTCCGCGCGTGTCAGGAGTGCAGGTATGGTGCGAGAGGCCTTGGGGGGCGACCTTGTAATCCCTGTTCACACCAGTTCAGTATTGTAGCCCTTACAGCCATAAAGTCGAGTTAAAGGTGAGGCTCTTCAATGTTTGCTTCCCGGAGCCAATGAAAGAATTGACTGGGCTGGTGTGTACAGGGTTGACAAGTTCGCCCTCTACTCCCTCTTGCACCATAGCACCCCACACCAGCTCGCATTGGGAGTGAATTGCCTTTGAGACTGAAACTGGGTCGGACCGTTCATCAGGCAGGTCGTCAAAGGGATCTGGATACCATGCACCCATAGAGTAGAGTACCATACCGCCGGATGTTATATCCGCCAAATCTGGTCGATCTGCTCTGCAGCCTCCTTCTGACATGGGTTCTGGGCCTGGCTAAGCGAAATAGAACTTCCAGGTCGGCCTTCAAAACTGATGTGCCTGTGGGTCACAGCGTGCCCTGATCACTGAAACAGGTCTCATCAGAGTATACTAGTATGTAAGAGACTTTCGGAGGAGAACAGATTAGAGAGTCGTTAACACTAAAAATACCTAAGACTCTGGTGCATGTAGGATGCGTATCGTATATCACTTTTTGAATGCCGTACTTAGGAATACGCCGTTAAATACTTAGAATACCAGTCCTTAGAATTATTCTCTACGAGTATTCCTCATACCATGCAGGCCAAGGTCCCTCTATATGGCCTAATGCATGCAGGGCGGTCTTGGGTTTAGTGTTAACACCTCTCACGGTCGTTGGCAAAAAAGACTCTACTAGTATTTCGCTGACGTTTTTGAACTGGGCCATTATTGCATACACCCAAAATCATGAGCTTGGCGTATTTTTGTATGGCATGCAATATCAGTCGCGTCCACAAACGTCAGAGAAATACGAGTATTAGAGTCTTTTAGCTGCGCGAGTTGAACCGAAAGTCGAGCAGGTTGGACAGAAAGTCTAGCTGTTTTCGGAAGAGACTTGCAGTCGTTCAACCAACAAGATGTGCAGGACTTTTTGTCGAAGTGCTCGACTTTCTGTCCAACTATTGCAGCCAAAAGACTCTATTGACCGGTGAGCTATTAGAGACAAGGAAGAACCTGGGTCTTCATAAAACAGAGGGCACTTAAGGTACCGATTCACAGCCAGCGAGATGTCTTGTCTTTGGCCTGACCTATAAGCTGGCCCTCTACCCATGCGTAGTTACACGTCACGCTATGCCAAACCATCAAGGTATGATACATCCGTCCAGGACGAGAACGCACTCTATTCCGAAACGTAGTGTATCCTATGTATCGTATACAGGTCACAGAATCTATTTTAGATCCTTTACTCAGTGCAAATACCGCCATAACTCGATAAATTGGATAGCTTCCAGAGATCAAAATTACTTGTGTGGGGAGCTTCTGATGCAGATCGATGCTATTCAACCAATCACTCGAACAATAATCCCTGGCCGGAGATAGCCAATTTTTCGAGAAATCTTGCATGAGGCACCGCACTCAGATGTATGCAGGCCGAGTCTAGCTCGGTGACATCAATATGGCTCACGAGTAGAGTACTAGGTAGAGTACGTGGGTATATATGGATCTCATTATTGCCCCACTGTGCCCCATATTTTGAAAACCGGGTCCGTTCCCGTTCCTGTTACGATTGCCAGAAACGACTCTGCTGTGCTCTGTCAATGTCGTAAATTTCCACTGTTTTTGAATACGTTTGCCACGGAAGGATAATGGTGCGGAGGAATGCGGGAATTGGGTCTTCATATTCTTCGAGGCCGTGAGAATATGCCGATAAGCACTTGGGTTCTTTCCGGACGCCTGATCATAAGTCAATTGAACACAAACTGCCGTACCCCTGACCTAGTCTATTCACCTACGAAATATCGACGAAATATAGAGTGAAATATATTGGCTGCGTTGGATATGTACGTACTCTAGAGCCATATGCTCTAGTCTGGGGTCTCGTACATGATCCACTGTTTAAAGCGTGAAGGAGTCTAGTAATCACTAGTGTATGTAGTTTGAGTGCCGGAGCAAACTAGAGCATCCAATTATCCAATCAGACGAGCGTTCTTTGTACCACGACAGGCATCCGCCCGATTTTAGTTTATGAAGTTACAGAAGTATGATGTATTGGCCTTGATTAATAACGCACTAGTGTTACACAACACCACGGTTACAGGTGGTGTTGGGCGAGTAGTAATTTTTAACTAAAGCAGCTAGTCTTCCTGGATCCATCATGATCAGGTGTAGAGTAGTGCTACAGCTAGATGCATCTACAGTATAACCCCTACCAAAGTACATGTAGGTGGGATGGGCGCGGGATAGCATTTGCTGTTTCTGATCCAGAACCAGTACTAGGATATCTTAGCGTCATTATGGCGCATGGCATCGAGTGATAATTTGTGATTAGAAATTAAGAACACTAGCATTGATTGCAATTGATTGATAATTCATTTATTGTTTCAAGAATACAGAGTATATGACTCTTAATATTTAAGTAAATATGTAATTAATTAGATGATAATGAATAATATCATGACTCGGGGTAATTTTTCAAACGCATTGAATATACACATGGATAGGTTGAGCGGGCAACCTGCATAGGACTTGAGAGTAATCAAATAACATAATACCATATATATTAAAGTAGATACAAGCTATATGTCACTTCTTATGGACAGCAGAAACCTTTCATACAACCTTATAAGTTCGGACGATTGGAGTTAACTTGCTCCGAGGTAGATGAAGAACTGTAGCAGGTTTTCATTTCAAGAAACCCGAGGACTAAGTAAACCCACTGTCAACGTCTCCTTGTGACATTTGACATAATGAACCTATAAAAATATAACTAAATAGTTCAAGAAATGGTACTCGCAATCTTTTTGTTAATAGGATTTATAGAAGATGTCATACGGGTGAAAGTTAGTGTGTATTTCCGCGAGCTGAAAATACACATCGTGTTGACTCACTAATTGTGTAATCCACTGCATCGTGTGGGAGTTGAGTTTGAGAAGAGATATCCTAGACTGTGTAATGGGCAAGCCTGATGGCATAAGTTTCTTGGCATAGAGATGTCTTCTCCCTGGCATGTCCATCTCTTCGAAGAAAGAGTAAAGTCATGGTTTACAGATTCCACGCGCTGAAACTCGTGGACTGTGAGGACCCGTTTAGCCTTAACGTAGTTTTTAGCTTGGGCCAAAAGAAAATCTGCTGCTTGATCGTATGTAGACTTCAAGGGATTCTCCTCGATCACTCTTCATTGGATTTATTTCTAAATTTCTTAATATCCCTAAGATGTTCTTAATATATTAATAGGCTCCTGGGAAGCAATGAGAAGAATTACGTGTGGATTCTAAACCCTCAATAGTCGATGGTTCCGATCCTTATACATCCCCTTACTAATATCACTATATCTCTATCCGGCGCCTTTTGACGCTACATCAAATCAGTAGGTGTGTTTATATGTTTAAAGTGGGTCCTAACCAGTCCGCTCCTCCTGTTCTGAAACCTCAAGATTTGCAAACTGGAGTTGTTTCTTTTAAATATTAATATTCACGGCTTGAAAATGGTGTTGATTTCCAATAATCTTCAATCAAAATTCCTAGAAGTCCAGCTCTTGTGATCATAGCTATGGTCATGAGATAACAATAAAAAGGTACATACATTGCGAGTGATTTTCCATGATCCTGATCACTTAATGGTATGAACATGTGACTGCATGTAATAATGTGGACTGATACATAATTACTAGGGGTGTGCCAACTCGCGACCGCGAGTTGTACGTTGAATTATGGGTATCAAATAAAATTTAATTCTCCCTCTACAATCATGAGGGGCCTTCAGCCCCATCCTCCTCCTCTCGTGAGTGCTCAGTACTTTGATGTGCCGTGCTGACTAATCCTACCCTGCACCCAGCAGCCAATCAGACCGTTCCAATGTTAGAAAAATTAGCGACAGTACATTATAGATGATCTAAATGTGATTGATCTCTGAAGTGATAATCAAATTTCTAACTCATAGCCACGGCTGTAGAGCTCACATGCAGTCCATAGCCTATCCTGCTTCATTGCCCTACAAGGATCCAAATTCCGAGTGTTTTTTCTCTTTCAATTTCATCCCAAAGTCAAACTATACAATAAAACCCCTTTCGCATAACACCCATCGATATCGAGGAAGGACAAGGGCACAGGAGGGTAATAGGCAAAAACAAAAAAACCCGGTCACACACCTCACCAAACCTCTTTACAGAGAAGTTTACAAGAGGAAAAAAAAAAGAAACAAGAAAATTTTCAGCTTTTTATCCCAAACACCACTCCCATTTAGTAAACACGCTTAAACGGCGGTACAGCCTTGCATTCCACTGTGGAGGTGTATAAGTTAGTGATTGTCTATCATCTGAATCAAGGCGACGGGGGAAATAGGAGCTTACTCTCGTCTAAAGTCTTGCCAACAACTGCTCTGTACTTCAACTCCACAGGGCCTCTGGGCTCCTTCTGCCATGAAAGCGTGTGCTTCATCCATTGCTCATCATCTCTCTCTGGGTAGTCCTCACGGGCGTGCGCGCCTCTAGACTCCTTCCTTGCCGCAGCTGAGTTAGCAGTCTGCTGGGCGCAGGTAAGTAAGTTATCCAATTCAAGAGCCTCAACAAGATCTGAGTTCCAAATCATGCTACGGTCCTTAATACCAAGCTCCCTGTAGCTCTCATCGACCTTTGCGATCTTCTTGACACCCTCGTCAAGGGACTCCTGGGTACGGAAGACCGATACATCTGCTTGCATAGTCTTCTGCATATCGAGTCTGATCTGGGCTGTGGATTTGGGGCCGTCACTGTTTCGTACGCGGTCAAGGTTGGCAATGGATTCAGCACCGATGTCCGCGCGAACAGGTTTGAGGGGAGTTCCGGGGGTGAGAGTGTCACGGATGGTGTGAGCGACAGCACGGCCGAAGACGATAAGATCGAGAAGGGAGTTGGCACCAAGACGGTTGGCACCGTGAACGGAGACACAGGCAGCTTCACCGCAGGCGAAAAGACCTGGAACAACCTTGTCCTTGCCCTGTTCGTCGATTGTGAGGACTTCTCCAGTGTACCGGGTGGGGATACCACCCATGTTGTAGTGGACAGTCGGGAGAACGGGAATAGGTGATTTGGTGACATCAACACCAGAGAAGATGGAAGCAGTCTCCGAGATACCGGGGAGACGCTCGTGAAGAATTTCTGCGGGAAGGTGGGAGAGCTGGAGGTACAAGTGATCCTTGTCTGGACCGACACCACGACCTTCTCTAATCTCGAGAGTCATTGATCTACTCACGACATCTCTTGATGCAAGGTCCTTGGCAGTGGGAGCATAACGCTCCATAAATCTCTCTCCCTCAGAGTTGAGCAAGTATCCACCCTCCCCACGAGAACCCTCAGTGATCAAACATCCGGCACCGTAGATACCAGTAGGATGGAACTGGACAAACTCCAAGTCCTGGTTGGGGAGACCGGCACGAGCAACCATGGCCATACCATCACCGGTACAGGTGTGCGCGGAGGTACAAGAGAAGTAGGCACGCCCATAACCACCAGTGGCCAAAACAGTCTTGTGAGCGCGGAAGCGGTGAAGAGTACCATCTTCTTGGTTGTAGGCGAGAACACCAACACACTCACCATCCTCCATCAAAAGATCGAGGGCGAAGAACTCGATGAAGTAGTTTGTGTTGTGGCGAAGGGATTGTCCGTACAAAGTGTGGAGTAATGCGTGCCCAGTTCTGTCACATAATTAGAACCTATGGTCGAAACTTTGTCTCCAAATCCAAAATACATACCTGTCAGCAGCAGCGCAGCATCTATAAGCTTGACCGCCCTTTCCATACTTCTTCGACTGACCACCAAAGGCTCTCTGGTAGATCTTACCATCTTCCGTTCTTGACTGTTCAAGTATTAGCCCCGGGGTTCAGAATTCACCGCTGGCCCGCTAACCATCCCCGCATTCCCGTATAAGGATCAGGGCCCAGTGTACTCACGAAAGGACATCCATAGTTCTCCAACTCAATAACACTTGCCGGTGCCTCTCTCGTCATGTAATGAATAGCATCTTGATCTCCTAGCCAGTCACTTCCCTTCACGGTATCATACATGTGCCATCTCCAATCATCCTCGTGCATGTTTCCTAGCGCGGCATTGATACCACCCTGCGCTGCCACAGTGTGAGAACGGGTGGGGAACAGCTTTGATATACAAGCCGTGTTAAATCCAGCCTCTGCGAGTCCAAACGCCGCACGAAGACCAGCGCCTCCCGCACCAACCACAATCGCATCGTACTCATGATCCTGGGAACCAATCAGCCGGTCTCGCTTGGAGTAGATGATGTAGGACGAAAAAGAGCACATACAACTACTGGGTACTTGGAGGAAACATGTGGACTTGCTTCCTTTGCGCGAAGGTGCTGTGATGCGAATATCTTCGCTAATGGACGCAAACATTTCCGTCAGAATACTCACATGCACAAACACCCCGCGGCGGGGTATCAGTTTCAGTTAAGCTTACCAACAGGTTTAGAAGCGTGGAAACTTCTTGTTTGTAGTTTAACACGCGGCGAAATCTACTCATACTGGTCAGCTCCGCCACCGAGGAAATTGGATGTACATGGGCGGGGGAGAACTCACGCGCGAGGAGACAAATCTCCTTAGGGCGAGGGAGCTCATATTGAAGGTATCTAGATATTACGGATTGTGCTATAGCACACGAAGAAGAGGGGAGAGATTGGCAAAGAGGGAAGACAGGTGAAGTGAATGAGAGATGATGATGGAGAGAGAAAGATGTTAGATTCCTGTTCAGTTCAAACCACGGCGGGCAGGCGGCTATCGGAGAAATGGTCTTGGCCATTCCGCTTCCTCGGCAATCTGATTCTCGATGATATTCCATGTCCCGGGACTTGCCTACTAATGACTAAGCGTCCTGGTACACCAATCAGCAATCGCTGTTTACAAAAGTCGTCTGCATACCCCACATCGTCTTGTGTGATCTGCTCTCACCGCCGGTAGGGTACACAAATACTCACATGCTCGCGGGTTTCCCAGTGATAATCACACCCCGCATATGAGAGATCAAGAGTTAAAACAAAAGAGAGAGACAATTGGACATGGATGGTCAATTAACAGATATGGTACAATCAATTCGCCTTCATCAGCGCTCAATCTAATTCCACCCCACCCATCTATAAAATCCATCTAATTGTATTGCATGTAGGTAGCTGTAGAGTTGAATTTGAGATTGCCCTTGATGACCTTCTCAACGGCAGACAAAAAGTCCTTCTCGGTTGCGACCTTTCGTCTCGCACGAATAGCAAACATTCCTTTGTAATAGATTAGCTTCATGAAAATACGAAAGTTATGAGATGGCGACTAACCAGCTTCTGTGCAAACACTTCTCAACTCAGCACCGGTACTGTTCGGACACAATCTGGAAATCAACTCCCATCTGATGTCCCTCTCGACACTCATACTTTTCGCGTGAATTCTCAACACGTTCGCTCTGCCCTCCAAATCAGGCAAGCTAAACTCAACTTTCCTATCGATACGTCCCGGCCTAAGCAACGCCGGATCAAGAGTACTGGGCCTATTGGTAGCAAACATAACTTTAATGTTTCCCCTAGGGTCGAAACCATCTAGTTGAGTAATCAACTCCAACATAGTTCTCTGCACTTCATTGTCGCCTCCAGCACCATCATCAAAACGGGCACCACCGATAGCGTCGACTTCGTCAAAGAAGATGATGCACGCTTTCTTTGTACGTGCCATCTCGAATAACTCACGGACCATACGGGCGCCTTCACCGACATATTTCTGTACAAGCTCAGAACCGATGACACGGATAAAGGTAGCGTCTGTACGATTCGCAACTGCACGAGCACAAAGAGTCTTTCCAGTTCCCGGGGGTCCGTAGAGCAAAATACCCTTCGGAGGATCGATACCGAGATTTACGAACCTCTCTGGAGAAAGAAGTGGGAGCTCGACAACCTCACGGAGCTTCTCAATCTGCTCCTTACAACCACCGACATCACCATAGGTGACATCCGGCTTCTCCTCAACGGTCATCATCGTAACCGAAGGATCGATTCTTGGAGGAAGTGGCAACAAAATCTGATACTTTTGGCGATCCACACTACATATCGCCGTATAGTTAGCACTTTATTACCACCACCATAGTTAACTCTAGATGAATAGACGATCACTTACCCCACCCTCATACCTTCTTCAATATCAGTTGGACTCACTCTCTCCCCCAAGTTAACCACAAACTTTGCAATTTGTTTAACATTGATGACATATTTCGCCTTCTCCGGGTCATCCGCAGACTGAATAATTTTTGTGCACCGAGCGACCTGTAGAGGTTGTTCCTCAGACATACGCTGCTTATCGGCCATGACATCCCATAGATGGGGCGGCGCTAGCCCCGTATCGGATTCCTTTACACCTATTTATCCCCCACTGCCGTCAGTGTTAGGCCCAACAGATACTTGTAAAGAGATCCATACCAATCTTCTCGTTAACCTTAGTTTGTAAATCTTTGATATCCTTTTCGAGCTTCTTCAAAGGCGCCGCATAAGGTGCTGCCCCATAGGTTTTTAGAACTTGAATGTCTCTATAACCCCGTCAGAAACACATTCACGGCCATCACATTATATTTATTCCATCTCATCCCATCTCCTGCGCATCTAAATCTAAAACCTATCTGAAAAGTGATAAAACATACTCTTCTGACAGTGGAATGATCTTCTTCTCTTCCTCCTCATCATCCGCGAACTTCTTCTGGTACTTCTCCCAGTTCTGGCCCGTGGCGCTGGGCATCGTAGTTGTGTATGTGTGCGAGTATCGAGGTAGTTTGGGTTATGGGTATAAGGTAGCTGATGAAGAGGCCGTTAACTGATAAATTTGAGATGGCGAGGTTATGGATGATGAGGGTTGTCGTGGAGAGCTTGGGATGGACGGTTTGGTCTGAGCTCCCGGCACTGACCAATCTAATCTAATCAGCCCCATCTATACATGCGCCAAGCGCGTATTTCTGAGCACGACTGATCGGTATCGGACATACTAGATAGATGTACTTCCCACCACATGTATCAATGGGATTTATCGATAAATCTGGAATTCTATACAATTGAAGGCGCTAGAGATACGCGGGCGGATATATTTATACAGAAATGGGGAATTTGGCTCTTTCCACTACAACAATCACAATAATTGCTGAGAATTTATATATCTACACATTCTGGACGATGTTGAGGGTCCACATTGATGCCTACTCATCGCTATCCGACAAAGCTGGTAGCGCCCCAGGGCCACCAAGAGCATCCACCAAACCTCCATGTGGGAACCTCCTGGGAACGGCAGGTTTATCTGGATAGACACTGTAGACAGCACCACAGAGGCCAAACACAGCGAGTACAAAGGTTCCGATCATGACCATGCCTTTCTGAGGCGTAGTCCAAGTGTACTCCTCGGGAGTGAAACGGCCAAGGATGTCGTCGTCTTCATGAAGCTATGTAGTAGAGAAGATTGATTCAACATTGTGCAGCATTATGGTGGTTCGGGGCAGACTTACTGGTTCCCCGTAGTTGCGGCGACCTTGCTTGTCCCACCAGTCACCGTAAGGGTCTCTGAATTGGCGCTTTTGCGGAATTGGGTTGACGTATCCGCCGTTCTGTGGACGTTAGTTGCTGCGAGTGATGGTGAGAGGAGGGGTCACACCATCTCGGGATCATTGGCTTCGGTGTAAACTGGGGAATTATCGGGTTCCTCGGGAAGCCTCGGGAAACCAGCGCGGAATGACCGTACTCCGATGTATGTAGTAGGGATGGGGCGGGGGAGAATTGGACGGTGGGCAAGTGCCCGGGAAAGAGAAAGCCTTTGGGCAAGCATCTGTGGTGGGGTTTAACGGGGGTATATGTGAGCCTTCCTCAGATCCTTTGTCGCGCGGGGGCGATATTATAGTTCACTCACCTCTTTTGAAGATTGCTTTGATGGAGTGGAGATTATGATAGTACGAATCTGTATGTATTAAGTAAGGATGTGGTTGAGTATGATGTATGCACATTCTACATACCTTTGTTCTCTCTATATGCGGGCAGCACCTACCACGGCTTGATCTGATACCTACAGAAGCTGTGTGGGTTGTTCCACCTTGCCAATACAACCGTCTGCGAAAGTGACGTGTGGGAGGGTCCAGGTGTAAAGTAAATAAGCCCATCCATCCCATTACCCCATTACCCTCCTAAAATAGGAAATTTCGTCCCTCACAATTCCCTCATCAAGACAATCTCTACCCGCAAATCCATATTCACCATACAGCAGCAGAAAATCAGCATAAAAATACCCGCTGATTAAACCAATTGAGAAAAAGAAAAGAAAATATCTAACGTAAAAACGAGCAAGTAAAAAAAAAAAAAAAAAAAAAGGAAATTTCACCACCCAAGCAAAAAAAAGTTGTCGCTTCGTTACCAACCTAATAGTGCCATCAGTCACATCGCTCCCCCATCGCCTCCTCACCACATTCCATCCAATATCTCAGCATACAATACTCTCTGCACCTTCAAACTTCCTACGCGGCGTTTACATACCAGCTGCTTTCCTTGGACACCAAAATATCCCATGTTTTTCCCCATCTCAATCGTCCAGCTCGATTAACTAGCTCCTCCCCACCCCCCCCTCCCCGTCTGTGGATGCGCAGCAACTCGCCAAATCCCCCGGGGGAGTCTGGCTTGCCAGACCTACATCCTCCCCGGGACCCGTCTACGAATTCTTCTGACCTTAGTGCTCCTCCTTCTTCGGAGAACGGCCATACAACGACACCGGACCGGGAGCTGGAGGAGGAGGGTGAGGATGGAGAGGACGAGGAGGGAGGTAGCAGCTCAAACGCGGATATAAAGAAACCTTCTTACAAGAAACGGAAGCTCGATGATTCTCCGCCGTGGAGGAGCGCAACGACTCAGACCCCCACTTCGTTTTTGGACGAGACTGGTAGAAGGAAATCTGGTCGGACAAACCCAATCCCGCTGGAATTTTTGCCTGGACTAGTAAACAAAATCGGTGATGTTACGCGTTCGACTAGGTCCTCGAGAAGACAATCGCAGCAGCCCAAGAAAGATGTAACATTTACTCCAGCTCCAGGTGCCTCTTCTTCCCGTTCAGGGACTTCACGCGCGCGTCCTACATCAACAGGTAAACAACCGGGTACTAATGGCAAACATCACCCAACAACACCGACTCCTTCAAAGTCTTCAAGCCGGGCATCGAAATCAACACCAACAAAAAAACCTCCAGCCCCAAGAGAAGTATCAACCAAAAAGACCTCCTCGAAAAGAGGTCTTGCTCAAAAACCAATTACTACTCCAAAACCAAAACCGAGTCCAGTTCAGGGCACCCGCAAAAGTGCACGAACAGCTTCTAGAACAATTGATGAACCTTCAAAATCCGAAAATCTCTCTGCCGCAAAACTCAATGGCTTCTCCGAGTTCAATTTTGAATCTGATGTTGAGTTTGAAGTTCAACCAGATTTCAAACCTCCAAAAATCAAATTAAAATTTGGAAAGCCAAAACCAGTAATTACCCATCCGTTGCACATTCCGGCTACGAAAGAATTCCCTACCTTCGACGACTTTATCAACCAAGATGACATTTCAAACAACCCTGAAGCTTTGGCTGCTGCTGAAGAAGAAGCCAGAGAGGAGGCTATGATCCGAAATAAGATTGAAGAAAGTGTGAAGAGTGGATTATTGACGGTTGAAAATTGTTCATTGAATCTGCCCGAAAAACAACCGGAGCTACCGCAACAGTATGCTCATTACGACCACCTAGTCGCACATGCGTTGCACTTTCAGAGATTACTGATCAGGGAACGGAAAGATCATGTGGAAATTATGAAGAAGCGGAATGCAATGGTTATGGCAGAAATAAAGAGGAAGAGGCCCTTGACAAGAGAGGAAATCGAGCAGGAGCAGTGGATTGAGAATCGGAAAGGGTACAAGGAACAAATTGGGCAGTTACGAAGGAAGTGGGAAGAAGTGCTGAAGGTATTTCAATTTCCATTTTTTTATTTTCCCTCCAATGTCACGTGCACTAACTATCTAAATAGGAAGTCGAACGCCGAAGACGTGTCCGGGCGGAAGAGGAACAACGGCTAGCCGGAAAGGAGCATCTCAACCAAATGCTTGAGCACTCAACACAACTACTTGAAGCCCGCCGAGGAGACAGACAAACTTCTATAGCCACCCAATCAGGAGGCGAGTCGGAGCTAGGCGAGGAAGATAAAGAAGAATTCGGAGAGGATGATGAAGATGATGACGAAGGAGAGGGTGATAATGTGTCTGAGAACCAAGAGATGGAATTGGCGGATGAGGATAACATGTCTACCAGTGATTCTGAAGAGGACGACGGTGGAGATGATGACGAGAATCTCACTGTTGAAGAACTGAAAGCTAAATACGCTGGCGTAACTGAGAAATCCACATCTAGGCCTACTACTGGCGGGAAAGGGCTCATTAGTCTCTTCCCGGAACTCAGTGGAGAGTCGCCTGCAGATGATGAAGACGAAGCATTGACAACTGATACACCAGGAGCTAACCTTGAAGGTCCGGATAATGATGATCCTTCCGACGAGGAAATGCAAGATATATCGGCGGGTCATACTCTTGAAAAGAATCGGGATGAAAGCTCAGTTACTTTGCCTGAATTAGAAGAGGTTGACCAAATCCTAATGGACGGCAGCGATGAGTCAACTACTATGGATTCAGAAGAAGAATTCGACGAAGAAGATGACGATGATGAAACTGACGATGATGATTCTGATGAAGAATTTGGAACAGGGTTTGGTGGCTTGATGGGCCTTTATGGTGATCTAGTGGCCAAGCCGCAAGGAGAATCTGAAGATGTGATGATGGAAGATGAGATTACAGAGGACATTGTTACGCAGCCGTCAATATCCCAAGGTCTTTCCAGTTCTAACGCCCACCCTGAGGTAAAAGCTACATTTATTGAGAAAGTACCAATGGACGACGCTATGATTGATGATAATGAAATTGAAGAGATCACGCGTGAGGATCTGTCCAATGGTCACCTAGATACCATGGACGCAGAGACTGCGACTTCTATCTCCCAGGCAGACCCAAAAGAAATTGCTCGCCCATCATCGCTCACATCGCCCGAGGCATCGCCCCAGCCAAATCTGGATATCAGAACACCTATTCCATTTCTCCTCCGTGGAACTCTACGTGAATATCAACATTATGGATTGGATTGGCTTGCAGGGTTGTATTCAAATAAAACGAATGGTATATTGGCAGATGAAATGGGTCTTGGGTATGTTCTTACCCTTTAGATGTACTTTTAGTAATAAAACAGTAGCTAACGGTTGCCAATATAGTAAAACTATTCAAACAATCGCACTCCTAGCCCATCTCGCATGCGAAAAAGAAGTTTGGGGTCCCCATCTCATTGTTGTCCCGACATCTGTCATGCTCAACTGGGAGATGGAGTTCAAGAAATGGGCCCCCGGCTTCAAAATCCTTACATATTATGGAAGTCGTGAGCAGAGATTAGAAAAACGCAAGGGGTGGTACGATGATAACCTATGGCATGTTTGCATCACGTCTTACCAGCTCGTTCTTCAGGATCAGGTCACATTCAAACGTCGGAATTGGCACTATTTGATCCTGGATGAAGCTCATAATATTAAGAATTTCAGGTCCCAGCGGTGGCAGACACTGTTGAATTTCAAGGCCGAGGCCAGGCTACTTATCACTGGAACACCGTTGCAAAACAATCTTATTGAGCTGTGGTCGCTTCTATACTTCTTGATGCCTTCTGGGGCCTCGAGTGCTATGCCTGCCGGGTTTGCAAACTTAAAGGAATTTCAGGAGTGGTTCGCACATCCAGTTGATCAGCTTATTGAAGGTGGGAGGGAGGGAATGGATGATGAGGCGAAACGCACGGTTACGAAATTGCACAGGGTTCTTCGGCCGTATCTACTGCGAAGGTTGAAGGCAGATGTAGAGAAGCAGATGCCGGCGAAGTACGAGCATATTGTATATTGCCGGTTATCTAAACGACAAAGATTTCTCTACGAGGAATTCATGTCAATGGCACAGACCCGGGAAACTTTGGTGTCTGGGAATTACCTTTCCATCATCAATTGTTTGATGCAGCTTCGCAAGGTTTGTAATCATCCGGATTTGTTCGAGACTCGACAGATTGTCACCTCGTTTGCGATGAAGAGGAGTGTGGTCGCGGACTACGAAACCAAGGAGTTACTCGTACGGAGAAGATTACTGAATGAAAATCCTTTTGAGCCTTTCTTTAGTACTGATTTCTTGGAGTTTTGTGGACTAGTTCCTGCAAGGAACAACGGTCTTACAACCCAGAATACTAGCAGGATTCAAGCGCTCTCAGCGACGAACCTCTTGGAGAAGTATTATGCGGATAAAGCTACCTTGATTACGCCGGTTGAACAGGATCTGTCGACCGTGAAGGGAAACAATGCATATATGGAGTATCAAAAAGAGATGTCGCATCTTGAGAGACTCAAATCTTGCTTAAGACTCAATCGCATTCGAACGCAATACCGGCCTCTCTATGCACGCAACCTTGTCGAAGCGTGCTCAGAAGACATATCAATAGGTCCTATTCGACGTCAACCTAAGAGACGAGAACAGACCACAGAGTGGTTTTTGAATCATTCCGAGACTGTTCGTTCCATGATTCCTACAATCGAAGAACGTACAGAGTCGCTGAGCACAATTATCGATAAATTCGGCTGTGTTACCCCACATGTCGTTTCGGTGGATATGGCGCCGATAGCGTTGACGCCTAAGGGTGTTGAGGTTGTTCTGAGGGCTCAGGCTGAGGATCTGTTTCCTTCAGATCCGTTTCATAATTCGCGTATTCGACAGTCAATCGCGTTCCCCGATAAGCGGCTGCTGCAGTACGATTGTGGTAAGCTACAGAGGCTGGACGGGCTACTACGGGAGCTGCAGGCTGGGGGCCATCGTGCCTTAATCTTTACACAAATGACGAAGGTACTGGATATCTTGGAACAGTTTTTGAATATTCATGGTCACCGCTATCTACGTCTTGATGGCGCAACAAAGGTAGAACAGCGGCAGATCTTGACAGACCGCTTCAATAATGACCCAAGAATTCTTGTATTCATTCTGTCTACTCGTTCCGGTGGATTGGGGATCAACTTGACTGGCGCGGATACTGTAATCTTTTACGATCTTGACTGGAATCCTGCCATGGACAAGCAGTGCCAAGATCGTTGTCATCGTATCGGTCAAACCCGCGATGTCCATATCTACAGATTTGTGTCCGAATACACAATCGAATCTAACATTCTTCGTAAGTCCAATCAGAAGCGAATGTTAGACGACGTCGTCATCCAAGAGGGTGACTTCACGACCGATTACTTCAACAAACTCTCAATCCGCGACATGCTTGGTGATGATGTCATTAAAGAGCTCAATGATGAAACCGCCGATGCACCTGTGGCTGCAGCAGGAGTCAATATGGAGAAAGCCCTTGAAGCGGCTGAGGATGTTGAAGATGCAGCTGCTGCAAAGGTTGCGCAGAGGGAGGTTGTTGATGCTGATGGGGCTGACTTCGCGGAGAGGCAAACGCCGTCTCAGACACCCAAGGATACAAATTCCCCGGCGACGACAGTTATGGTGCCTAAAATCAAGGAGAGGACAAAGGAAAATGCAGGAGAGAAGGATATACTCGCCGAGGAACCGCCAACGGATGAACTGTCGGTTCCTGCTATGACCCCAGTTGAGTCTGAAGTAGTCGTCGGCGAGGATTTGAATAAGGGTCTTGGACACGATATCTATGGTGAAGACTGGGGTAGGGTAGACCGAGAACCGGAAGAAGTTGACGAATACATGATCCGGTACCTAGAATGGGAATTAATCGATGTGCCGGTTGTGCTTCCAGACAAGAGTAAAAAGAAGAAAAACAAGAAGGGAAAGAAATTTTAGGGAGTTGTTTGTTTTCAATTCTGTTCATCTTGATTCATTTTCATTTCCGTTCCTTTTTCCTTTTGTTGGGTTCGGGTTTTAGTTTTGGGCAGGGGTTCATATTGCTTTCTTCTTCATATTTCTTTCGGTACTTCTACAAGTGGACTACTTATGGACTGGTTTATTACTGTACTCTATGATAATTCTTCGGGTTTCATCTCTCTACTTCTATTCTTTTTTCCTTATATCCTTCTGAAAAAAGCTCCTTTTGCTGATCATCCCCTCTCACGAATCTTTCTGCTGGGATTGGGACCTTAAGTATATGTACTTGCTTGTACTTTATCACGCTTCTCTCGTCCTTTCAATTCTTGATGGATTGGCGTCATCGTCCGAATCTTATATTCTTGGTTTGCCCGTTTTCCCCTTTCATATTTTTAAGGTTAGATTTTCTGTTAGACGTCGCTGTGGCTCAAGTGAAAAGGGCAGGTCTATTGATTGGATATGAATAAATGCTGGTGTTGGGTGTGAAGAGAAGCGGTCTTGGCGATATTTCCCTCCCTGACAGGCATCATTTCTTAACGGTATAAAGATGTGCTCCGGGGTTCCTTACGTTGTGAATCATGAGAGATACTCGACTCGAACGATATTTAAAACTGTTGCTCTGCTGAAGAAGGCCTGGGAAAGCTAATATCGAATCTCGATGACCCTCAATTCTCCAGTGAAAAGGCGGTCAGTGTCTATCCTAGTTAAGTAAAAATCTAGTCACTAAAATCTCGTAATAGATTCCTCGCGATAAAATCATGGAATAGCACAGGCTATCTATTTTAGTTTGTTTGGCGATCACGTGTAAGGGCATTCCCTACAAACCCCAGACTTGTCGGGATACGAGTGATCGAGCATGATGCACCATTCGTTTCGCCCTCCCAAAGATCCGAAACCGCATGAAACAGACGACATCTTCCACGAATCGAATCCTCACTCTACGTGAGAGGAGTGTGGCCCAGTGAAAGATAAACGCTGAGGTGAAGCACACTGATACAAAAAGCCACGGTCTAGACATTTACAGACCTTCCGCGAAGAAGGGTGATCTGACCCAGATGTGGTAATAGACTCCCGCTCTGCTTCTCTGCCGCACACGCGAGCGAAGCGCACTTTGGTCACTCACTCCACCCGCCCTGTGGAACTCCGGAAACCTGGATAAGGATGGCGTGGGTTGTTATCTAGGAGGCGGGATAGTGGTATTGGTACATTGGATTGGGTATAAAAAGTAAAAAGTAAAAAAAAAGGAACACATAAATCGGTAACGTGCTCACTCTAGTGGCCATGGGGATTTGAAAACGGTCTAATCCACCTTTACATCATCATGTCAACCCAGCTCGTAGAGTCCGAGTCGAGTGGTATCAGTTGGATTATAGTTGACTTGCAAGTCCACACTAGAACCTAGGCATGATGGCTCATTATCAAAGATATATAAAGCAGTATCCCCTCAGAGCTCTTAGGGAGCTCTCTTAAGCTCATCCTGCCCACAACTTGACAAGAATCTTACCATCCAGCATGTTCATCCAATATTCTGCCTCAGTAACACACCCCACCCAGCCTGGGAATGCTGCCCCACCTCCCGTCCAACCATTTAAAGAAGCGATAACTTTATTCTGCACGCGCTTCCAACCGTCCCTACCCCAAGAAGCCCTCTTCTGGTTCAGCTCGGCTGCATCCGACGCTTTAGAATACCTTCAAGAGCAGCTTCGGATTCTCCAGAATCTAGATTCAAAGGGTGTTCTGCAACTTTACACGGATCAGATTCCACCAGCGCTAAGAATGCATGACGAGGATTTTGTGAGGCATCTGACAAGCTTGCTGGTTGGTGCTGGTGCTGCATGTAGTGTCTCGGTTGTCGACACACGAATCGTAATTGGGATGACACTCCCGCACGATATGGGGAAAAGACTTGGCGGCTGCGGGGATATGAGGTTCGATTGGGTCGAGACTTTTGAAAGACCTAGAGATTATGGTATGATAATGGTTTGTGGCTTTGGCGAGTGAAGATGGAGTATTAACGCAGGGTTGTGTCTAGAAATCGAAAAACCGTTGAAATCAAAACTAGAACGTGAAGAGATCAGGAACCGGGGGTGTTTAAACCAACCAACTTTGAGCTTCGAACAGAGAGTGATATCATGGACTGGTGGTTTAGTGTAGTTGGTGCTATGTATTTATGTGTAGAGGTACATGTGGTTCGAGGTCGGAACATCTGCTCACAACTGTAAAAAAATGTAATTATGATTAAACATCTGCTGTATCTATTGGTTATGATCCGATTCGTAAATAATCGGCCAATGATGTGCATAGGCTTTTATCAATTTCATAATATGTGGTTGATGACTAACTCTCGTGATGCACGCAACACTGTAGGTCTCAAGCTCAAGAGTCCCTTTGGGGACCTACAATCGCCATAGGCGCTGCGATAATTTCGATTAACGTTACCGCGAAATCTTGTTAAAGAAACTGGGTTAGGTTTAGTTGATAGTACAGCTACATACTGTACTTGATTTGTTGGCTATTGACATCCCCTTTGACAGCACCATGGTTTTATAATTTAGCATAGTTGATTGTGCTCGCCGATAAAAAGAATTAATTAGGAATACATGCAGTACTCAGGATTGAGAAGGGATTCACTTCATGGAGGGCGCCGCTCTTCCGTACAAATTATCCTTGTCATGAACATTGAGTACTTATATCTTCTGGTTTTTTGGGTGGGCCAGTGAGTAGAGATACTTGTCCTATTCCCCCTATGCCTAGCTCGCTCTCTTATTATGGGATCTTATTATAGGCAGTACTCATTCTGAGATCCTGAATGCATAGAGGATCGTGGTTTCGACTATCACGCAAGTACAACGTGCAACACGTGCAGTATGTACTCTACGTAATACCAGAAGCGTAGATACGAAAGGATGATATTGGTGCTAGCCGATTGGCGCATTAATTTAGCATACGGTGCAAAGTATGGCAGCCTAGTGTAGCAGTAACGCCCATCTATTTGGTGCCGATATATAGAAAGCAGGTATCGAGTATCTATCCAGCCCATCAACCACTACGTGAGGTATAACACACTATTACGACGTAGTTAGGTACCTATTGGTATTGTGTTACTCGTCAAATCAATGTGCGTATTAAATACCTGATGATATCATAAATATTGGTAGCCTTAGAGCTTTATAGTATCGCGACAGAACATTCACTCGCGCATACTAGTCAGTCGCGCACCGGCATCAACAATAATTGGCCGAAAGGAAATAGATACGGGATTATCTGGCTGGAAACAAGCACACGGTACCTATATGAGTCGTATGGGTTTGGTCGGTCACTCCTGCTTGGTACTACATAGTAAGCTGGTTTATTTAACAATATTTGGGCACCGGAAGATACCAAGCAGCTTCAACCTGATATGTTGCTCCCACAACCTCACAAGACTCAAAGTGCAACTCCGCCTCTATCTATCGAGGCGTTTGATACAAGGAAGCGCGCAAGATATCTCGTTTACACTGGTGCATATAACACATATGTATGGTGTAATTATCAGAGTGGCTGGAATCTGAGTTCAACTCAAAAGCCAGAGCTTTCGTCGGCATGAAATCAGCTCTGTCGATTGTGGCAAAAGGATAAAATGCGGCCGCTTATTGATCGTTGTGCGCAGTGTTTCAAATGTTATTACTAGCTACATGTAGTGCTAGGGGTGTAACACAGAAAATGAAAACACTTAGAGTCACTCACTTACTTGGCATTCCGCATTCATCGATGAGACTTTGCACTGCAACTGATTGCCTGAAGCCGCCTTGCACATTGAACTTTTTTTTTTGTTTGATTAGGGTATTTGGGGTGATATGGTGATGTAGCAAAAATGGCGATAGGCTCGCCTGAATACAAGTGATCTGGACGGGCAAACCCCCAGGGGTGCATAACCATGTAGTCCTTTTTTCGGCACTGGCTGAGTTAGCTGATTTTTTCAGATTGATAATTACGTTACGTTGCGTATTGGCCAAGATGTATACTGTGTTCTTCGGGCTATTTATGTTGAAAGAGCCGGAGCCTGGGGCCAGAATATCGTTCATGAGGAATCTCTGACAACGCTAGGCTTTGAATACTCATTAACTCCACCGGCCGGAATGGGCTTTCTAAGAGCAACTACCGCCCTGATCAGCTGAGCATGTGGCAGTGTGTACTGGAGGAAGCACATTGTCTCTATAAGTATACATGTATGCATAGCATCTGATACCACGTCTCCATCAGGTTTAAAACATAACATATTCACAATAAGAGATCGATCCGAAGACGTTCTCTAGGAGGTACGTTTTCTAAGAGGTTCCCGGATCCCATGCAAGGCCATGCCCTGACTGCTGGTCGGCCAATAGGATATCAGCTTCCTAATCCAATTGGCCAAACGTCGCAGCCTCACATGCATGCACCGAGCAACTCTATGGTCGAAAAAACCGCTTGGTCGAATTTGAGCTATGTATATATCAAGGCGCACGAGACTCTGAGGATCACTTTAGAGTAGCATCTATTACCACCTACTTTTATATACATCTTGCATGAGGCAGAGATAGATCTAGATGATTTAACTGTTGATATATCTCCCACACCCACCGACGGTAATGATTCCCGGTTCGTATACCATTATTACTTCAAGGCTAATAAGGCTTAAAGGTTCCCCATATAATAACTGAGCTAACCTGCTTAATTAACAAAACCTACGTACTGGACTTCAATGCGCACAACTCCCCAGGAAATATTTTGGAGTGGCCCATATGCATAAGTATGCAAAGCTATATGCATATAATAAAAGTCCATCCAAGCAGAAGCGACATAGGCTGGTTCTTATTGGGCGCCCTGTTGACGCAAGGGTATCTGACAGAAGCTTCATATGGGAGGGTCGTGCCCAGCCAATTCAATTTCTATAAAGCTCTAACTAATATCCTCTCCATTTACACTAGAATCTCTAAAGATAATATCAACATTTATTAGTTTAATTAAGCACCTACTCATAAGTTTTCTTTCTTTTTTCAGTACGTACATACATACGTGCATTACTATACATATACCATTCGTTATATTAATATACAAAGACATTATACACAGCCATTTTACTAAGGTTTAAAAGGGTACGTACCTGGAGCTATGGAAAGCCATGATGATATTCCCCTCAAAGAAATGGTTTGCTCTACTATCCCTCTGGACCTTATAGAAGAAAACGAACAATATGGAACATCCACGGCAACAATAAATTACGAATACTCGGGGAATCTCTCAACATCACTTGCTCAAAAATACCCTAGTAGTGCGCTCGATATTTTCGTCGAGGTTAAGGCCACGGTCGACATGTTTCTAAACGTCTGCGCATTGAAGAAGGTGCCCGGACCCGAACATAAAGACAAAGTTTTGGTGTACGATCTCTCGGGTGAGCTCTGACTAGACGGTTGATATGCAGCGCAGCTTATATATAGATGGTTTCTAACTGTATTCTAGTATCAGAAAGTACTGCCAACAAGCCACGTAGACTGCGTACGAGTTGTGATAATTGGGAGATTGAAAATCTTATTAAATCCGATGTTAGTAGTTACTATCTTCTTTGTTTTACAGCAGAGTAAATATAACGTATCTGGAGACGTAATATAGGACACGGATATTTTGATACGTATGATGTGAGTAAAAAAAGGATTCTGTGCATATTAATTAACCCCCCTCTACTTACTAAACAGTACTGGAAAATTAGATTCGTTGAAATCGATACCATCACCGTTGAAGGTCTCCGGGAACTGGGCCATCACTACTCTATACCGGCAAGATTCTGGGGTTCCAATAGCAATGGTGACTTCGGCCATAGGACCTTGAAGTCTGGTTTGGACGAAATTACATATAGTAAGCAATTGAATCGGCCCCGCCTTGGTGTAAGTATTGTATATTCTTCTAACCATAACTTCAAGTCACATGGCTTGAAATCCTCACCAAACCAGTAGTTCCCCACGAGGATACGCCAGTGCCTGAAAACGATGGCATCTATTGGTACCGACCATGTTTTTCCTTCAAGTGGCAATACTGCGGGCTGGGCTCCAGGAACAAGTACAAACTTGTTATGTTTTGCCTCGATTCCTCCCCACACATCCAGGAGCGTCTCGGAGAAGCAATAATGCACACAAATTCACAACTAATCCTAAAGGACCCCTACTCTCTCTATTGTCTAACCAGCAGCCAATGGTACGATTGGAATCTGGATGCTTATTTCAGGCTTCGGAGCCAATTGGTGGGGATTGAAAGAAGGGCAACTAGTACACGCCTAGAGTCCTTCGAGCCGGAGTTTGAGCCGAGCTTCCCAACATTGCATAAACTTGCGAGGGATATCATACAGATGGCAGAGGTCTCGCAAAGCGCAATCTTTGTGATGGAGCGGCTGGTGCACGAGCATGAACGTTTTTTCCATTTGTTTGGGGAGAGCGAGGATGTTTACAGTCGGGTGGAAGCTACGTTAAATGAGAGGCTGACGCTGTTTAAGGGGACGCTGGCGAGTTATGAGGCTTTGGGGAAACGGCTTACGAATTTAATTAATTTTGTTCGTTCTGCCCATTGATCTTCCCTCATCCTAGAGTTATAGCAGCTAATATATGAGTGGTCGAGTATAGGCTTTCAACGTGGTTGCCCAAAGGGAGTCCAAACTATCCGTCCAGATTGCCAAAGCAACACAATCAGACAGCAACTCCATGAGATCGATAGCCGTCGTTACGTTAATTTTTCTCCCTGGAACTGCAATAGCTGTAGGTATCCCGTGGTCGGTTCCACAGACTTGTGACAAATTGAGTTGAAAATAAATATCAATATACTCATATTACGTCCTATATAGTCCATATTCAGCACACCATTCTTCGACTGTAACTCGAGCCATCCCTTCTGGATCTATTGGGCTCTCACTATTCCGCTGACGGTAGTGATTGTGGTGATTTGGTACATGTTTGGGAGGGAGGAAAGATCTTGGGTACCGATTTCGAATTTGTTGAGAGAGAGATGGCGGCGGATCATGGATCCTCTGACGGCGCAGAAAAAAGAGCCACCTATATTGCCTAAGTGATGGGGGCTTTTTGCAAGTTTCGGGCTGCCAAGTGAGTTTTTTCTTGGCCGGAGTTGAAAGTTTGGGTTGGAATATCCGGTTTCCGTTCCCCCATTGCTAAGGCGTTGTTGTTATTTTTAATTTCTGTCCTTTTCAATCTTATCCTTTCCTCTTTTTCTTGTTTTTATCTGTTCTTGTCAACATTATCATTTCCTCTTTTCCTTTGCTTTTCATACGTATACAATTTAGTTATTTTCCAAGTATTTATTTCTTCTCTTATTCATGGCCCAAATATCCTGCCTATGTATCTTCCGTATATTACTACAACCGCAAGCAAGGTTAGAGTTACTAATTCTTGGCACCGCCAGTTAGTTCTCCCACAAGGCTGTAGATAGATAGTTATTAGACATCACAAGAACCGATTTCAGAACACAATGCATATGATTCGAGACTTATTCTGAATTTCTTTCCAATCCCCAGACCTAGCTGCAAGATCACGATCCGATATCAAGCCTCCTAGCTGGCACTACATGTAACCACAGCACCGCCAACCTCTCGATTGCAGCACCTAGTTATAGCCCATTGCATCAATTGCATCATCCACCACAATGCATGCAAGAAATAGAGAAAAAAATGAAATACCAATGAAAAAAAAAACTAAAAACCTATAATGAAAAAACCCCGAGGAAAAAGAAGTTATTAGGATCGGTCCCCTTCCTTAATGGGCGACCTGAGCACCCTTGCTGATGTTGGTGTCTCCCTGGCGCTCGCTCGCCTACAATACCCCATCATGTCAGCAAACATCACTCTACTAACACTAGTAATAGGAGGGGAACTTACTACTCCGACCTGCGGTGACCCGCTTTGCAATATCTTCTTCATGACCTCCTCCTCATCGGCGGTGCCAAACTCGTCAGATAGGTTGGCCTTGGACGCTTCGTCCATGATGCCTTGCGCGCCTTGTCTATATCATACCCAATACCATCCGTTAGCTTTCCGCTTCTTTTTCTATCTTTTTCTTTCTGCACGAATAGCAAGGGGAGAGAGGGAGGGAATGCGTACTTGTGTGTACAAAACACCTTCCACCCATTGACCACCTGCGCAAGCGGAATAGACGAGTCCTTCTTCCACTTCTGGAGGTCCTCGATCGAGTCAACGTAGACGACGAAGTCGTCGCTCTTGCCCTTGTAGACGACCTTTGTCTGTTGGGCGTTTCCACGAGGCATGTTTGGTTATTGTTTATGTGGTGGTTTGGTTTGGGAAGTTGTGGATGAGGTTGGTTTGTGGTGGTGAGGTTAGGTTTGTGGATTTGATTGGGGAGTTATGGTGAAGTTGTGAATGAGGAATTCGACTTCAAAGGGGCAGATGGAGCGGTATTTGAGCTGTGCGGACAAGGCGGTCGGTGGTGGTCGGGTAGGTGAGTGGATTGGTAGGTATGATGTCATCGGCGAGGCCAAGACGATGTGCGGAGTGGAGGGAATCTTGAAATGTTGCCGGCACGTGCCTTGGTTCTGGGTTTCCTTGTACATACTGGGTGGTATCCCTTCGTACGTTTTCACGACATACAAATTGTAGAAGCTAACTGCAAATGTCGGCTGGCGGTGCAAGATGGACACAAAATTTCTCTAAAAGGTAGTGGAGTATACTCTCGTTAAAATTTTGTCTATCACGACGCCGTTGTGGGCCTAACATGTTGTGATTACCGGGAACAGACGAAGGGATGCAGGAGGTTCTGCAATTAGGTATTGGTTTTATTGGTTTGCTTTGTTTCTGTTTTGGTGGTGCTGGTGAGATGCTGTGATAGCTACTGATAGTAGAATAGTAGAATAGTAGACTGTAGCTCCTCTCTAGCTATCCAGAATAGGCGTCTTTATAAACCAAACAGCCCAATTGCAATCAAAAAACGCATTTACAGCACTCCTCTCACCTCCTACCCCATCACAAAACCCATCATCAATCGAATCCCAAACCAGCCCATACATTGTTCTTGAACCCCAACCCAGCTTCCACGATCCTGCCTCCCACAACATCCCTGTCGCAACAGACGTCACTACAACCTCTACGCTGCACGACCAACTCCAACTCCAGTTCCTTGCGAAAACCAAGGCAGATCGACCGGTACTGGTTGTGCGCATGGTAGAGTAGGTACGTATGTAGATGCTTTCAGAGTTAATTGAATCGTGACGCGACGGATGGCCGGACGGGACCCCTTGCATGTGCTGTTTGTGAAAGTAGGTAGGGTTCTATCTACAGTAACGTGTTCTATCGGGTTCTGTGGTTTCTAAGGCTGGGTGATCTCGAGAGCTATGGTATCCCGTCGCCGCGGGGTGTTCGTTGCCGAAGTCACATATTTTCAACATGTGTGGAGCTTTGCCGTACGAGTGCAGCACGGGATGCCGTGGGTGGGTGGTGAGGCTAGCCGGTAAAAAGGCTTTAGAGATGCTACGGTAGTCCTGACTGTGTAGAGGGGGGTGGCCCGGGCCAGAGTGAACAACAGATGGTATTACGAGTTGGGACTATAAATGAGTGCCGTCGTTCACAAACTCTTCTAGCGTATCAAGCATTCCTTCGGCTTCTCTTCTACTCCACCCTTAGTTCTACCAGCACAATCTCAGGTGTCCGTGTCTCAGTTTTATCTTGATACAGCCAGTATGATAGGACGACCGTGCGGGAAATGGGGATATTTCGCGTACATGCTTTGATTCGTGCTGGGAAAACATGTGTCCGGCCGAAAGTCGACTGGGTACGTCCTCTGCCGGAAACATACAAAGAGACGTATCTTTACCAAGTTTGAGGCGGATACAATACGGCAGCCACCCCCTAACTTACCCATCTTTACAGAACTAAGCCAGCTGAGAGATTTTGCGTGGATGTGTCTATGAGACCGGCTTTTGGAGGCTTCCAATACCAGAAGCTTTCAACAAAAGGGTTGTAGGCACCGGGAACCATTCCTCAATGCACGACATAGCCAAATTGGCACTGTTCTGTGACGATTGACTGTGTAGGTACTTAAAAACGAAACCTCATGGGCCCAGGGCCCGGGCATAAACGCTTGGGAATGTTTCCCCTGAGTAAAGAGGGACCCGGCTAGATGTGCTGCATCCCAAAAGATGGCTGCATCCCAAAAGATGGCTGGTGAGTGGTTGCTACTCGAGTGATCGTTTATGAAGGACCGCGATCACGTGAAATTGAAGGAAAAAATCTGTAGAAAAAGAAAGTACAAGCAATTTCAAAGAGGAAGTCTGCGAACAACCAAAAACTTTGATGAGACTTCAAAAACACCGCAACCTCTGGAATTATCAAGGCTTTTCGGATCTAATATATCTAGAGTGATTTGCACAACCCCCTCCATCCCCTAGGGAAAATCTTCGGCGTTATCAGAGTCACATTTGTCCTGAAAAAAAAAAAGATCAAAAAATCCGGTTCGGACCTCCGTGTTGCCTCAACACCACACAAAACCCCGACCTGCACCTTTTTTCGCCGCATCCCACAAACACAAAAAAACCCCACCACGCACGAACCAATTGCGCCCCTCATCCGCCCTCCGCCGCCTCATCGCTCGCTTCATCGCTATCACCGCACTTTAACCACCCCCACGCCCGCAGCGGCGGGATTGCCATGTCACTGGGCTCACGAATATCAAGTTTCTTCTCCGGATCAGCCTCCAACAGCACCACCCCCGAGACCCCACCATTGGAGAACAACAACCCCGCCGGATCGCTGATTGGTACAATCAGCGATGCTCCTGCGACGCTCAAGACAAACCCGATAATAGAAACAGTTGCAAAACCCATGATTGACGACCACCACCACGACCATGAGTCAAGACGACCGCCGTATCTACATGTGAGCTTTCCCCCCACCAGTGACTCGTTACCTCCCTATTTTTTTTTTCGTAAAAAGAGCGGGGAGTGAGAGAAAACACACTAATGAATTTTTTATCAACAAATCCAGTGCATGCTCGCCGGCGGTATAGGTGGTAGTACTGGCGATGTTTTAATGCACTCCCTAGATACCGTGAAAACTCGACAACAGGGAGCACCCAATACCCTCAAATATGCCACCATGACCGACGCCTACCTGACCATCTTCCGCGAGGAAGGCTTCCGTCGGGGTCTTTACAGCGGAATCACGCCAGCGTTCTTGGGCTCCCTTCCCGGGACGATAATATTCTTCGGCACCTACGAGTATTCCAAGCGACACCTGCTCGACATGGGTTGTCCCTCGCACATTGCGTATCTCACAGGCGGGCTCGTCGGTGACCTGTTTGCGTCGATAATCTACGTCCCGAGCGAGGTGCTGAAGACGAGACTGCAACTGCAGGGCAGGTACAACAATCCGTTCTTCAAGAGCGGGTACAATTACCGCGGGACCATAGATGCGACGAGGACGATCGTCAAGACCGAGGGTCCGGCGGCGCTGTTTTATGGCTACAAGGCGACAATCATGAGGGACCTGCCGTTCTCGGCGCTGCAGTTTGCGTTCTATGAACAGTTCCAGAAATGGGCGAAGCAGTGGTGCGATAGTCGAGATATTGGCCTACCGCTTGAGATTGCGACAGGTGCGATGGCAGGTGGATTGGCGGGGACTATCACTTGCCCACTAGGTCAGTACCCTTCCTCCTCCCTAAACTCATAAACCTCGATACGATAAGCTAACCTCTTTACGCCAGACGTTGTCAAAACCCGCATCCAAACCCAAGTCCGCACCCCCACCACACCCAAATCCTCCGCCGCTACCACCAATCCCGCGCCCCTACAGCGCCGGCCCTTCACAACCCTCGTGCCCCCTCACCCCCCCGCGTCATCACGCCCCATATCAACCTCCTCCCCATCAACGACATCGCCCCCCAAGTCCGGCCCGCTGAAGTTCAACACGAGCAGCATCCTCGAGGGCCTCAAGCTGCTGTACAAGACGGAGGGCATACAGGGCTGGTTCCGTGGCGTGGGGCCAAGGGCCGTATGGACGAGTGTGCAGAGCGGCACCATGCTGGTCATGTATCAGTATTTGCTGAAGCAGATGGAGAGATGGGATGAGAGCAGGGTAGTGGAGCTGTAGTTGCGCTGCTGGCTGTTGGGGGGGGGGGGGGGGGTGCATGTTTAGATTCACGATATACATATATATACTCGGGGGTCTCTGTCTTTTTATATGCTCTTTTTTTCCTGTATTTTTTTTTTCCTTCCGTTTCCTTTTCGTGGTAAAAATGATGATCGATCGGCATGGTATTTTTAGTAGTATTTTATCTCCTCCCCCTCTCCGTTTTTAAATCTCCCTGTGCTTTTTCCTTGTCTTTTGTTTTATCTATTTTTGGGGAGGGGAGGGGGTGGGGGTTCTGCTGCGTGCATGGCTAGCTAGAGTTGTGTAGAAAGATAAAAGTGGCCATGGTCGTGGTTTGGGGTTGGGGTCGGAGGATGGGAGAGGGTTGGGTTGGATAAAGGTTTTGTACAGATAGAATAGACCGTTATGGTATCTCATATCCAGCTTACATAGCCTTGATGTTGGCTGCAGTAGTGGTAGTGAAGCCTTCGAAGGGGTGCATGCGTTATCACTCGGTGTTTCAATATTTGTTTTAGACTGGGCATGTGTGCGGTAAGGAGTGGGGGTGGTATGAGTGAGGGTTTGGGTTTGAGCGTAGTGGGCTGTTGGATAAAGACCTGGACCGCCAGCGGGGGGATTTCGTAGCGGTTTTCCAGCTTGGAGTACTGGAAGTGGTTTACCGGCCTTTTTGAACTAGAGATGGGCGTTCTTTGGGGGGGGATCTCTTAAATAGACTATCTAGAGCTGCGGTGTACTCTCGACAGTTGATTCCTGCTAGACCCTCCCTCCCAACTGGTCCACACGGTCCACACGGTCTACATGTACCTACACACACCCACCAACCACCAAGAAGACCCTAGCCTACCAAGTCCCACATCACAAAGCCTCACTTAACGACAATAATAGCACACGATCCCCACGGAATCGATCGGCTTGTAGTATTTATAAAGTCAATGCTAGTATACAATTTGTGCCCCATAAAAAAAAAAAAAAAAAAGAGCTGAAAACGCGAGAAAAAAGCACAAAGAAAGAAAGAAAGAAAGAAAGGAAGGGGAGAACGCCGGTTAGTATGCAAATTTATCGTGCTTTCCATGCTTGACCCTGATGTCTAGTAGGGCTTCGTGGAAGCCGCCCTCTGCACGCACATCATTAGCGCTGATCTGAAAAACCGGAGAAAGGGGGGGGGGTGGTTCTGGATATACCTTTCCGCGCCTTCCTCAGCACCTTGACCTGGTCGTCGTCAAGCTTGATTCCCGCCCTAGCAATGCCACAATTAGCCCCCCCCCCCAAATCTCCCCAAGCATTCGCAGGCGCAAAAAATCAAAACTCACATCTCCTCCAGCTCCTTCCTCGACACCCGATCCTTAACCCTCCCCTGGTCGCCGCTCCTCCTCCCCCTCTTCTTATTCCTCCTCTGCACCCTCACCACCCACTCCTCGCCAAAGCCCACCGTCCCGCCATCGCCCCGCACAACCGCCTTCCCGCCGCCCGTCTCCTGCACGCCGACAAAGCCGCCGCGCACCGTGCCCAGCGCCCAGCGCCCGCCGGCCAGCAGCAACACCTCGAACTCCTCCTCGGCGCCGATGGCCTCGCGCGTGGCGCTCACCACGCCGACCGCGTCGCACGAGAGGTACTTTCCGTGCGCGGACTTGAACGCGTGCTTCGCGGTGCCGTGGATCTTGGTGGCGACCCAGACCTGGTGCACGCCCGTGGGCTCCGCGGTGGATAGTGTGGTGGAGGAGGAGGAGGAGGCGGCGGAGAGCGGCGAGGTGAAGGTTTGGCCGGTGGTGGGGTCGCTGCTGAGGGCTAGGGGGGTGGGCGCGGTGATGGTGAACATTAGTGGCCCGCTGATGTCCTCTGTGGGTTTTTTGGGGGGGTTAGTAATTGTGTGGAGGTAGAGGGAGCGGGGGGAGCGGGGGGAGCGGACCTAGGCAGTCGGCGTCAACCCAGCCTTCCTCGTCGTCGTCGTCGTCGTCTTTGGCGGTGGTGTCGTTGCCTTCGCGGGCCGGGGCGGGTTTCTTGGCGGAGGGCCCCGAGGCGTCTTCGGCGGCGTCGTCGTCGGTGGTGGTGCGCTTGCGCTTTTTGACCTTTTTGTCGCCTTTGAAGCGGAAGGCTTTGACCATTGTTGGGGGTTGTGGGTGTGGCTGTGGGTGTGGGTGTGGGTGTGGGTGTGGGTGAGTCGTCAGACGGGTCGTGGATGGATGGATGGATGATGGATAGATAGATGGATGGACGGATGGATAGATAGATAGATAGATAGATGGACGGATGGCTGGATGGACGGACGGACGGCAGCTGTCTGCATGTAACTGGGCGCGTGTGGAGCTGTCGGCGCTCGCCGACGGATGGACGCGATGGCCGGGTAAGAGCGTGCTCGATAAGGCCTTATCGGGAAGGTCAGCTGCTCCGGGGGAAGGTGGGATGGATGCATGGGATTCATGCTGGAGCTGTAAATTACATGTCTATATAACGCCCGCAGCACAGCTCCTCCTCGAATCTCTCTCCAACAGCCTCAAGAGCCAGCCAGCCAGCCAGCCAGCCAGCCAGCTAGCCATACCCACCTACACCGCTCCTGCTCCTCACCCAGCCAGCTCTCAAAATGGCCGACCCCGTAACCGTCACCCTCGACTCCCTCCAGTCCGGTATAGTCAACCGTGCCCCCACATAACCTACCCCCGCAATCATTACCCCTGTCTAACCCGCCCCGCCCCACACAGGCACCGTCGACTTCACCACCCTCGAGACCGCCTTCGGGCCCGCCTCGCTCGGGATCATCCTCGTGTCCCACCTGCCCCCCACGTTCCCGGCGCTGCGCCTGCGCCTGCTCACGTTCGCGTCGCTGCTGGGGAACCTGCCGGCGCAGGAGCTCGCGGCGCTGGAGTGTCCCGAGGCAAAGTACCTGGTGGGGTGGTCGTGCGGGAAGGAGAAGCTGGCGAACGATCGGCCGGACACGGCGAAGGGGAGCTACTATGTGAACTGTGCGTTCTATAAGGACAGGAGCCTGGAGGGCGCGGAGGGCGGCGAGAGGTATGAGGGTTTGAGGGAGTATACGGAGGGGAATATATGGCCGAGGGAGGAGCTGCTGGAGGGGTTTAGGGAGACGTTTGTGGAGTTGGTGAGTTGTGGGCGTGGGCGTGGGTGGTGGGGATGGGATTGGGGTTGGTGGCTGATTGGTGTCGGGATGTAGTGTACGCTGATTATTGATACGGCGGGCTTGGTCGCGAGGGTGGGTGGTCTCTCTCTGTATTGCATAAGCTTGGTGTAGTTGGATATGCTAATGATCTCCACAGGCTTGCGACCGCTATGGTATCCCTCTGCTCCATCATTACATGTAGCTAAGTCTATACATCCAGCATTCACTAACCCCCCCCCCCCTCTCTCTCCTAGCCGTCGCCAAAATCCCCAACTACACCCCCGGCTACCTCGAACACGTCGTCGCCACCTCCACCACGACCAAAGCCCGCCTCCTCCACTACTTCCCGCTCCCGCCGTCCAGCACCCCCGCCGCACCCGACTCCTGGTGCGGCACCCACCTCGACCACAGCTGCCTCACCGGCCTCACCTCCGCCATGTACACCTCGTCCGCCGCGCCCAGCACGGAGATCCCCTGCCCGGACCCGCGCGCGGGGCTGTACATACAGGACCGGGGCGGAAGCACCGTGCAGGTGGCGATTCCGAGGGACTGCTTGGCGTTCCAGACGGGCGAGGCGCTGGAGGTCATTACGCAGGGGAGGTTTAGGGCTGTGCCGCATTTCGTGAGGGGGTGTGAGGTGGGCGGGGTGGCGAGGGGGACGCTGGCGGTGTTTACGCGTGAGTCTTCCTGTGTAGGGGTCCTTTTCTTGGGGGGGTGTGTGTGTGTGTGTGTGTGGCGGGGGGGCTAATATTGGGTGTTTGTAGAGCCGAATCTGTGGGAGATGGTTGGTGAGGATGATTTTGCGGCGTTTGCGAGGGAGATTGTGGGCAGGAATACTAATGAGGGGTGAGGCCAATACCGGTACACCGTGTAGTGAATGGTTGTAGTTGGAGATGGGGTAGGTAGACAATACATCTCCGGTCAGAGATCATTGGGGCGAGTGATGGCTCGTGATTGGGCCGTAACTCCGATATCCCGTATCGCCAGCGGATTAATGTGCCCGGTGTGAATTAGATGTGCTATGTGTAGTAGTCTCACATTGCTCAAAAACTTGAGGTTTTCCTGATCATAATCTCCGGACGTCACAAAGTCTAGTTAGACGTGGGAGCATATGTAGGCTTATCTCTTGACAATGTGGCATTCGTCCGTATATATATTTTATAGTGATTCCCCCCCCCCCCCCGCGATCCTACCCCACCCTGCCAGTACACTGCACTAGATGAGCAAATATCACCATACTCAAAATTCCTTATCTTTGAGCACCAAGCCAGAAACAGCTAGCTGCAAGTGACCACATAGTCTATCTTCAGGTAGCTAATACATGTAGCTTTAATTACCCTATTGATGCGCGGAAATCTCTCGCTATAAAGATACGATCCGGACCGGGATTTTGTACCCTTATAGAGAATTATCGTTATAAAAGATGAAGGATTAAGCGTTAAGACGGTTAATGGGACTGGGAAATGCTGTCTACTCTATATAGAGCATATATGTTTATAGACACTACATATCCTTATAGCGAGAGACTGCTGGATAGCTATCCCCATATAGGTAAAAAGTATTATGGGTTATCAAAATTATCCGGACGCTCGATCGCGTCACAACCAAGTAAATTGGCTACAATAAAAATCAAATTTTGAAAACCACTTCAATTGGGGGGGGGGGGGGCGGGGGGCGGGGGCTCATATTGAAGCCTGATCTGATAATAGAGGCATATATAAAAAGAATCACAAAATGAAAAAAAAAAATCTCTTGTCTTTTCTCGCCTCGCGCGTGGTTGTGGAGAAAGGTGATGATGTTGAAGCTAGTTGTTTTATTACAACAAATTAAGCGCCCGGATCATTTTTTGATAACTCGCAATATATACTACTACTACTACTACTAATATCCGGTCTCACGAACTACATTCTCGTAAGGCCTGGCCGGCTGGTAACCGGGCCTCCAAGGCTACGCCGCATTGTTAGGCTGGCTGCGGTATGTAGTGCGCACTCTGAACGCGGTTGGAAATAGTTGGGATCGATGAAAACCACGCTTAATGGAAAGTAGATGATTTGATGGATGATAGGGGAAGAGTCGCCCAACTGCGAAGATATACCAGCTGGTCTGGTGTATCTGTTCTACTTGTACAGCGATTAGTGTCTTTTCTATATAGCTACGAATACAGTGTTGTTAGGGGTTTTTGCTCAGCGCAAGCCGTTATCTTTCCATCTAGCCGCCGACAACAAGGAGCAGGCGACGGTGAAAGGGTGGGGCACTGGGATGACGTGCTGTGATGAGGGGTTCTTTAGTTATTTCGGGGGAGTTGTGTTTTATGGTGTGGTTGTATATATGGGTGTTGGATTTATAAATTCAGGAACTGGTGGGTGGCGTGGTCATGGATTATCACTCGGTGTTTCTTGGCCCGTCTACAGCTCTTCTCGAGCATGACAAGTAAGCTAGCTTCCCTTCCGTGTAATAAGCCCTCAACAGACTAAAAAAAAAGGTCACTACATGTACATTCCTAGAAAGCCACCCACCCTACCAGCAAGGCATACTCTATCAACAAAAGCTATCCGATTAGGGCAGTCTTGAGCAGGGGGACGCCGTGGTAGATCCTGCCTGTTGATCTAGGTCTATATCGAATTAATCCTTTGGGGTTTGGACCCAATTCAGATATCAGGCCTGGGTGCTCGTATGTGTTGGTATGCGAAGTGCATATATGGCTCAAATAAATACACTCTTGAAGGTGACACGGCGGTATCTGGAAGTGGAACAATCGTGGCTGCAAGGTGAACTCCAAAGCAAAATATGAGAGGGCTTATTCCTGGCCACTTTGCTGCATTCCTGCCGCAATTCACTTTTTGAGGGGGTATAAATGGGTATATTAATACTGTTCCACTTTGCTCAGTCTTTGCGCTTTTTTACATACAAAAAAAAAAAAATGCCGGATTTCAAGCCCTAATAACTTCACAACTAGAATAGATATCAAAAAAAATTTGTACAATCAATGGAACTAAACTTCAGAACTACATAGTACTACATTTCCATTGGTACGGATTTCTTTTAACCATTTTTTTCGTCAAAAAGTTATTAGCCCATCGACTTTTCCGTCATTTTTCGGATACCTTCAAGACTGGGCGCACCATAGTATGGAATATACGTACATTAGCCCCGGTGGACGGGTTAAGCACATACTATTAATTGGCTGGTGCTCATTCTGCAGTTGTATTCGACGTTCGCTACTCACTGGCCCCGGGTGATAGTAACCTCCAGAGGCTCCAGTGGGCCTAAGAGCGTTTGCACGTGCAGAGGAGCCGCTCCCGGAAAGGTTCTAGAAGGTACCAAGCATACCCTCTCGGGTATTGGGTCCCTTGGGAAAGCCATTGAAGCTGCGGGGTGTGCATATCAACCAATTCAATGAGATATTAATTCTTTATCAGTCATCTTCTATGAGTCACGGAACGGGACCTTTCCACTAGTAAGTAGGCTAGAGCTTCTTAGTGCATTAAGTTTAGTAACTCAAGGGTCTAGTGGCTTAGGGCATGGCTCGTAGTGGTGGTTTGTGGGACCTAGGGTGAGAAGTTAGGGAAGACTCTTAAGCAAGATGGCATGAAGAAAGGGTTATAATAACTATCAAGAAATTTCACCGGAGCTACACTGCGGTGTGAAAAATAGAGTTCTTACGGGCCATCGGCCTTCAAGATGTCACCTCAAGGGACTGTAACGTTAACATTTGTGTGGGCCAATGCTTTGGGATTTTCATGACGAGTGACAATTTATGACCCATAAAAATGTTTTTGCGTCTACCTAAATGTAAGGGGAGCGGGTATCCAGCAATGACAGGAAAAAACAAATGGAATAATAAATTAACTAAAGCGAACTTTTTTAAACAATTTGACTAGGCAGAGTACTAGTACACTTCCCCAAACTTACGCACCTCTATCCTATCCGTCAACCTTCCGTTTCCTTGCCCTCCCTCCTCTCTTCTCCTTCTCCACTGCTGGGCTCTTTCTTCTTCCAGCTGCCGTCACTTCTTCCTCACTCTCCGTATCCTCCAAATCCAACACAACAGGCATTGTCCAACTATCCTCCAGTTCTCCCCTAACTGGCTCGATAGTTCTTACATCCACCTCCTCATTCTCTAGGTGTAACCTCCGCTTCGTCACGTCTTCCTTCGGATGTATGTCGAATTCATCTTCCCGCTCTTGATACTCGATGTTTTCTTCGAGTTCGCGGAAATCAGGCGCGAGTGCTGACCACCGTTGAGGGTTGGAAGTGGCCCAGATGAAGATCTTGCCAGACTCGAGACCAGCAGCAGCGACGAGAGGACGCGTAGGGTGCCACTGTGTATTGTGTTAGTAAAGCAGTGGGGGGGAGAAGGGCATGGGACGTAGTAACCTCTACTGTACCGAGCTCCTCCTTGGGGCCCTCGAGGATCTTGACTAGAGAACCCATCGACCGTTCCCATATGTAAATATCGTGATTTTTGAATGTGCTAGCGGTAAGATAGTCGCCGTTTCCAGAGAAGGTACAATGATTCCATAGTAGCCTATTTACTACATCTTGGAATTTATGCTCCACCTCTAGCTTTATTTCGTTCCCATTAACCCCCTCTCTGAGAGTGTCTGGGATGTGGATTGATCGTAGAACTCGGTCGTTGGAATTGACGACCATGTTTCTTCCCGAAGTCGTGAGTCGAATGTAGGTTATACAGCCGCTCGTGATTCTTGTAGAGTGGATCGTTTCCCTGGTTCTTGTGGAGACAATGTTGGCCCATCCTTTGTTCGTACCAGTGATAATGTGTTCCCCGGACACGGTGAATACAGCTACTGTGGTGAGGTGTTTCGCATCTGCAGCTGCTCGCTTTTCGTCAATTTCACCTTCTTCGGCGCCAGGTATGGTAGGCCGTTTAGGTGCGCTTGAGAATGGGTACTTTTTAGGAATCGGGTCGGTAATGTCGACAAGGTATGGAGTGTCTTCGAAAAGGGCGCAGACAAACAGGTTACTGAGCTATTTAGTTTACGACTACAAGCGCATAGGGATAATTATCTTACGGGTTTAAGGGATGTAGTTCTGCGCAGTATACTGGCGCATTGAACCGCACAGTCCTTGCAGAAGCTTCGCCGTTTTTTGAGAGGTCCCATACGATGACCTTGAAGTCTTGTGAAGCACTGGCTAGATACCGCCCATCTTGGGACCAACTGAGTGATTGAATCTGCCGTACATGGCCACGAAGATAGCGCGCTAAACCGTTTGTTTCGACATCGAAGAGGACGACGGTGCCGTCGAGCTGTGGTGGTAATTAAGTGTCAGAGAGTTGTAAGTGTTTTTATTTTATTCCGTGGGAGGGAAAGAGGGAATTGTGCCGTGCCCTGCCGGATGCGATCAGATCTCCCTTGCGGTTAAAACGGACCTAGAGGAGTGATGTTAGTGGGGATGGGTTTGTTTGTGGGCGAAGGGAAGGGCGAGATACGCAGGTAGAGTGGCCGGATCGGAGCTCGGAGGAGAGAGATTCGGGATAATCTTGCGCGAGAGTAAACGGGTCGAGAAGTGAAAGATTCATAGTGGTTTTTGTATATTGTGTAGAGCTGCAGAATTTTGAAATGACTCTATCTGAGCAGAAAAAAAAGCCAACAGACCAGACTCATTCGTATCATGGAAACGCGTTGCAATGTGCTACCTGTGTATTGTTTCACGAGGTGAGGTTGAGTGGCCAAGACTCATAGCTGCACGAATCAGTCACTGCCAAGAGCGGCTCACATCAGCATTCGCCACACTCACCCTGTAAGTTGTCTGGCGCGCCTGCTCTGCTGGTGGTTGAAGTTCGCTCTCCCATCTTTCATCGCCCTTCTCTCCCCCCTTCATCTACAACCACTCCCGTGGTCCATCTACTTCCTCGCCCTGGAAGACATACTAACCCCCAACAAAGTGTTTACGATTAACGCCCATTACTTTCATTCTTAAAGAACAGGAGAAGAAGAAGAAGCAGTCTTTCTTTTGTTCTGGGTCTCCTGTGGCCTTGGGTCGCTTGCTGGCAGCATCGCTGGGGAGATAGAGCCTCGTCACCCATCCTTCGACATCACCTAACTCTCCTTTCTCTCGTTACCTCCGGCTTTTACCCGAAAAACGCGCAGCCGGCCACGACATAATTAATAAAAAAAAAAAATAGACGCGCGATCGCATCGGATTTGAAGGTTGGAACAGTACGGGCAGAGGTTAGGGGGAGGTAGCTTTTTCTCACCTGGGTATTCCGAATTATACAAGTGAGATCCAGAAAACGGGCAGAAAGTAGAAGGCTTGATAGATTCGAGAAAAAACAAACTCGACAAATAATTTTATTTCTGGAAATTCGCGCTGTTTTCTGCTACATCTAGGTAGAAGATCAAAACAACAGCAGCAATCATGACGTTGATTTTCGAACACTCGAGCGCGCCTCTGCGCACTATCAAGGAGATCCAATTTGGTCTCCTGTCGCCAGAGCAAATCAAAGGCATGAGCGTGTGTCATATCGAATACCCCGAAACTATGGTGTGTTTAAATCGTATCCTTTCTCAGAATTATTTTTTGAAGTGTTGAGCGGCTCTAATATGGTTTCTTTTTCTTGCAGGACGAAGCGAAGTTGCGTCCTAGAGAAAAAGGTTTAAACGATCCTCACCTAGGTTCGATTGATCGTTCATTCAAGTGTGCCACTGTAAGTTTTTCCCTGATATACAGTCTAGTCGCCACTAGCTAATCGTATACCTCTAGTGTGATGAGGGCATGTCGGTTTGTCCGGGTCATTTTGGTCATATTGAACTTGCAAAACCGGTATATCACGTCGGTATGTATCCACTCTGCTCCATTAAAAGAAGCTCTAAGTTTCGCTAACATTTCTTCCCTAGGCTTTCTCAATAAAATCAAAAAGGTTCTTGAGACAGTTTGCTACAACTGTTCAAAGATCAAGTTAGATGAAGTGAGACACACTGAATAAGTGGCGTGACGTCTTGACTTTCGTTTGGCTAACAGAGACCTACCTTTCAGTCAAACCCCCAATTTGCCGATGCTTGCAAGATTCGAGAGCCAAAAGCTCGTTTCAACGCTGTATGGCGTCTATGCAAAGCAAAATCCACTTGTGACTCTGACAACACCGCTGGCGACGAAGAGAACAATTTCGGCGATGACGCAGGCACCAACCCGGAGAAGAAGAAGTCCCACGGTGGTTGTGGTAATAAGCAACCTACTATTCGGCGTGAAGGTCTCCGCCTGATCGGGACTTGGAAACCGGACAAGGATGCACAGGAGGAAGCTAGTCAGGGAGAGAAGAAGCCAATTCTTCCTTCAGAAGTTCTCAGTATTTTCAAACACATCACTAGTGATGAGATAAGGAAGATGGGGCTGAGCGAAGATTATGCTCGACCAGAGTGGATGGTGATTACGGTTCTGCCCGTGCCACCACCACCCGTTAGGCCCAGTATCTGTGTGGATGGTATGGGTGGAGGAATGCGTGGAGAAGACGATTTGACATACAAGCTGGCCGAGATTATCCGAGCAAATGCCAGTGTACGCGATGCCGAACAAAACGGATCTCCAGCGCACGTTGTCAACGAATTTGAGGCCCTCTTACAATTTCATGTCGCTACCTACATGGACAACGATATTGCTGGTCAACCACAGGCTCTGCAGAAATCAGGAAGACCGGTGAAGTCAATCCGTGCTCGTCTCAAGGGAAAGGAGGGTCGTCTACGTGGAAACTTGATGGGAAAGCGTGTTGATTTTTCAGCTCGTACGGTCATTACTGGTGACCCTAATCTTTCACTCGACGAAGTTGGTGTTCCTAGAAGTATAGCCAGGACCCTGACATATCCCGAAATTGTTACTCCCTACAATATTCACAAGCTGCACAAGCTCGTTGAAAATGGGCCGAATGAACATCCAGGTGCCAAGTACATCATCCGTGACACTGGTGAGCGTATCGATCTCCGGCATCACAAGAAAGCGGGTGAGATCTCGTTGCAATACGGGTGGAGAGTTGAAAGGCATATCATCGATGGTGATTACATTATCTTCAATCGACAGCCTTCTCTGCACAAGGAGTCTATGATGGGTATGCATATAATCGTTTATTGGTTCACCGCACGTCTTTATCTAACGATAAACAGGTCATCGTATCCGCGTTATGCCTTATTCTACCTTCCGATTGAACTTGTCTGTCACATCGCCTTATAACGCAGATTTCGACGGTGATGAAATGAACTTGCATGTTCCGCAATCTGAAGAAACCCGAGCAGAAGTTAGTCAACTGTGCATGGTCCCCTTGCAAGTTGTATCTCCACAAAAGAACGGTCCCCTCATGGGTATCGTCCAGGATACACTGTGTGGTATCTACAAGATTTGCCGAAGAGATGTTTTCTTGAACCGTGAGCAGGTCATGAACATTCTCATGTGGGTTCCTAATTGGGATGGCACCGTCCCTACACCTTCCATTCTCAAGCCTCGCCCTCGTTGGACCGGAAAGCAGATTATCTCACTTGTGATTCCTCCGGGTATCAACAAGGACGACAGCGGAAAGGGATATTGCCCATTGAATGATGAGGGTCTGTTAGTCCACGGCGGTGAGCTCATGTTTGGGCTCCTTAACAAAAAGGCTGTCGGTCAATCCCATAGTTCCTTGATTCACATCATTTTCAACGAAAAGGGTCCTTACCGTTGCCTCGAGTTCTTTAACGGCTGTCAAACTGTTGTCAATTACTGGCTCCTTCAAAACGGATTCAGTATCGGTATCGGCGACACCATTCCAGATAAAGCCACGATTCGAAAGATTGCGGAAACGGTTGCTTCGAAAAAGGCAGAGGTCGCAGATGTCACGGCGAAAGCGCAATCAAATCAGCTTGAACCTCTTCCTGGAATGAATATCCGTGATACATTCGAGAGTTTGGTGTTGAAATCTCTCAATTCGGCCCGTGACGTTGCTGGTTCAGATACCGAGAAGAGCTTGAAAGATCTCAATAACGCCATTCAGATGGCTCGTTCTGGCTCCAAAGGTTCTAACATTAACATCTCCCAGATGACGGCTGTTGTAGGTCAGCAGTCTGTCGAGGGTAAACGTATTCCTTTTGGTTTCAAATACCGTACCTTGCCCCATTTCACAAAGGATGATTACAGTCCCGAGTCTCGTGGGTTCGTTGAGAATTCTTATCTCCGTGGTCTCACTCCTCAGGAGTTTTTCTTCCATGCGATGGCTGGTAGAGAGGGTCTTATCGATACTGCAGTCAAGACTGCCGAAACTGGTTACATTCAGAGAAGATTGGTCAAGGCGTTGGAAGATGTCATGGCAAAATACGATGGTACTGTTAGAAATTCTCTTGGAGATATCATCCAATTCGTTTACGGAGAGGATGGTCTGGATGGAGGACACATAGAACCCCAGCACGTCGACGTCATCGCATGCTCTGATGCTGCTTTCGACGCAAAGGTGAAGGTCGATGTTATGGACAAGTCTAAATCGATACCACTGGAGTTCTTGGAGGTCGCACATGAGATCCAGGGAGATGTAGAGGTTCAGCGAGTTTTAGATGAAGAGTACGAGCAACTTACAGCCGACCGTATATTCTTGCGATCACTTCAGAAGGGGTCTGTCGAGGATAAGCTGCAACTGCCCATCAATATCATTCGGATCTTGGACAATGCGCGAACTATCTTCCGGATCAAACAGCGCGCGCGAAGTAACCTTCATCCAATCGAAACCTGCCAGAAGGTCAAAGAACTACAATCGAAACTTATTGTGGTTCGCGGTAACGACCCACTTTCCCTCGAGGCACAGGAAAACGCTACTAGACTATTCATGTGCCACCTCCGATCTCGTCTTGCATTTAAGAGACTGGTTCTTGAGTCCAATTTGAACAAGGTCGCTTTCGAATGGGTACTTGGTGAGATTGAGGCACGGTTCGCCCGTGCTGCTGTTAATCCCGGTGAGATGGTTGGCGTGTTGGCTGCGCAGTCAATTGGAGAGCCCGCTACTCAGATGACGTTGAACACTTTCCATTTCGCTGGTGTGTCTTCCAAGAATGTCACTCTTGGTGTTCCGCGTTTGAAAGAGATTCTCAACGTTGCCAAGAATATTAAGACTCCCTCCATGATGGTGTATCAGCAGCCGGAGAATATCTTTGTCAAAGAAACAGCCAAGAAGCTCAGATCTGCGGTCGAGCATACTACTTTGAGGTCGGTTACTGACACCACCGAAATTTGGTATGATCCGGATCCGAGAGATACAGTCATTGAAGAAGATAAGGAGACGGTGCAGTCGCATTTCCTGATCGATACTGGCGAGGAAGACTTAGAGAGGCAATCCAAGTGGCTGCTCAGAATTGTCTTTGATCGTAAGAAGTTGCTGGACAAGGACTTGACGGTCGAAAAGGTCGGTATGAAGTTGATGCAGGAGTATGGGAACGATATGTCTATCATCATGAGTGATGATAACGCAGAAATCCCTAATATTCGATGCCGTATGAAGAATTCTGAAGGGCAAAAGGGTGATGAGGAGACTGACCTGGAGGAGGATACTATGCTGAAACGTCTTGAAAACCACATTTTGGATGAACTTACACTGAATGGTGTTAAGGGTATCCAAAGAGCTTTCTTGAACGACAAGGAGAGGATTAAATTCTGTAAGGATGGATCCATGATCATGCACAATGAAGACGAGGAATGCAAGGAATGGGTTCTTGATACGACTGGTACTGCGCTGAAGGCCGTGCTCGAGGTTGATGGAATCGATACAAGCAGAACATACTCCAATACCTTTGAGGAGATTTTGCAAGTTTTCGGCATCGAGGCTACCAGAGCTGCGTTGTTGAGGGAGCTTAGACAGGTGTTGGCTTTCGACGGTTCCTACGTCAACGAGCGTCATCTTGCACTCCTTTGCGATGTCATGACTGCACGTGGTCACCTGATGGCCATTACTCGTCATGGTATTAACAGGGCTGATACTGGTGCATTGATGAGGTGTTCTTTTGAGGAGACGGTGGAGATTTTGCTTGAAGCCGCGGCTTCAGGGGAGTTGGACGATTGTAGGGGTATCTCGGAGAACGTCATGTTAGGTCAATTGGCTCCTCTAGGCACCGGAGAATTTGACGTCTTCCTCGATGAGAAGATGCTTATGGAGGTCATTGTGGATAATTCAACTATCCACGGTGGCGGGGACATTCCTGGAATGAACAGAGGCGGTTTGGCTGACGGTGCTGCTACACCATACGCTGCTTCCCCTACATATGCAGATGGTTTCGTTGGATCTCCAGATATTGGTGCTGCGTTCTCCCCAATGCAACATACCGGGGCAGAAACACCTGGCGGGTTCACAGAATACCAAGCGCCTGGGTTTGGAGGGTTATCTCCGTATGGAGCTCGTAGTCCTATGGCATATTCACCTACAAGTCCCTTCGGGACAAGCCCTACATCTCACCAATATTCTCCTGCATCGCCAGCCTACTCACCCACGTCCCCCAACATGGCTGTTACCAGCCCTGGGTTTTTCGCAGCATCTCCAAGGTTTTCACCGATGGCTGCCAGCCCTGCGTATACCCCAACCTCACCACAATATTCCCCCACTTCTCCAGGCTATCCTGGTGGTATGAGTGGTACTCCTACCTCTCCCACATACTCCCCAACCTCCCCAAGTTTCAGTCCTACTTCACCTAATTACAGTCCAACTTCGCCGTCGTTCTCTCCGAATTCCCCAACTTCGCCGGCATATTCCCCTACATCTCCAGATTATAGTCCTGCTAGTCCTGCGTTTGGTGGACCCATGGGAAATAGCCATTCTCCCACCAGTCCGACGAGCCCCAACTACAGCCCTACTAGTCCGATGTACAACCCGGGAAGTCCTAACAATTATGGCCCAAATAATTATTCACCTACTAGTCCGTCGTTCCAGTCTCCAGCTCAGGGCAGTCCGAGATGGTCCCCGTAAGTACTATCACCCCTTTATCATTGTGGAGTCAAAGCTAATCAAAATTATCAGAACTTCTCCTGGACCATCATACTCTCCCCGATCACCCAGAGACCCACCAAAAAATGAATAAATTTTTCGTAGTGGTCATGTGTTCTTAGTTGTATTTTCATTTTTCTTCAATGTGGTAGTGGTTTTGTGTTCTGTTCTTGTCGTTTAAAATTGCAAAAATCAACGGGGTAAACGGGTTCTTTCTTGTTTTGTTTTTCTCTTCTTTGAGAGCCTTTTTGTTAAGGGAAACCTTTTTTTTCTTCACTATATGAGTCTGAGCTTTGGGGGCAAAGGCGAGTGGATTTTATTTACGCTACGCAATTTACCACCCTTACTGCAATCGAGATTGAGATAGAGCATTTTTTTTTATTACTTTATGCCTTCTACTATTATTATGAAGCGGCTTTGTGTGCGGCGCGCGTGGGGGATATATCAAGAAAAGCTAAAGGTAGAGATAATATTTCTCTTTTCCTTTTTTTTCTATTTTTGCTTTGAGACTTGGGACAAGGTATTTTTTTGTACGTTTAAACAAAAAAAAACAGCAGAGGTTTATCGTATATTTGTTTTTTTGATGAGGCATGGCTTACGAATGTTGCGTTGGGATTTTGGGAGCGAATCTGTACTTTAACTCTGTGCAATTTATCGAGAATGGGGGGGCTGATCAGCTGAAAGTTTCTTATATCGACAATTCAAAATTAGTTACGCTCTAGTGACGTCTAACTGTTCCTCAAGGTTATCGGTTGATTACTTTCATAGACCTCGAAATTAGGGCCACCCAATATTGGTCATGGGTTCCAAGAGCCGTTCCCAACATCTGGCTCGATAATTGGTTCATCATAAGTACATGATGTATAGATTAATCAACGTGGGCTTAACATACAAACGCGTCACTATTAGTTTGCCAACGGGCATTATAGACTTACATGTAGCTTACAACCATGTATTCCCAGTAGTAGCGCCGTAGTCACTAATATTATTGGCGTGCACGTGATCTTGAGCTAAAGATTACCCGGAGCGTAAAGCTTTTCGCTCCACAACCGAAACTCTTGAGGTCCGCCGACCAGCGCATCGAATTGACCCAAAGATGCCGATCAAATTCACAAAAGAACATTTCAAATGGACAAATGGTCGCGGTCTCTCACAGCGACCGATTCTGTATTCACAAAAAAAGAATACATATGGATTGGGTATGTACTTGTACCTCCTCGATCACCTCTGGTCGCTAGTTGGGCAATTTCGGTCAGATTGTGTGGTGCTGATTTGTGTTGGCGGATAATGTTAGGCAAGAAAGAACACTCGTCGGATCAATGGTGGGAGAAGGCCTTCGATAACCAGCTCAAGAACCTCGATGTGTCTGGCGGCGGCGCATCCGGCGAAGTTACGGTAAAGCAGACTGCGCCGATCTCAACCGCAATTGGAATGGAGAAAATGGCGAAGTACTATATCCGCTTTGTGAAGGGTGGAATACTGGAGGGAGAAGTTGAGAAAATGGTGAAGGAAGTTGAGGAAATCCCGGAAGATATCTCAACAGCCAGTGAAGCAGAGAGGAAGCTTCAGAGAAAGAAAGAGAAGAGGGCAAAGAAGGAAAAAAAGAGTAAGCGGGATAAAAAGCGGAAGACTGGCACGGTGAAGGAGGAGAGTAAAGAGGAGCGAAGCGAGAGAAAACGGTTGAAACGGTTGGTGCAGAAAGAGCTGGAGCTCTTGAAGCTTGGGAAGTGAGCAAATTATGCTCGTTAATTACACGGAGTCTTTGGGATGTAACATACATGATCTTTCGGTTTTAAAAAGTTATCGTCGGAAAAGCTTATTTGTTAACATAGAACGTTCTGTAGGTAAGTCTGGAGCTTGAGCAGGTTGCAATATACCCTTGAAGGGCAGCTTATAATTAGCTCAATGCATTAATAGATCTCTTTTTGAAGTTATGTCTTAGTCATAGATTGTTTCGATAGCGACTCAGTGCTCAATTTATCAAGTTGCTTTCTGGATTTTGAATCCTATGACGTCGGAATCTCAAGAAGCAGTTTATTAGAAACGTCAGCTTTGGTGATTTTAATCTTGTTTTGTATGAGGCGCCATGAGCCTACTGCTTAGTGATGGGCACGAGACTTGAGGTCTCGAGACTAGGTCCCGAGCTTTTCGAACGAGACATGACAAGATCAATAAAAATAGTCTCGCGATTGTCTCGAGACTATTATGGGTTGGTCTCGAGACGTCCCGCGGGACTATTTTGGGCCATTTGGAAAGATTTTTGAGGCATTATACTCTTTGAAAAAAGAGGTTCTTCTACAAGATGATAATTAGCCAAAAAAACATGGCTTAGAGGTTCGATTATTTTCAACTCTTTCCTATATTTGGGATTTTCCCCAAAGTCTCGAGAGATTTTGGGAAAGTAGTGTGCGGCATGAGTCGACTATAGTCGAGTACAAAAATCAAGTATATAATTTGATTAGACTCGGTTAGGGGTGACATTTCGAATCATAATCATGATTGGTCTTTCGCAATAAATCGATTAAATCATGAGTATAAAGAGACAGTAAAACCAGGAAAAATAACAGCGGAAATAATCATCTGTCCTCCAATGATCTTAAAGAAAGACCAATTTTGGGAAGAAATTCGGTTTCTAAGGCCTGAAATATCATCCTGTAAACAATCAGAATAATCGAATAGATATGAGTTTATGCCATTAGTTAATCATAACTATCAGTTGATGGGTCCGAAAGCGTGAGTTGACTTGATTAGAGGCGGAAAACCTAATCGATTGCAATCATGCCTCACACTAGGGGAAAATGTTGTTTTTGTGTTGTTTGTGTGCGTTTTGTTTTGTTTTATGTTATTTCGTGAGAGGCGGAGGAAGTGATTGGGAAGTTCTGGGGCAGTGTGATATTGTCATAGACTACGGTCTGCATACAATTAATGAATTAAACAAAAAAAAAAAAAAAACTAGGGGAAAGTGCCGAGACAAGACACTCCTAAACACAAGACGAGACGAAACCAGCCTAAATTTGGTCTCGACTTGTCTCGTGCCCATCACTACTACTGCTCGTTCAAATATGTAGATTGATCAGTAGTATGTATCAAATCCCTCTCCGAATTACCTGCTTTTTTTCTCTACTGCAAGTAGAGAGAATGGCCCTATTAGCACATCAGTCCGCTGAATAAGTGAGCTCAGACACACCGCAGCTGGGTTTCACTACGTAGGGTTGGGATTACGAAAAGTTGGAATTTGGGCTCAATGCCCAGGTACGTTCATTGCCACCAGGTCTTGCCCCTTGCCGCACCGTGATATGAATATAACATGATAACACCTTGAAAATTTGCCATATCTTCAGATTCACGAGAATTCTTGCCATAAGTGATAACGGGGATACGATTATCTAGATATTAAATGCGGTTGACTCGCAATTCCCGGATTTTCAAATTCTGTGCTTGTTCCTACTGTTTCTGCTGAATATAGCTGCGTGATATATTATCTTAAATACTGGATCTTATTTCGTGCCCATGTGTCACTGGTGATGAATATAGAAAGAAACAGTATCCCTTGGTCTGGCGATGCTGCCAACCCTATAATACATAAATTAGATTTTGTATGGGAGATCTATTATTTGATAAAGGAGATAACAGGATCTGTTAGTAAGGCCACACAAAGAATTGCTTTTTTTTGATAGATAGTAGCTTCACGTGCACAGGTTAAAGCTTGTCCAGCGTAATCCACCGCCATATATATATCGAGGCCTGCGTAGTTCTTTAAATTGCTTGTGATTATGAATGGACCCTGGGAGGACTTGTAACACATTACCGAGGATCAGATCGGAGCAATATGTAAAAGGTATTGGGATATATACATAAGTACATGTAGGCTTTGAGAGCAAGATCACAACTGTACTATTGATAGTGTCCGAGTATTATGTTCCAATGTTCGCGGAGAGTCTAGTGTAGCTGACCAAATTAACTATAATTAAATATATCTGTCCTAATAAATAAAGTCTAACGAGTGATATATTATGATCACATATACCTGTAAAATAATCATTGACTCTAGGAACGTTTCTGACCCGTTGGTAAAACCAGTTTGATGATGAGTGGGGGGCCTGGGGGCGGTAGGATGACGCCTCATTTACTGAAGTACTGTTGTCCATCTGAAGACACCCTGGGGTCTTTGCGCACCTAATGCAAAAAGTATACGAGGCCTGTTTGGTTGAATCTGCAGGGAGAACAAACAGACATCAAAGAGAAGTTGAAGGATAGAAGAAAGGAAGGGAGGAACACCTTTATCTGAGAAGTACAGTAATATAGGAAACTTATCAAGGCTAGAAGGTTCTGAATGATAGCGAGTGATATGTGAAAATCGATGGAAAATTCGATCCACAAAAAATTCGATCCACAAAAAATATCATTGACACCAAAAATATGCATACATAAATAACTCTGATCAAAAAAAGAAGGTCGCAATGTTCTATGCTAGCACTCATGAGTTTATTGACGAAACATGATCCAAAGGTTCGCTGCTGCAACTGCGGGCTAGAGCCGTAGGAATTCACAGTCAGCGTATATAAGGGTTGTAGGGAGAAGTAACCCGTTTGTGCTTACCTCTATCCTCAGCTTGAATTGGAGTGGCAGGGATGTAGGTGGCTATGCTGGCATCGCTATTTTCAGTCCCCCACTTGGCGCCATGTTGAAGAAGCAGCCTTACGATGGAGCTCTTCCCATTGGCCTTGGCGGCTTGTAAAGCATTGCCATGATGACCGCCCTGGGCATTTACGTCTGCCCCATTGAGAATTAAAAATTCCACGGTACCCAGGTTTCGAGTTGCGGCTGCCTGAAGGGCGTTGCCAAAGTAGCCACCCTGGGCATTCACGTCTGCCCCGTTCTCGATCAAAAGCTCAACGTTGGCGAGGTTTCGAAGGGCGGCGGCTTGTAAGGCAGTGTTGTATTTCCCTCCCCGGGCATTGACCTCAGCACCCTTATGAACAAGAAGATCCACAACCCCACGATCTCGAACCGCTGCGCACGCGGCCTGCAAAGCAGTATGATAAAAACCGCCCTGAACATTGACATCGACGTTGAGTTTGTGGATAAGAAGGTCTACAATTCTACTGCGACCCCGTTGCGCTGCAGCTTGCAGAGCGGTGCCGTATCTACCTCCTTGGGCATGTACATTGGCTTTCTTATCAATTAGAAACAGAAATATCGACTCATCGCCCCGGTGTGCTGCAGCCTGCAAGGCATTTCCATAATATCCGCCTTGGGTGTTCACATCGAGACCTGCTTTGTATAGTACCTCGACAATATTTAGACTTCCGGTTGCTGCAGCTTGCAAGGCATTTCCATAACCGCTGCCCTGAGCATTGATATCGACACCGTTTTTCATTAAGAATTCGAACGTTTTCTTGTCGTTTCGGTATGCAGCGATCTGTAAAATGCTCCCATAAGGACCGCTCGCGTTGATATCGGCACCATTTTGGACTAAAAACCTCACTACGTCCCAGTTTTGGTGATATGCCGCGGCTTGTAGGGCGCCTCCGTATTTGCCACCCTTGACTTTGATGTTGGCCCCATTCTCAACAAGATATTTCACAATCTCCATACCCTTTGTTGATGCGGCTTGTAATGCATTACCGTACTCTCCCCCTTGTGCATCGATGTTGACACCGTTTTCTACCAAAAGCTGTACTATTTCCAAATTTAACTTTTTCACTGCAATGGTTAAAGCATTTCCCAAGATGCCATCTGGGGCATTGATATCAGCTCCGCCATCGATAAGGATTTTCACGGCGTCTACTGTCGAATTCTCCCATATTGCATTTTGCAATACGCTTAATTCCATTTGAGGTGAGCTCAGATGCTCCTGGGGCGGAATATTGTGTGATTTTGAAATTGACGTCCTATTACGGTATATGCGGTACTGGGGATTGACATCGGCTCCGTTCTCAACTAGAAACCTTAACATGGAAAGATCGCGGAGATACTTGGTAGAATATAGAGCCCTACGGTATTCGGTGCCTTTAGGCTGAGGATGGAAGTTTGCACCGTTTTTGATAAGTATGCGGGTCATTCTCTCGAGGCCTTTAATCTTTGCATCGTACAGGGCATTTCCGCATTCTCCGCAATGGGCTTTGACGTTGGCTTTATGTTGCATGAGCAGTTGAACTATCCCCTCGTAGCCTTTGATAGTCGCAGTATACAAAGCTGCCCAGTATCTGTCACTATGCGGCTTGAGGACATTAGGGTCTTTCTCGCTCTTCAACAAAACTTCCCGTACTATTTCCTCGTAGCCCAAGGCGACAGCTCCCTCGAGAACTTCCACATCATAATCGGGCAGGTCAAACTTGAACTTTCTCTCCATTCCATTTTTGATAATTCGATGAAACTTTTCTTCGTAGGCTATCTCTACAGGATTGCGGCCGTATTGAAACGCGCTAATCCAGAAACTTGCAGACCTTGAGAAGATAAAATTCTGCGCGTTTAGGAATGTTCGCTTAGGCTCCATTTCCATCTCCTCTTTAGACTCTGCGTCGCTATAAGTTGATAGATATCCGCTGGAAGAGGCATCATGTAAATGTGCCGGCCAGTGTTGTCCCGCATATGAAATGAATGAATCGATCCCCCTGTGCTTATCATTCGATTGTTGGCACGGTCGAGAGAGTTTGAGATATGAGATGCAAACATCGGTAATGTGTGCATTACTTATGGACTTGGCCAACCGCATTTCAACACCGCTTACCATCCTGGGTCTGCTAATGAGAAATTCTCTTGCGGACTGGTGGATGAGTTGAACAAGAGAGCCGCCACCCTGGTTTTCATGTCTGGACACTATTTCCAACAGTCCCCCTGAGAGGGTTTGGATAGTGGATTTAATTGTCTCTTGCGATTGAGAGGGTGGTATCCAAGCTTCTATGTCTTCAATTGATGAAAACTGGCGCTCAAAGCTGCGGATTGCGATGGCATATCCAAACTCTTCAAGAGTTAATGGTCTTTTTGCAAAAAGCACCCAACGTAGCATGGTTTCTGTTTTATGGAGCAGATTACTCCCGACCTTCATCAACAAACGACTATAAAGATCGTCCAGTTCATCAGGTATCGAATCTAGTACCTTTTTAATCTCATCAGCACTGTCCAAGTATTGTGCGCACCCCCGAAGATCATAGATAACAAGTCTAACCCAAAGAAAGACTCCTTGTGCGCGAGAAAGTAGTTCCTCCCGAACCACCTCCTGGAAACGCTCCGGAAGCTTAAGTGTTAAGACTTGATCGGATACGTATGTCTCCATGTCTTTGCCACTTAATTTTTCAAGCCTTATCGAGCCAAGATATCCCTTGCCGGCCCCATTTATCCTTTCCATCATCGTATTTATGCGTCCGTCGTAACGACTCGTAACAAAAATTCTGAGTTCATGATCATTGCTGTGCCTGAAACGGCAAATATCCTCCAGAAATGCAAGCATCGAGTATTCGTCGCTAAGCCTTTCTCGTGGATTTACCTCACATTCATCAAGGGCATCGATGAAGATATAAATTGGTGATTCGGTGGTGCCACCCAATATCTCAAGAAGGCATTTGCGGAGAGTTGGTATAGGCCATTCGAATCCTTCTTGAGATTTTTCTTCCTCCAGCTGCTTCTTGTATAAGGGGATCAAACATCGATATATACTGGGTACCGGCATCTGTGAAAGAATCTGGTGTAAAATGGCCTGGAGAAAACCTTTGAAGGAGTTTACAAGCCCTCCTCCTCCACGATCATTGAAGAAGAACCCCGCAAAGACAGCAGAGGAGTCTTTTTTCTGTTCATTAAAAACATGTTTCAAGAGGGTCGATTTGCCGCTTCCAGGTTTTCCAGTCACCCAGAACACACCAGAGTTCTTCTCCTTCCATCTAAGAAAGCTGTCTTCGGACCAAATCCAATTCAATGTTTCCTTGTGATTTTCGGCAATCACGTGTATACGATTATTCATTCCTTTGAAGGCCAATGATCTTAGAAGTGCTATTTGCAGGCCACCCATGGTCAGAAACAAATAACCAATAAAACTCAGGGATTCAGTAAATTGATGGTTCACCTTGGGAATCTGCTTCGGAGTATCCTAATATAAATGAAATCAATCCGTCAGTCAGCTATGTTGAATAATTGGCAAAATCAATTTAACTCAACATAAGTAGCTAGCTAACCTCGCAATCCTTTCACGGCAGTCGCCATTTCACACAGTACATATTTATAATTATTATCTTCCGAAGATTTAAACTTATTCATTCCCACATGATCAGCCTCGAGCACAATGTTCGTTGCTCCTGACAAAGAACCGGACTTCTCGTCTACAGCCTGAGGATTTATAGATTTAATTAATAAATGAATTTTAGTAATGTAATTAAAGCTCTGGGTATCCTTACCAGTAATAAAGGGATGCCCCATTTTTTTGTTTTGTGGCGTTCGTAAAAGTTTACTAGTTTTTTCATTTCAAACACCGAGAGAAACGAGTCGTTTAACTTGTGAAGAACATCTGACCTAGGCTCTAAAAGTTCGAGAAGTGCCGTACTGGAACCCAGCCAATAAGTAGCGTAAGCCATCAACTTCCCGGCCGGAGTAAGTCTTGAGCCATCATGAGGCACCCCTAAGAAGATAATACTAGCTGTAGAATCTTTCAGAGGTTTATATCTGTCGTCGTCAAGAGTTGATCTACTAGCAAGAACTAACGCCTAAATATCACCAATTACAGGTCATTATTGAAAATTCAGGGTCTAGAGAAGTTTATAATTATGCGTACCTGTTTTATAATAATTCCCCCAAAACTATGCCCAACAAAAATTATTTTGCGCTCTTCTTCCTTTGGCGACTGTACGTATGGTTGGTTAATAAGAATCAAGTACTACAGCTGGGATTTTCAATCAAGCACTTACTTGCCGGCACCTCTTTAAGTTGTCCAAAAGTTCTTGACCGCGCGCCTCGATTGATTTGACAGATGCATCAATGTCCCACTTTGAGTTGTGATTGAAGGCCATGATGCGCGTATTCGGTAGGTCCTCTGGTAGCAAATCCTTTAACCACATGCACGTTTTGCCTTCTCCTAAGTCGTAGTTCCAGGCCCATTTGGGGTTCGAGCCCAGGCCATGTACAGCCACAATGCTAATATCGATCAGTGCTCTTAGTATGCAGTGCAAGTTTGACATGATAAAGGGTTGAAATCTCACTTACTCTGCGACAATTTCATCCTCTTTAGAGCACCTATAAAGCTCAGAAATACCTGGCACGGGCTTCTCCGTAGGTTCCATAAAGAACAACAGGAGAATTTGTGCTGGTGACATTGCAATGACTGCCAGGTTCATCAAAAAATATACTGCAGAAAGCATATACCATGCTTCTGGCACCGTCCATAGATGGTACTGAAGCAGAGCCAGCCCCAATATCGCTGTAAGCAATAGTACGGTAGCTAGAAATCGAGGCTGCGGGTTTCCCGCGAAAGGTAAAACCAAGCCAGAAACGAGTAGAAGCAGACAGTTCCAGTAATAGAACATTGGTGATTGTTTGGGAGAAAGAAGATTTGATTTTGGTAAAGTTCTGTTGGTATATATCTGCGATATCAGAAGGTCTGTTCATCTTTAGTAATGCTAGCTCGATGTCGACGTGTACAATACTTCGCTGCTATGTGCCGTTCTTAGGGTACACCACAGAATGCGCAGCTTGCGGTGGTTTAACTGGCCGAGAAATTTTCATTACAGATATGACCTGTCTTCTTTAGTTGCGATTGGTATTGGATGTATCTACTCTACCACCTAGCTAGGCTTATAGGTTAATAAATGTACATACATGATCTTAGCCCAATTTACCGATGGCCGTAGAGCAACCACGTAAGGTTGAACCTAAATTAGTGGTCGCGTAACGTCCCCTATAACCGCGGCCGGCGCTAGATATATGTGTTTTACTTGGGCGCAAATAAACGCGAATCCTAACAGCCATAGTCTTTCCTTCTTGATAAGTAGTATGTACGTATACCTAACGTATAACTGCAGGAGCTACTCGCACTCACGCGGCTCGTTTGAACCAAACTACCTAAAGAGCTATGGCGAGCGATCTGCATCTGGTAGCTAGCAAGTAAGGTCTAGCTTACCGTTTTATATTCTTTGGATCAATTTTATTGGTTGACTGGGCGGCTTTAATCTGGCCGCGCAAGTGGAGTAGGTAGATGTTGCGGCCGGTATCAGATGCATCTAGCTGAGGCGGCTACTTATGCACGATGGAAGTCTTAATTGATTTCCAATATGTGAAGTAATTTGATTTCGATCTCCAGGCACAACTAAGCCCAACGACCTGTTACGGTGCGTTTAGCTATAGTCGGGAATGGATTTGGAAGCCTGTGTTGAAGAGGCCTTGTACCTTATAACGGATGGAACGTCGCATTACACATCGCGTATGTATGCACGATATAGCGCATATACAATGTCGTAGAGAGGAAAAACTCTAAATACCCGTCAAACTCATCTGGTGCTCAAAGTTTATTTTTCTCTATCAGTTAACCGTCGATGATGCATCATTACTGACCACATCTATAGGCTATAGGGCCCACGGATTTCTACCAATATTTAGCAATTGCCTGAGAGTAGGTATGTACGTACTTTGGATGCAGTACACAACCGTGGTGGTCGAGTAGGTACATGTAGTTATACCCCCCTGTTCATATGCAAGGAACCGCTGACAAGGAAGGAGACTTGGATGAATCCATTATAGCATATGTGACCTGGGAATATTTAATTTGTGCTGGACGGGAATAGGTTATTCAATAGCTACCATGAGATGGCTTGCCATCTACACATCAGAATTCGGAGTATGTATAGTAGGTCACATGGGAGGTTTCCTCGGTGATGCACATACAAGGATCGGAAGAATTACTCCAGTCCTCTGCGCGCTGTGTACCTTTGAAACGAGAGGCCGCCGACGGGTGTAGTGAAAACAGAGTCGAGTAGGATGTAGAACAAACATGTACCACCCCTCCTTAATTTTCCCCGGGAAAATCAAATACATGGGACTCTACGGTTCTGTCTGACATGTGAAAGTCCATCCAGATTGCAATCGATAATTTCGCGCAGTACCGAGACCATTTCACCTACATTTCCCCGGGATCGAGGCAAGAAGCCGAGCGTTGTGACACGATCGTTGGATCTGTGTATGTAGTAGTAGCATGTAGTTACCGTGTCTCCCCTAACCCTTTTTCACCCCTCCTCCAACTCCACAGCATGCACGGGACCCCGCTCTGTGAAGAGTCGCGTGCATGCATGGTTTATTTTTGTTTATGTTCATCGGATCTATCATATGTGGTCAGTCACGCACGTCAATCTGTCATTCTGTGAGTCTTTTGACACCGTCAGCTTCCCTTCCCCGCCTCTTCAACCTCATCCTCCTGATCTCATCCATCCTCTCACTCTACCTGATATTCTTTTTTCTTTATCTCATCTCACCTTCCTCACGTTGGTGTTTGTTGCGCAAACAGCTAGTCACCTCCCTACTGCTGCCCCTGGGGTTGCTACAGAAGCCAACCACTACCCCCGGCCCGCCGCCGATATCCGAAGGCGTGGAAACCTGAGAATCTCTCGTCAACGGGGTTTAGTTAGTTTGTGGGGGTGGTCAGTTAGCTAGTTGGCTAGTTAGGTTAGGTTAGGGCTGGTTTTTCTTTTTTCTTTTCCTTTCCTTCATTTTTTTAAAATTACAGATTAATTTATCGTGTTTTGTCGTGTGTTTTGTGTTTTGTGTTTTGTGTTTTGTTCTGGATTTCTCATCGTCTCATCGTCTCGTCCCGAGGGATAGCTTTCCGTACATACCTCACCTAATACCTACAATACTGTTTCAAGCAACCAACCACATCTACCACCCGCCTTCCTTCCTGCTTATTGCATACCGCGGAGGTCAATGCATTGATTCCACTCGACTCTCGCCTTCCTGTTCTCATCTTTGCCCTCCTCACTCACTCCCGAACAGCCCACCCTCACCACCGCGGACCTGTCCACCACCCACCCCATGGGTAGCACGTACCAGGCCCAAAGATACTCTACATAACGACCATGGCCAGCCCCTCATCTATACCTCTTCCAGCAGCAGAAGCACCCCCAAAACTCGTAATACCAACGACCCCACCGCCACCACCACCGCCGCCGTCAACCACGACAGTAGCATCGCCGTCGAAGCGTCGCAGCTCGTCATCGTCATCACCATCGTCGTCCACCACGACAAACACCACTGCAAACAACACAAAGCGACAGCGGAGGAAAGCGCCGGCAGCATCAGCATCAGCAGAAGAGATGGAGCCGAGCGCGGAGCGGCCAAGGCTGAGTGAGCAAGAGAAGAAGAACAACCATATCGCGTCGGAGCAGAAGAGGCGTATGGCGATTAGGGAGGGGTTTGATCGCTTGACGGAGATCGTGCCTGGGTTGGAGGGACAGGGGAGGAGCGAGAATATCGTGTTGAAGAAGTGTAAGTGTCTTGTCTATTGTGTCGAGATGTGTGAAGGTGTACTGTTGTGCTGATGTATAAGTAATAGCCGTCGATCATATGCGCGATGTGTTGAACGAGCGCCAGCAGCTGATAAAGCAAATCCAAGCGCTGGGCAGGGAAGTCCCACCAGAGTTCCAGTGAACTGAGTGCTTGTTGGTATATTGGCCAAACACACATGGGGGGGGCTCTCTGCCTTAGATCTATGCTTTAACTGGCTCGCGAGCAAACGGAGTTTTTTTTATTTCTATTTTTCTAAAAAAATACTGGATCGGATTGGATATTGGACTTGTATTGGGGGGAAGGTGTTTTTTGTTTAAGCTTTTCCTTTTTCTTCTTCTTGCTTTGAATATCACCAGTTGTTGTATGTGTACCTTTTTATTATTATTATTCCTACGTGCGTGGTTGTGGCTCCAGTTCTGTAACTACATACCTACTACATACAATAACTACAACTGCTTGACCATGCCGCTTTATTCGATTTCTTTCTTACCCGTAATGCTTAAAATGTGACCTGATCAACCGCCTTGTCCACCATAGAATTGGGAGAGAGAAAAAAAACATGTACATCAATCCTTTCCACCGCGCTCATCGAGTATCACATGCAAATGACAATTTCTCGGTTTCACTAGGTTGGTCCTTACCGCTCTGGGCGGCGGCAGGTGGGGGCTTTTTTGATTTACCCTTCCCCCTTCCTATTCCCTTCCCGCACCCTAACCCTGGGGCTATCTGTGGTGGTACACTGGTACATACATCCGGGCACGGGTGTTTATGTACAAGCTCACCTTCTACTTCCGAGAGCCTGTTTTGGGGGTTGGAGAGGCGGGGTGAGGGGATCCCTGCGGTTTGGATTTGGATTTGGGTTGGGAGCGCCTGCTTGGGATGGATGTGTATGTAGATGGCCATAGATACGGGTACGGGTACGGGAGGGAAGGTGTTTTGGAACACTTCTTGGTGTCGGTGACTATGGGCGGGGTACATATTTGGGGGTTTGGGATGTTCTAGAACACGGAAGTCTGGGGGAATTGGTGGTAGATGGCTTGCGAAACGAGAGGGATGCGGGATGGGGATGGGGATGGGGGGCGTAGTATGGTGGGGTTAATTAAGGTTGCGACGGGTATTAAGGTTTTTGGAGATGGTGTTTCGGTGTGCAATTGCTTTTGTGTGATGAACGCGTAATTGCACAGTTGTATCCAGGTAACGAAAGAATACATATTGTCTAACTACATAGGATATTTGGGTCTGGGGTCGAACACTCGTGGGGCCTGTGTTGTAGTGCGCCAAGTATAAATCCTTTCATGGTCACTGAGGATGAATGTATTCGGTGCTGCTTGCTCCAATTTAGTAGCCGTTGTAGTATGCGAATATACATGTATTTCATATTACCGTTCAAAATATAAATATTATATATACCGGCCTCATAGCAAGTTTAAGTACATGTAGTAGTGGGCTGTCTGATCGGGCCTAACCGTCGCACATACGTTACAGCTACAGAGGATGCAGCAAAAGGTACCTACAGAATAGTATGCCGTACAACTACATGAGATGTACCTACAGGCCAGAAAAAGAAGACAGCATAGCACAAGAACAATATGCGCATTCTCATCGGACCCCGCAAAACAGTAATCATGACAGGTTTTATGTTCCGTACATGTAATCTCCGCGACGTTTACCAGTGTCGACGTCTTCGTTTCGGTTTGAAAGATAAGATTCCGTCGCTATCGTCTACTTATGTAATTAATAGGATCAAAGAAAAAGAAAAAAAGCAAAGCAATGCTTGATAGAAGATGCAGTATCGAAACGTTGCGAGTGTGATCGATAGGTTTTTTTTCTTTTTTTTTTTTTCTTTCTTTTTTTTTTTTATATCAAGTAGTTTATTAATTCGAGGTAGGTACAAAACTTTGCATGCAGTCATAGACTATGGCATAATAGGAAGAAAAAGCATTTAAATATATGTATAGTAGACTCTCGCTATAAGAATATTTGATATAAGGATATTTGATATAAGGATATACGTCTCGCTATAAGGATACCATTGGCCGGCCGGTCCGCAACCGCCGTTTTACTAGCTAGCATTCCCCACTTTCTATAAGGATAATTAGCTATCGCCTGGTGGACCGAAGCATGCTCAGAATGTGGTGCTCTGCATATTGTACCTACAAAACCCGGTGCTTTCTTTGCCATATAGGGTTGAGATTTCAACAAGAAACTCCCACAAACAGTGACTTTTGGCCCAAACCTGACAAGGCTGCAGAGCATCAGATTCTGAGCATGTTTCGGCCCACCAGGCGGTAAGGATACATATTCTTGGTCCTAGTGATGCACAAGATACAAAAAGTCTCGAGACTTTGTTTTCTTAGCCGATAGGAGACAACAAAAGACCTGTATATGGGCAAGACAATTAATCTCGAGACCAATTTAGGCAGTCTCGAGACGTCTCGAAACATTTAAAAATCTCGAAAAATGCAGCATTTTCCAGGCGGAGACGTCATACAAACCCTAGCCCTAATTGCAATTTTAATTCTGTATATTGTAAAGGCCTAGAGGGTAGTTGAAACATGAAACTCGTGCTCTCATGAAGTGGAGCTGTGGTCTCGAGATTTTGTGCGAGACCTACCCCAAGTCTCTTTAGCCACAAGACCTTCTCTTCTCTGATGCAAGACAAGACGATATTCAGGGAGGTCTCGTCTTGTTTTGTGTTGTGTGCATCACTACTTGGTCCCGATCGACCGTATCCATAGCGAGTCTACTGTACCAGCAATCTCGAAGCATCGTAGAAAAAACCATCACTAGTCTACGCTAATTGCAGCTGTTCAATGGCTAGGCGTAGTCCCGCCCTCAGATCCACCCAGCAGCTCTCCCGGTAGTGGTGATTGACTGCCATTCTATTTTACACATAGAGGGTCTGGTGTGCTTACCTGGTTGCTATGCCACACCACCAACCACTCCCTACTACAAAAAAAGGTTATTGCACCAGACCCTACTTACTGGTGTTGACCACAGAACTCACATGCGCACCTAGCCACGATTACCCACAACTAGGAAAATACCGTAATTCAACGAGACTACATGTAGGATAGGTGTTAGTTTAGGACGTATAAGTTCAGTGAATGTATCATAGTATCGTGGATTTTGTTAATTCAGCGCAGCCTTTATGGCTCTAGCTTTACGGGTTTCTGTCTCCCCCTCTAGCTTTCGGGGGTTAAGAGCTCCATGGAGCTTGGGGATGGCGCTTTTCTGGTCTGTATACAGAGGCAGGATTGAAGAATAGTGTGGGTTAGTATATCAACACCATTTTCACAGCTAGAACAGTGGCGTATATATACTTACCTGATCACATCATGATGCCCACAAACCACAATCCACAAACCAAAGACACCCGCACCAGCAACTATTTATTTCCATCTATTTTAATCTATATACACACCTCCCGCACCACCTATTCATACCTCTCCTCCAGCCCCACAAACCTCTGATACACCTCCCCCGGGCTCAACACCCACCTCCCCTTCTCACCCACCACACACTCCACCGCCGCCGTTCCCCTCTCCCGATCCTTCTCCCCCACAACAATGATATAATTATACCCCTTCACCCTCGCCGCCTTCACCTTCTTCGCCAGCGAATTCCCACTCTCGTCCACATCCACCGCAAACGTCCGCCTCCCCATCGGCGCCGCCCCCACCCCGGCCCCCTCACCAACACCAGCAACAACCCCCCGCACCTCCCGCGCATAGCGCAGCAACGCCTCACTGTCCGCCACAGGCAGCACCACCGCCTGCCGCGGCGCCAGCCAGAACGGCCACCGCCCGCCATAGTGCTCCATCAGCAGCGCCATGAAGCGCTCAAAGCTGCCCAGCACCGCGCGGTGAATAATGACGGGCGTCACCAGCCCGCTCGTCTCGAGCTCCTTGGGGTCCGTGGGGGCCTCGCCGCGCGCCTCGGCCTCCGGCGCGGGCGCGAGATAGGATAGTCCGAAGCGCTGCGGCAGCTGGAAGTCCAGCTGGATGGTGGCCGTCTGGTGCTGCTTTCCGTCCGAGTCGGTGACGAGCACGTCGATCTTGGGGCCGTAGAAGGCGCCGTCGCCCGGGGAGAGGGTCCAGGGGGTGCCGGAGGCGTTGAGGGCTTGTGTTAGTGCGTCTTCGGCGCGGTTCCATTCGGCGGGGGTGCCGATATGGTGGTCGGGGCGGGTGGAGAGGACGAGCTTGTATTGGGGCAGGTGCAGCACGGTGTAGACGGTGTTGATGAGGCGCAGGGTGGCCAGGATCTCGGTGGAGATTTGCGAGGGGCGGCAGAAGATGTGGGCGTCGTCTTGGTGGAATTTGCGCACGCGGGTGAGGCCGCTGAGGGCGCCGGAGAGCTCGTTTCTGCGTGGGTGAGTTAGTCCACCGCTGTCTCTACTCCCGCGGCATGTGTAGTGGTGGGTAGGGTATACCTGTGTAGCGGCGCAAAGTCCGCATACCGTACCGGCAGATCCCTAAAGCTCCTCGTAGCACCCGCATGTTTAAATAGCAAGCAATGCCCCGGGCAATTCATTGGCTTGAGCCCATACTCCCCCTCTCCCTCCTCCACCTCCTCCGCCGGGTCCTTCTCCCCGCGCGCGGAAACAGAAAACATGTCATCCTTGTAGTTCTCCCAGTGGCCGCTGGTCTCCCACAGTGAGCGTTTGTAGATGGTGGGCGTGATGACCTCCTCGTAGCCGTAGACGGCGTACTGCGCGCGCAGGAAGGATTGCAGCTGGTTGAAGATGCGGGCGCCATTGGGCAGGAAGAGGGGTGAGCCCGGGGATGCGCCATGGGTAATGAGGAGCTCTTGGGAGGTGGCGATGGCGCGGTGGTCGGGACGTGCGGCGGCGGCGGTGGTGGTGGTGGTTGTGCTAGAGGGGGTGGTTGCAGTGGGCGCCGGGGGTGTGGTGCAGGAGCCGCAGAATCGGTGAAGGTGAGGGCGGGGGAGGGGGAGGGGGAGGGGGAGGGGGAGGGGGAGGGTGGTTCTGGCGGTGGACCGGAGGAGGGGCGAACCCGCCCGGAGGAAGGAGAGGTGCGGGCGCATTGCGGGTGTGTAGATGTTGCAGCGCCGGAGATGGGTTCGGTTTGTCGGGGATCTTTAATATTTGCTGGGGTGGGACCTGGGCCTGGCAGAGCCGCAGCTGTGGGGTGGGTGGGGCCCTGCGGTAGGGTAAGTAACGAGTGATAGCTGGCGAGAAAAGCCCTCTTCGACTGTGTATCGATTCCAAACAATGGGACATGTTTCTCGTCGGCCTCATGCATGAGCTCACAAAATAAAGGGAACACAATAAATAGAAACTCAATAGCCAGGTCACGGCTAATGTGGACAGAGAAGAGTACTAGACACATAATCCAAGACGTTTCGGGGGTGCTAGGCATCTCTTGACGGTGCCATATTAAGCCTTTATATATTATCACCGGTATAAGATCTACTCTTGGGAAGAATGCGGCCTCTCGGGTTGCATCTTTTGTGCTTTGGTAGATAAGTATATTAGTAGTGAGGTATACATATCAGATAACAAGGTTGCCTGAGCTTCATTGTAGACAGATATAAGCCATAATACAGCTGTAGGGACATATATATTTCCACGGGGGCATGAGAAGCTCTTTATACAGGTCGCCTGCTATCCTTTGGAAAGTGCACCGCCACCTGCGTATAGACTTTCCCGCACCCCCCTGATATACGTCTGCGTCTTTTTCGGCGTCGCCCCTGGAGCCCACACAGTGCAGAGGGTTCATTATTGGGTTGAGCGTTATCATTCTGATGTTTTGGGAGATTCTTGTTAACGTTGACTACCCTGAGGACCTGCGCCCTTGGTAGTGTAACGTCGAAGCTTTATATAGGATACCATACATCGAGTGAGATCCCATGAACGATAGATTGCGCGTTTCACCCGCGGAACGCATTATAACATTGAAGTGATACCCAGTGCCTGCATCCATCCAGCTGTAAAGTACCTCGTTGTGCTTAACCGAACCATAGTGTTCCTGTTCCCCTCGTCGAATCAGTTTCTTTGTTTCTCGGCTATCGATAAGCGGATAAGCGCAACAGATCAACCAAGCATTTCGAACCCAGCCTTCTGCAGGAGCTGTAACACGATCAGCAAGAAACCAAGCTTCACAGCGCTGCTCCTAGCAACTAAAGTCAGTAACGTCAATCTCTAAAGATCTGCAACGCCCCTGGCCAATGACAGGCATGCAGGATGTGGCGCTGCAGCCCCACCCAACTTGGCAACGCCACATGCGCCAGCACAGCAAGTACGGCGGCCAAAGGACAAGCAAGCAAGCAAGCAAGCAAGACATCAGGCAGCCAACAATGCATAGAAAAGCTGTCTCTCTCTCCATTCGAGCACTTCTTCTCTGCCACACACCTTGACCCCTCCCCGCACTCCCGCAATTCCCCCAGAAACATAGACAATGGCCCGCCGAGCCGCCACCACCAGCGGTGCTCCCGCCCAGCGCGGTCCCGCACCAGAGATCAAAGCAGACACCACGGACACGAGCTCAACAGCCAGTCGGGCTTCCACGGCACCTAAACCGTCGCGCAAGCGCCGTCCTCGGAACCGCTCGACCGCCTCGACCGCCTCAACAGCCTCTACCCCCGCGCCCAGCACTCCCACCCTCAAGCATCACACCACTAGTACTAACAATAGTAGCTATGATCCCCTCACAGAGGCCGTAATCAGCGCCCTCGCCGCCTTTGGTGAATTCTTCCTCTCCCTCATCACCTTCCTTCGCGACGCCCTAACCACCACGCTGCGTCTGCTGCGGACGCCGCTGTCCATCCTCCTCGGACTGTACCTCGTCGCCGTCACCGCCGCATACTGCTACCGCGCCCTGTCGACGCCTATTACGCGTGCGCTCCTCCCGCTATGTAGCATCCCGGGGGTCTCGTTGCTGGATATACCGCTGTGTAACACTGTATATACCGCGACCCCGACGCGCACGAGAACGGACTTTAAAGCCCTGGTCGAACTACAGACTTCCTTCGAGGACATCATTGAGAAAGCGGCCAGCGGCTCGGGCTTGGGTAATGACCTGAAGAAGTCGGAGTTCGCGGTGTCGGACTTGAATTCGCTGGTCCGCGCTTCAACACTCGAGTGCCGGTTTTGCCCCTCTTCCCCCCGCTTCGCAACCCGCCGCTAACAGAAACAGAGATGAGCTCTCCAGCCGCCTCGAATCCTTTATCACAGACGCGAAACGCACCTCCAAAGAACTTACACGGTTCAGCTCCAAAGTCTCCGGCGTTGTCGACTCCATTATCTCCATCGACAACTACGCTCTCCGCACGCTCTCCGCCGCCCGCGCAATCGAGCTCTCCGCAGCCCCGCACAACCCCGTGGTCGCATACGCGCTTGCACCGTTCCGGCGCTTCACGGCAGTGGCAGACGCGGAGGCGTCCGTCAGGGACACCTTTGTGAGGGCGGGTAATATCATGGAGGAGAACATCAGGGGGTTGGTGTTGAGGGCCAAGGCGTTGTTGAATGATCTTGAGATGATGGAAGAAAAGTTGAGAGTCATACAGGAGGTTGTGGCGAGGGAGGGGAATACTGTTAATGAAGCGTATGACGATGTGGTATGTCTCCCTTAACACCCACACCCCTCACCCCCGTACCGGGCACTAACAGACAACAGCTATCCCACCTCTGGACGCTCCTCGGCGGTAACCGCGGCGTCATTGGCCGCTACCAGTCGCAGCTGTCACTCCTCACCGACCTCTCCGGCTACCGTGGAAAGGCAATGGCGCATGTTCGCGTGTCGTTAATGCGGCTGGAGAAGATGCAATTGGACCTGGAGGATCTGAGAGACCATATGGCGAGGCCGGGGGTGCTGGCGGAGGCAGGGATGGAGGGGCTGCCGTTGGAGGTGCAGATGGAGACGATTAGGAGGGGGGTGGACAGGTTGAAGGGCAGTATGGAGAGAGCGAAGGAGTTGACGGATAGGTAGGCTTTCCTTTCTTGTGTTTCTGGTTTACCGTTTTGGGGGGTCTGCTGTTAGTGGGTCCTGGATATCTGAAAAGGTGGAGGTGTGGGAAAGGGGGTTGGCTAATAGTGGGTGTGTAGGCAACAAGAGAGAATGTTAGCGAAGGATACCGGGAGTATCATTGGGATAGAACAGGCGCTGGACGGATGAGCTCTCAGAAGAGGTGTGTTTTTTTTCGGGGTTTGAGGGACCTTTTCTCTTGTTTCTTGGACTGGGTTGGAATTGGGGCTGTTATTATTGGGCTGGGATGGGATATCTTCTCTGTTTTTGTTTCTTTCGTGTGTTTTTATTGTTTTCTTTTATCGATTTTGTTGGTTTTATTTTTGGTCCTCGGTCTTTGGTTTCCGGTGTCTTGTTTATAAAAGTGTCTAAAACAGTAAAAGTGTGTACATGGCGCAAGCGGAAAATAAACATCCTGTCTACTATGTAATTAGCTGGTCTGATTAGTTAGAAACGGGATCATGAACCATCACTCGCCGCCCGCGTGGAAACATGCCCGTATGATCATTGACCCCCAGTGACGGGCTTGGCATCACATTATTGAAATCGGCGGAGTGGGCGGGGGCCGGGGTAACGTACAGCTAGGATGTTTCCAGGATGATGACGACCGGATCTGTATATCCGAAGGACGGATTGGTGTCGAGAATATCGCTCATGTTGTTTCGCTATCGCTCGGCGGCTGATTGGAGGATGGAAGGAGTGATGGTTTATGATGGGGATTATAATAGCGGTCGTGACAGCTCAACTTATAGGGCCTCGAAGCTAACACATATGCTGAGCTACTTACAGCCACGTAATATTTGCAACGTGTTTGAACATATAGTCCGATAATCTGTCCCGCCCATGATGGTGGCTCTGTGTTGAGAAGCCGGGAGCGGGGGCGGGACGATAGTACTCCACGCTAGCGGGCGACCACCCTTGGTGGCTTGCACGGTGGCTCGTCCCGGATAACGAAACCGTCGCCGCTATCGCCCCTCAGCACTACCTCTGTCATGAAGCAACGTCGCTGGATCAATAGTATCACCACCGGCACCACCATCGATAAAGACCACCGCGAGCATTAGCGGGCGTGTGTGTGTGGTGAGGAATATGGAAATCAATAGGCTACCCCATGCGTAGGCGTGTATCATGGTTATAACTCGGCCGTGCACTGCGGACGGGGCGAACAGTTGGAGAACCAGCACCCTGTGTGCGAAAAACGGCGCAATAGTAATATCGGCACTTCATAGCAGCTAACGTACATACTCCGGATAGAAGAGTATGTGTCTGGATGAGGTCCGACGGGAAGGATCTCAATGGCTGTCAATGGCTGTCAATGGCTGTCAATGGCTATCAATGACTGTCGAGGGCTGTTGCATTATCTCTGTGTGTATCTCACATTGCCATCAGTTGCAAAGCAAGGCGACTCATGAGGGAGCAGTAACACTTATGGCACTAGTACTTCGATGAGGTGGAGGGTATTGACTTCACAGGAGTCCCGGGTAACTCTCGCTGCTCATGTAGGCTAGAGGCGCTTGGGAACTGTATGCCGGAGGATAGGGAGTTGACTATAGGAGCTTAGATGGTGGGAACAGAGTGGTACGCTGCGAGAAAGATAAACCTGGACTACCCCGAGGGGTAAAATCCAGATGCTTAAATGAAGGGAAAGAGTTTCTCTAGCTAGCACGGCTGCTCAGATACGTTCTAGGATTCTCATATAACGTTTGTTGCAGTGATATATAACCGTTTAAGACAATTTATCTACCATTCGGAGCTTTGGCTTCGCCCTTCAATACGAGACCAATCAGTGGAATCCGAGTATTCTAACGCGCAAGATTTGAAACGCTTTTAGCTTCGTAGTACCCAACAGAAAGCAGGGCAGGAGGTCCTTTGTCCAGAAATATCTCCTACAGAAGGCCTGGAACAAAATGGATACTCCTACCATTCGTCGCTCACCAACATCGTACTTGATGGCTGCGATCTAGACCTATAAAAAGGGTTAAATGAATGTCACGGGTTCAACCCACGGATAATGACAGGACTTTGAGGCCCAAAATAACCCAAGAAGGTTTGCCCATAGAAAAGTCGTAAGATATCACCCTGCAGCGGGTTGAAGCGGTGGACTTCAATAGGGAATCAGAGAAGAAGCAATCACGTGTGGAATTAATGAATGAAGAAATTTGGGCATATTCCCGAGGAATATGTTTATTCAGACTATAAGGAGAACATCAGCACCAGCTCTACCCTATATATCAAGTGAAGGAAGCAAACAGACTTTCAGCGCATTGACATCATGAGTCTATTACTTAATCTATCAACGGAAAGCTGTCACCAGGTCGCGCCTTGTAATAACGGGTTTGCTTATCGGCCCATAAGGAAAACTATTGGCGGATTGATAAGATGTCATGTGCAATAACAAACAAGTTCCAATGGAGTGTCGTGAAAATGGACGCATCTATGAGTCGTGGCCAAACTCACAATTGCATTCCGAGACGCCGATATCTGTAGTAGGGACCAATACCAGCCTTTCTCAGTTCGGCCAATTGATAAACTTTTATGATTCTTATTGCGACGATGTGTGTTCAGGTGACAAGGAGTACAGCCTCCTGTTCCTTTGACATTCACCCATTGATCAATGAGAGCAAGAGTGAATTTGAGTGTGCTCAGACGGACGGTTAGGCTCCGTTTGGTATCAATGGGGCTGTTGCCAGTATTCGACCAGCCGTTCAGAGTCCTGGGAGGCCTTTGAGCAACAAAAGCCGGTCAGAAGGTATTTGGCAACGTACGGCAGCCTATACTTACAAAAGGGCAAATACGCTTTCCGTAAATGTTGATTTTCAGGAGCGATAGTGACTAGGCAAGGGGTAGAGCAAGCTAGTAAATATAAAGATATTAGTTCAATTTTAGCTGGGAACACTAGTAGGTGTGTTTTTGCACTATCTTTTGCCAAAAATGAAATTTTTTTCGGTGAACAGCTACTATATAATATGAATATAATGTCGTTATTTGAATTGATTTCCGACTCATAGACCATACAACCTTTCAATCCACGTTTCCAACTTGAACTACAAGAAAAAGACTCATCATGTCGACCCGATTCTGTGCTGAAAAGCCTAGGTTAGAACACAACACACTGAATAGTAAAGGCTTTGCTTTCTGCGGAGTTCAGTTATCATACGCATCACTGAAAGCTGAAAAAAAACTACAGGTAATGACTCTTTTAGATTCTGATTCTGATGACTCTTTAAATCAGCCATCATCCCCAATACAATCACAGGTCTCCAACGCAGCTTTGAAAACCCCGAGAAAACCTAGTTCCAGCAAACGGTCTCTATTTGAGAACGAAGTATATATCAAAGAAGCCCGATCGGTGAATTTTACCACTATGAAACGTGCAGTGAACGGGAATAATGTTGGTACAGTAAACTATTAGTACAGTGGAGTATTTGAGGCCGGGGATTATGAGGCATCTGTAAAACCATAGAGACTTATTATTTTAGATATATTTATTGGTTATTAAGGACAAAAGCCTTCAGAATACAAGAAACTCGGTAGAAACTAGTATGATGCCCAATAACTGCATTGTTTACTAATATGTATAATTAGATCCAATTAACATAATGTTTCCCGATTGTCAAGTTACGGAGTATAAACAATCAAAATTTAACAACAAACTCTGTCACTTTGTTGAAGATTCTATTGAACTGCAAATCAATTTGACAACCTTGCCGGTTTGTACTAGTTCAAAATTGATATCACTGCAATTTCTTTCCCCCGACTTCAGTAACAAGCATGTATTTACTAGACTACCACTGCCTACGACCAAGAACAGGTTCTGTATCAACAATTTATTGAAATATTTTCCTAAAGAGAGAATAACATTAGTAATGCAGACCGAATGTTATGTGGTGCTACAGACGTGGATGAAGATATAGACTATGGTTGCCAAGGAACACAACTTAAGAAAGGACGTGAATGTGAACGATGGTCGAAGCGATATACTGTAAGCTCCCTTGGTATGTCATACTAGGGGACTATGGCTATGAACTATTGACTGTAGAAATACACGAAAGGCGAATCCGTATCTGAATACGGTATCCGAACTGGTGTAATGTAGTGCGAAAATAGTATTGTAAGCTAACAATACAGAGGGAACGAAGAAGAAGAAGAAGAACTTTCATATTGCTTCGAAGTACAAGACTTATCGCATGCCTAAACATTCCGCCAAAGAAAAACACAAACAAATAAACAAATAAAAGAACAAATAAAACAATGAACCAAAGAAAAGAAAAACCATAACCATTCAAACATTAAAAGCAGCGTGTTTGTCCAGTCTGGGCGTCTGGCAGCGGATGCGGTACAGCTGTCTTGCTTTGGAGCGGGGAAGTTTAGCGAGTTTGTTGTGGGGTTTAAAGTCCTCTGTATGGTGGTAATTGGTAATAGGTTGAGTATTCCATTCGTCTAATAATCGTTTTCGAAGCATATCATTCTGTATCCATTGCTCCCGCTTGTCTCCTGGTATCTGGAAGGGGAGTAGGAGTGAAGCTATTCTGTTAAAGCCTGTTCCTTTAACGTTGGCTTCTTTGGGGGGGAGTAGGGAGGTAAGAGTTTCGTTATTCGGGTGGTCCACGGGGGAACAAAGCATTCTCGTTCTATATTTGCGTTATCTGTAAGTGAGGAGGAGCTCAAGTGGGGGGAGTGCTGCTTCATTTAAAAGTTTCTCTTGTTTAGTCCATCTCGGGAGGCCAGTAATTACTCGGGCAGCCTCGTTATACAGGGGGGATAGTGATTGGGTTACTTCAATTGAACCTTGAGTAAACACATGTACTTAATTATTCAATTATTTTAATTACTTATTTTGTGACACTGCTCATAGTCGAGCAGTGCTATCTGACGTCCACTGTCCGCTGTCAACTGCCTAATTTACACTCGTCCGCTCGCCCGCTCGTCCGCTCGTCTACCCGTCCACTCGTAGTCCAGCAGCACTGTATGCTCTCTGATACTACCAGTAACTGCACACCTATCTTAGTTATATATAATACAATATAATTATAAAATACTTAATAATTAAAATAATTATAATATGCACAATCAAAAAATAATATCTAAGATAGGTCCCAACCCGCATTGGGAAATTTTTTACAAAAATAGTTTAGGCATGTTTCACCCCGATACAAATTTTCTGCACAAATTGTTTTAGTATATTGAATTCCATTTGTATTAGCGGATACCAGAAGGCTTTATGAACAGCCAATATTAAGTGCAGAACCCTGTCTAGAAAGTTGTCGGGGATTCATCGGCGGTTACTATCCCAAGCAAAGTCAACAGAAAGTCATAGGGAAAAGCATATAATTGGGCGGATATATTAGCAAATGCATCGATAAATGTACTCCTAGGGAAATGCCATTAGTAAAGGAATCAGTAAAGCAATCAGTAAAGGAATCAGTAAAGCAATCAGCAAAGGAATCAATAATTGGTTACTAGAAGGATTATCATCAGTAAAGGAATCGATAATACATCGGTCATACAACTCGTGACAGTTTATGTATCTTGTGATGCATTTACTTGCCGTGCTCACGTAGGCAATGTATCGATTGATGCATAAACAGCCGTGGTAGAGCTTTATATCGCCGAGTTTTTAACTACTCTATTCAATTGCTGAAGAATAGAATTTACGTCATAAATGTACCTATGAGCTGACGATAAGTGTGCGCCAAAGCGCTATAATTAACATTTTCTGTTTACCGCTATTCTATGCTTCGCCCAATACTTTGTACCACATCGATCGAAAGCGCCTTAATACTATTCCTAATACCATAAGCTGCTCGCAGTAGTGCTTAAATAAATGTTTTTGTGCCAGTTTAGATCTCCAAATTTGCTACGATTCACTACTCAGTCTCAAACATCGAATTTACACTATGTGTACCAACAACCAATGTAAAATAGCTACCCATGCCCGAACCTCGCCGACCGAGACACCGATCACCGGAACTCCGCGCGAGGAACCGCATCCTCCGAGCTGTCTTTGTGATCTCTGCGTCACAATCATATATTTTTGAAAAGCAACAGAGTTTTTGAAAAGTGCGTGCTCGAGTTTGGAGGACGGAGTACGCCAGTGGAAAGTCATTTATTATTACGTCTAGTTAGAGGGAATGGAGGAATTCAACGGTGTAGGGAGCTCTATCAGCAAGCCAGCGGTTTCAGTAGGGCGGAGAGTCCAATAGAGAAATGAGTTCTATTATAATGATTGGAGGATATGGAGGGTCTTAATTCGCGGTTCGTTCAAAGCTTTATTCATACTTTTGTACCTTCGTCTCTGCAAATTACAATTAGTTTCTATAAAAATATCTGTCTTAAGAGAAAGACCAAGCTCCACCGTTCATCGATTGCATCATTAAATAGCTTAAGTAACGTTACCTACCCCCAAATCGGCTTAGCTTGGCCGCAGTCTTTAGCTAGTCTGGTACCCATCGTCTACTTAGCAGCAAGCTGCTCACCATGGAAGTAGAGGGGTTGGGGACGAGCATAGTCTTTAGCATAAGTTGATATTTAAATAACTGGCGTAATTGAGGGCATTGTAGCTACGTGCTTACGCCATTTGTAGCCTCTCTGAGCTTTACTGTATGTGCTATTGAATCTCTCACTCCGTCCGATTGTAGTCGATTGTTTAATTGCAGTCACCCGCAATCACCAGTTTTATGCAACGCCTAGGATAAGTATAATCTATAAACTCTAGGCTACGAGCTAAGACAATGTCATCTAAACCTAATGAGAAAACGAATGACATGACATCCAGAAGAATCTCAAGCTTGGTAATGCAGTCCATAGTCCATCCGTAGTCTGGCTGTAGTCGGTAGTAGAACTACTAGAACGGTGATCCCTCGTCTATAAATTAGTTACTTGCTATCTAGCGATTAGTTTACTGATGAGGCTATCTATTGTCAAGTCAGCAGGCCTTGTGTCGTTGCCGATCGAATAGCTGCCCTAACTGTAACCGCCCCAGCAACCAGTGCGCCATACCATAGTAATCCGCGTGTTCTCTTTACGTGGGATATTCAAATAGCACGTCAGGCATTGTTTTCTGAATAGTTGATCCGATTCCAAGTATTCGAGCAACGGTCTTACCATATGAGTTTCACTATCCTTATTGCCATGGTAACCAACGTGCTCTCTTTAATGAGATAGTCAACGGTCCCGTCTGGCAGTCGACAGGTCTCAATTAAACTTATAGTCATTAACTAGTATTCCAATGGTTGATTTAATAGTAACCAATCCAGCAAAAGCTTTGCCATGTGTAGTCGTCGTGAGTTTTCTTTACCAGTTGCCATAACAACCAGTGTGCCCCAGCCCAACCATCAACGGCGCCTTAGCCAGCCAGCTTACCCAGCCCACCCACGAATACCCCACTAGAGAAGATCCCCCAATGGACTCACCCACAGCCAGCTGAGTACGACGGGAGCGACCTCCCATCCCTCATAGATCAAGTCAGAGCTCTCGCTATCGTCGTAAAACCTACAAGCAGTGACGTTTCGAACTGCGATATCGACCGAGTGATAGGTAATGATGCACTCGCCCAACGCCCCCCGGGCCGGTGGGCCCGCGTTGCGGCGGCCACCTCACCACGGCCGGCCAATCCATGGAGGGATAGTTCTTATCGCCCCATCGCCCAGTATCCTACACCATATACACTTACCACCGGTCCCCAACGGACCATGCAAGGGACGCACACGCCCGTCATATCAGCACCACCGTAACTGAGACTACAGAACACAGTCTACACCATCAGACCCCCGATACTTCGGCCACCACCCTATGGCTTATTCCCACAATAGGCTCTTCACGAGATGCCTACACAACTGCCAGATGCCCAAAACCGCGCAGCGGCGGCCCGTCGATGTTCCTAAGCTGCCGGGCTCACGCATCTGGGGCCGTATATTAGGACATAACTGTAGACCGGTTAGACCTCATGACTGAATCAACGAAACCAACAACCCACAGTCCCTTACCCTATATACGGCGAAAGTAAACGACCCAGAGACTCTATCTCTCCTCCAACTAGCGGGGTAGAGCATACTAGTATAAGAGTCGAGACCAGTGGGTAGGCCAACTACTGAATGAACGCTAACCCAGGTTATCAAAATCCCGCTCAGTGCTACCCCCGACAGCTACTGGTATGGTTGGTATGGAGATGGGAGAGACACAGCCGTCTCCATCTAGCTATCCTAAACCGGGGAATTATTCGCCCAGGGCCGTGTTTAGCATTAACAGGACAAGTTGGCTCTTGCATGAGCGAGAGTGAGCCCTAACCCTAGCAGTATATACCAACCCTATCAAACGAATGGACCCTCTAGAGCTCCCAGCGATATATTAGCTTTGAGAAACATCACTTCGAAGAACATAGCCACCTCTCCTGAGCTCATGCATGTTTTCGGGTACTAGCCGCCCGTTCCACGTCTATACATTGAACCAGCTCTACACATGTACTCTTCCGGGCGGAAACCATGTTCTATAGACATCAATCTAACGCGCCAGCGGCCACTCCAGGTCGAGCCTTACTGACCTGTCAACCCATATTCGCCAACGACACCGAAAAGCGTGTTATATCTCACGATCTAAGTTCAACCATCTACTCCCAATTACAAGCCAAGTTTTATCTCATCTAACTGTTACGCCGTGGACAACGATTAATTTCAGCAGAGCTAGCAGAATCATATATGCACATAACCCCCCGGCCCCTCCCTTCCCCCACGCACCCACCCTACCCCTCATACCCCGGCGGCGGGCCTATCCCCTTCCCCGCCGGCGCCTCCCCCGTCCCCTTCATCTTCCCCGCCTCCTTCACATCAACCACCATGTACGTCCTATCGGCCCTCACCCTCGCCAAGCACGTATTGTGCAGCAGCTCTGCGCCGGCCACGTCGACCAGGAGCCATTCGCCCTTGTTCAGCTTGGTGCTGGGGCCGAGGTCCGCGAGGATCTTGTCGATCTTGTTCTTGATATCCTAGGGTTGTTAGTATAGGTGCAGGGAGGTGAGGGGGGGGGGAGGCGTACGGAGGAGTTTTGATAGGGCACGGCGAAGGGGAGGTCGTGCCCGGGGAAGAGGAGCTTAATTTGTGCGTTTCTGGAGGTGTTAGCTGGAATGTACGGGGGTCATGGCGAGGGGAGGGAAGGGTGTACCCCATGGTTATATGTTTCTGTGATTATTGATTCCTGGCGCGGAGCTGGTTCTTGGTTCTTGGTTCTTGTTTCTTGCTTCTGGGGAGAATAGTGTGGACAGTGGGTCGGGGGTTTATATCGCTCTTCTTGCGCTCGTCAATTTGCTCATAACTGATATTCATGATCCCAGCGCACGCGCAAGGCAGCAGTGTACTGCCGGATACCCAGCAAGGTCAATGATCACTAACGCGACGTTGTGCTACAGTACAGTGGCAGGAACCGGGGCTGTGTAGCGGAAGTGCAGATCACTGGTTGGGCTGGGCTTAAGCGACGGCTTATCTGCACTTCACATGCATGGGGGCTGTGGACGACGACGTTGACATGGCGGTGCGGGGGGATCGGGTGCTTTTGTGACAGGTCGTCACCTGGTAACACTTCGTATTGCGGTTTCAGGTAATAGTGCACTTGTAGATATATGAGAAGTGTTTGTGAGCGAAAAAATATATGTGTCGTGTACGGTAGAATAAGAATAACACGATAACCGTCAACAAAGAAACAATAAAGAAACAAAAGTATCAAACATCACCCAACCCAAACCCCATTCCCAAAACCCAAAACAAAAAGGCAAGCACCATCCATCCACCTCGTCAACACCCCACCACTCACCTCACACCCCCAGCGTCGTCGCCGAATTCGCCGCGCCCGTTGCCGCCTCCTGATAGACCGGCGGCGGCGACGACACCGGAGTCACCGCTGGCCCAGCCGCCACCCTCGCACACGCCGCCTTCAAATCAGCCGCGTTGAGCCCCGCGGCCTTCATCGGCAGCACCATGTACGTGCCATTGCTCCTCACCATATTCCTCACAAAGGCCTTATGAATGACGATTGAGGAGTCGACGTCGACGAGGATCCAGTCGCTGGGGGTGGGCATGTCGATTTGGATTATGGCGCTGGAGCCGTCGGAGGCGGGGATGGTGAAGCCGCCGGTTTTGGTGACGCCTTTTTGCTCCATGTCCTCTAGAATGACGTTTATCTTTGAGACGATGTCCTGTGGGGGTGTTAGTGGGGTGGTGTGGCGAGAGGGGGGGGGGGGGGGGACACACGGGGATCTCGTTGCCGGGGATGGTGAAGGGCATGGCGTGGGAGGGGAAGAGGAGCTTGAATTGGCCGTTGCTGTGAGGTACGTTAGTGTTAGTTACATAGGTTCTTGTGCTGTGCGGGCGCAGGCGGGGATAGCTTACCCCATCTTGAATATGTCTATTGGTATGATCGTGGGATATATGTATAGCTCGTTAGGATCTGTGTTGTACGTCGTGTAGTGGAGCGGTCGTGGTGGTGGTGGTGGTGGTGGTGGTGGTGGTGGTGGTGGTGGTGGTGGTGGTGGTGGTGGTGGTGGTGGTGGTGATAAAGAAGACTCCCTCACACACGTAGGCAACCAATGGGCGCTGCCCGCTTCTTAAGGCAACCAAGTGGTTGCGTCACATGTTTGTCTGTGGGGTGGGGAGGTGAGACATGTATGCTGTGTTACGTTCATGGGGTGTCACTCGAGTGTATATCTCAGCACGGGGCGACCAAGGTGTAACATTCCAAGCGGGATGTTTGGCTAACTCGGCGGGAAGAGTCAGCTAGGTAGAGGACAGAGAGCCACATTGCGAGCAATAGCTTAGGTGCCCATTGGAGTGGAGAATAAGAAGCGAGGAGATGTCCCCTTACTAGCACAACATCTAGACTTCTCAACGACACGTCCGCATATTAAGCTCAACTCACGGTATGTACCTTTGCATTCCTAAATATTGATCGGTTTTCTGCTGTTTATTGCTGACTGTTGAGATGGATCGATGCTTATTTTCCGTCTACGCGGTATAATCTATGTGCAGCTAAAGTACTCATTTACCGCTGGTCGGCTACCTGTCCACACAGACGCCTAATCGGCCCAAGGCTTGTACCCAGCCTGCTACCGAGTCGCCCTATGTTTTGATGTGCGGCTGTTATTGCCCACCTCGTTTGAGCATAATTCTCTACTTAGTCTTTAGAAGCTTCTGAGTGATTGGCAGAGCTAGCTACATCTAGCTCTGCATGTGCAACGAACCCCTCGGTGAATATTTTCTCTATTATGGGTGAGTGTCTGAATATGATATATCTACTTATACTACAACTAACCGCGGACATTAAACGCCCACCACTTCTCCTCCTACCTTTCAAGAAAATCCACTATCAAAGAGAACCCCCTATCTCCTACAACTCATCATGCATCACTACCCCGCCTAATCTATCAGTTCAAACCCAGAGAAAGAAAGAAAAGAGAATCACCCACTTCTGCACAGCCTACCGCTATCCTCCACCGTCCACCTGTCGCTACCCACCGCAGTGATCGCATAGAAGATGTGCTCCGGATCATACTTGTCCTTGATCTTGAGCAGGCGGTCATAGTTCACGCCAAAGAACTCCTTCTGGAAGTTTGGCTCGTATGGGTCGGCCTCGTTCATGTACACGCCCGAGTCTGGGGCAAGCTCGCGGAGCGCGGCGTCCCACACATTGGTGATGATCTTTTGGTCGGCATAGGCTTTCGACATTGGTGCCGTGTCGTTCCAGGGACTATCGCAGCTGTTAGTATATCTAGCTCTGCAGGATGGGATCAATGCTTACATGGTGACAACGATACTCAGCTCATTGTCTCTCCACGCCGGGAGCACCGCGTTGTCAGGATACCCAGCAATCTCCATTGTCGGATGGGTGGTGATCTCGAAGATCAATGAGCCGGTATCAATGATCCCCCGAATCGCCTTGTTCAGTCCCTCGCGGTTCTCCAGCACAGTCTTTCGGGGGATGAGGCGGCCACCGTACTGCGCAATGCCAACTACGTTATAGTCAAACATGTCGTTAAACGCGGACAGATACGACGAGAACTCGGTCATGTTGTACGTGTATGGCAGCTCCAGCTCATCCAACTTCGCGACCAGCGGTGCCAAAAGCTCCTCACTCTCGGTCTTTGTGAGGCCGGGCCCAAACCACGGGCCCAGAGAGAACGACCCCGTGAAAAACGCATTGACACTGAAGGCCCCGCGGTCTGTATACGACAGCGTCATCTGATGGAAGAAATCCAGGGCGTCATACCACTTCTCCACCATCTCCGCACTCCCATCATGCGTGAACGTCAGTGTCGCGGCCGAAGTCACCCCGTCCGGATGCGCCTTCACCGTCATGGACGTCACCACCCCATACGTCCCTCCACCACCGCCGCTCAGTGCCCAATACAGATCACTATTCTTCCTCCGATTCGCCACGCGGTGCTTCCCGTCCGCCGTCACAACCTCCCACTCAAGTACCTGGTCCGCCGCCAGCCCATACCTCGACATCAACGCGCTGTGCCCGCCCCCCTGTGTATACCCCCCCGCAATGCCGACCGTATCGCACTCGCCCCCCACCACGGTCACCCCATACGGATCCGCCGCGCGATACGCCTCAAACCCCTGCACGCCCGCGCCCAGCTTCATCGCCGCCCCCGTCCAGTTCGCCGCCCCACTGTACGCCGGGATGTACGTGATGTCCTTCAGATGGTGTGTCCACACCGCGAGGGCCCCCGCGCCCGTCGACTTGCCCAGATAGTCGTGCCCCGTGTTGCGCACCACCAGCCTGACATTGTGCTCCTTCGCGAACGCAATTCCCGCCGCGATGTCCGCGGGCTCCGTCACATTGATGGCGTACCTGACATAGTTGCCCAGCTCGCACGGCGTGCTCGGGTCCGTGAAGGGGTCGCAGCTCTGCGCCGCCCACACGGGCGCCATGATGGACGACGAGGATTCGTCGTGGGCGGCCGTGTCGTGCCAGGTGTCTTGCAGGGCCTTGCATTTCTCCGCGTCGTAGGTCGGGGCGTGGCAGACGGACCCGATGGGGACGGTGGCGATGAGGCGGCCCGAGACGGTGGTGTTGAGGGCGGCCCAGTCGGCCGCGGAGGGCCAGCAGGGGTCCGTGGGGAAGCAGCGGCAGTCGGGGGTGCTGCTGGTGGCCGCGGTGAGGGCGGCGAGTGCTGCGAGGGTGAGGAGGCGGGCGGTGGGGCGTGGTGGTGCCATTGTAGGTACTCTACACGGTCAATGATGGGAGAGGTGGTGTTGGGTGTGTTGGGGTAATGATTAGAGGGGAGGGGGCTATTTCTACCTATGCCTCATCCCAGTACCTCCCTACGGGGCCATGGGCGCGGTCGGTAGGCTCCGAGGAAAAGTACCTGAGGCAGGTAGTTATGTTGCACATTCGTACTGAGTCGCTGCAATGCAATGCGCTGCATGGACAACTTGATCTCCAGGGTAGGGGGCCGCGGTGTGCCGTGCTAAGGTGTGGTGGGACAGGGATGGGCTGATCGGTCGGGAAGACAGCCCTATGTGGGGCAAGGTTTGGTGGGTTAGTAGGGATGGCCCCTTTGGGATTGTGCGTATCTGCTGGTTGATTGGAATAGTAGGTGCCAAGATGTGAATAGACAGTATCCCTTGGACGGATGAAACTCTCAAATTCGCAGCTTCCCTCTTTCAGCTAATACTAGCCCTATCCAGTAACTCGTGCTGATTTTTGATTGGCTGTATTATAATCACCGCACACAAAAAGCAAGAAGGTTACCTGACTAAGTGCGTGCACGGTCCAGGCTGCGAATTTGAGAGTTTCATCCGTCCAAGGGATAGGTGGAGGAGCGAACAGACAGGAACAGGCTACTTGGATTCGCTTGGATGATAACGTTATCCCAGTGCGTATGTAGGGAGATATGCTAAACATACAGTAGGCAGAGAGTCTCGGAAGAAGTCGAGTCTTGGGGGCGGTGAGTACGATGGTACGCTCTAGCCGGTTGTATCATCATACCTAATAAATAAGGGGACTTATATTCCCGGTCCTCTGCTATTGTAAAGACTGTGGTGGTTCGATCATTGGCAGGCCTGTACCGAATATCCCTTTTCGGATGTTGCAAAAAAGCAAAGAACGAATTGACCCGGTTGTGGAAGTAGTATTTACATACTGCAAGGGTTGACTTATAGTCGCAATAATCTACTTACACAAGTTCTAATACGGAGCCTGGGTGGTATTTACAGGGCCGCTGGCCCCACTCATATGGGCGTTATCAACCTTCTAATCATTGACACTAGTTAAGGGACGTGGTCGTAACATGAGTCGTCGGTTTCTATCAATGATCGTGATACCGTGAAAAGAGAAAAAGCACAAAGCTACTCAAAGAGGCCTATGATGTAATTCCGCGCAAGATTACCAACCCTTCATGAATGAGACCCCGTTCTGCGATTGGCCAAAATAAAATATGGTTTATCGTTAGCCCGCTTGCCCGCCATCCATGAACCATTCACCAACGGCGCAGGACCACGCGGTTGATGTTTAGATTGGCGGCATACTATGCGCGGCGGACCTTAGCTTAGTTCTTTAAGTCCCAGTAGTGATGTGTATCGACCATGCAAGGAATGCATTTACGGTTGCAACATATATGATGATTGTGTGCTTTCCCATTCGTCTCGTCAACTACTTTAGATGAGCGTAGTAACCTGCGTCAGACCAAGTAGGTTCGAGCAATTAATCACTAGGCACTCACTAGATTGCCTACAGCAGATATCCAGCGAGAACACATGCACAGAATAAACGCAACTGTAGCGCCTATTGATCCGAAACACACACAACAGCAATGATGGTGACCATTCCTCGAGACAAGGACAGGCAAGGACAGGTACTTGTTCTTCTAGACAACCGTCCTCCCTACAGGCAATGACACAGGACGCTCGTCGTCCTCGCTCGTGGACCACGCTACCTAAAGTCAAGCCATTGATGCTACATGCATCTATCTCCCGTCCAGTCCAGTCCAGCGTAAAAAAGTCAGTCATTTTCGTACCCCTATATAAAGCCGCAAACTGACCATAAGTGATTGTTTCCATGCACGTTGTATGTCCCAGCCTAGCTAGATATGTATATACCCTGGAAACCAGCACGGATATTTTTATCTGTCCACAGGATAGACCAGCCCCCAACATTTATCACAATTATATGCATTTCATCCACAACAAACGAGCCAGGCGGCACCTATAGATACGTCCCCTTGCCTAATCGCTACCCAAGACGAACAATAAATCACCAAGAGCCCTCTCTCTCCTCCCTTCCATATTATCATCCCAAGTACCTCGCCCGCAATCAACCGAAAACCAAACTCCAAGAGTCATCGCCTCCCCACGCCGTAGAGGGTGGGGAGGCTGATGGATGCGTACTCGGGGAGTCGAACCCCGTTCTCCCGCTTGGGAAGCGAAAATCATAACCGTTAGACCAAGTACGCTTGCTCATCCTCTTTGTTTGTACATCTTTATTGGCTGTGTGCGGGGTAGGTAAGCTCTGGTACGACGTGAAGGTTTGCCAAGGGTTACTAATCGGGGTGGTGGTATGGCTTTATCGGTTTACCAACGCAGTGATCATTGGTCCCACAAAATAATCATCAGAAGTTTCAATTCGCTTGTCATTTATTTCAATTCCCAGGTATCGACCGTATCGTAATCCCCTCCTCCCCCTCCTCTCCTCTCCGCCGCTCCCTATCCAGCAGGCCCCCCTTTTTTTTTCATAATAATACAGAACTACAACTTCCATCTTACAGCTTACTCTCGCCGGTGTGGCTAGAGAACAACAACAACCCACGGTTAGAAACAACAGTCCCCAAAAAGCAAGACCACCCCCCCCCCCCCAATAAATAATTCCTTGTACTATACAATGGCGGGATTTAACGAAATGATGCAACCTACTCGAGATCGGCGATCTATATTACGCAGTCAGTGTACTATTCGATTCATCTATAGTAATTGATACGGGGGGATGGTGCATACCTTCAAACAAGCCTTTCCAAAGTTCTCCCCCTTCAGCATACCCACAAACCCATCAACCGCGTTCTCCAACCCCTCCGTCACCGTCTCCCGGTACACAAACTCCTTGTTCACCAACCACTTCCTAATATTCTCCTGATGCTCCTTCGTATACTTCGGTCCCATATTCGGATCCCCCACAATGAAACCCCTAATCGTCAGCCTCTTTGCCACAATATTCATGGTATTCTTCAACCCATAAATCTCATCGCTGCTCTTCACATTATACTGCGAGATCATGCCGCACTCGATGAAGCGCGCAAAGTCCTTCGCGGCGTTCAGCGCCGCGTCGAGCGTCTCGCCGCCAACGTTGTCATAGTAGATGTCGATGCCCTCGGGGGCATACTTCTTGAGCGCCGCAGAGGGTGACTCCGTCTTGTAGTTGAAGGCGGCGTCGAAGCCAAGCTCAGACTTGAGGAAGGCTACCTTCTCGTCGGAGCCGGCGGAGCCGACGACGCGGAGGCCCTCGCGCTTGGCGAGCTGGCCGACGATGGAGCCGACGGCGCCGGAGGCGGCAGTGACGAAGATGGTTTCGCCCTTCTTAGGCTTACCGATCTCGTAGAATGAGGAGCTGGGTGAGAGATAGATGTTAGTTAACCATTGACTTAATTCGGGATATACGGCATGCATCGTGCGGGGGAGCGGGAAATACTCACTAGGCGGTCAATCCGGGCATACCCAAGATACCCAAGAAGTAGCTGAGCGGGAATCCCTCCTTATTATCGAGGACCCTCAGACCGCCGAGCCTCTCCTTCGGCACAACGGTGTACTCCTCCATCCCGACATGGCCAGTGACGATGTCGCCCTCCTTGAAGTCCGGGGAGTCTGACTTGACGACCTTTGAGACGCCGGCGCTGTCGATCGGGGAGTTGAGGGTGAAGGCCGGGGAGTAGGAATTGATCTCGGCGGGGCGCATGCGGCCGCGCAGGTACGGGTCGAAGGAGACGACTCCGTTCTTGAGGATCACGCCGCCGGCGGGGACGGCGTCGAGGTCGACAGAGAGGGTCTCGAGGCGGAGGTTGTCGGAGTTGGGGTACCCGTGGGGGCAGGACTTGAAGACGATGGCTTTGTTCTCGACCATTGTGAGTGTTGGTTGGGTGTTTTGGGGGGTTGTTGATTGGAGGTAATTGAATGAATTGGTGTGTGGGATGGAATTGTATGTAGGATATCGATGAGGACAGAGGAGGGGGATGCTTTATATATCTATCGGCCCATGAAGAATTCGAAGTACTTTCAATTTGTAAGGCTCGGAAAGATAGATGCTCCGTCCACCTTCAGCAGTGACAAGCTAATTCCATGGCGGGGGTGGGATGGGATGCCAGCTACCCTCAATCCCCGAAGGTTGTGGATTTGCAACGAAACCCACCTGGGAGCTTGGAATTGAGCAGAATCCTGGTAACGTCACACCTTTCCCAGCTGGGAGGGATTTCGTTCTGCGGTGTTCTGGCACCAACATTAGAAATCAGGAACGAATTAAACCAAGGAAGGGTTAGGGGAGAAGTGCAGTGGTGGGGAGACCTTGGCGCCTCGGCATACTGAGCGCTTGTGACGCTAGTTGTTGCCGGAACGCGTCCGATTGACGGAAGACCCGCAGTGGAGCTGAGATCCTGAAGGGTTCTTTTGGCAAGGGTTGGCCGAAATGCAGCAATCTCCTCCTCCTCCTCCTCCGCCTCCGCCTCCTGCTTCACCTCTTGAGTCTTCCTCGTGGTCTTACGTACGAACGCCTACTTGGAATCATTGAGGCAGTGGGAATGAATGGCCTGTGAATTGCACACACGATGGCATCTTGGTGTTGCACGTTTGTAAGCAGATTGATAGGGTGTAGATCCGAGGCAACAGGGGGCGGCGCTGCGGATGAATTCTGATCGAGAGTGAAGATGCAAAAGTTTACTATTCTAGTCTCTCAGAGGCAGCATTACTAGCGAGACACCTGTTATCACTCGCTCTCGAAATTAACCGCGGTCCTTCCTCTAAAACATGATCCAGTGGGGTAAAAAAGAAGGTTCCAGGAGAATATATTTATCGGCCAGCCATAGGTGCATGCGCATCTCTAAGATGAGGCTTTTAAAGTTATGATAAGCTCAGATGACCCTTCCAAAACATCTTTGAGAGGACACTCCGTCAGTATGCTGAGGACACTCCGTCAGTATGCTGAGGACAGCTGTGATATGTAACCATACATGTACTCTATACATCATTATTAAAGGCCCCAAATAGCCAAAGATCGCAGCCGTGCACTTTCCATGGCGCAGGGGCAGCGCCTCAAAATAGACTCCCGCCATTGACATTACAATGGCGCGATCTCGAGCAACAATCAGTGCTCTGTCTCTCTACCGTAGAGAAATGACGAAACCGATTCCACTCGCATCGACGTCTTACCAAGCATTTCCCACCGGCAATGACACCACCACCCCTACATGTACTCAGGTACCACAACCCCGTCCAGCAGTCGCAGTAGCAGCAACGTCGTCAACCACCCGATCCGGGTCCTACAGGCCCCTATATTCCTTTTTCCAACTAAATAATAATCCCCATCAGCCTCCCAACCGTAGTTTACTAAACGCCTCTCCTCCGACCCCTGCCGGCGCCCAGCCAACACACCCCATCACCACAGCAACAACAACAGCTCCGTCTCCCACAACCCCAAGCTCACACCTCACACACATCACTCACCCCTATCACCCTCGCCAGCACCCCCAAACCCAAAATCCAAACCCAAACCCACCACACAAACAACAATGGCATCGTGGCTCTACAACACCCTCCTCGGCGGCGACAACCCGACCCCGGGCGCCATCCGCCTCCCCGACAGCGCCTCCGCCCCAAGCAGCACCGCCCCCCCACCCTACACACGCACCAAGTCGCCGCGGCCGCGCGCGCCCCTCTCCCTCCCCGCTCTCGACGCCCTCCGCGGCAAGCGCGTCATCCTCGCCTCCGCCAGCCCGCGCCGCAAGCAGCTCCTCTCCCAAGTACCGCTCCCCCCCCCCCCCAAAAATCTCCCCCTATCCAACCCACCTGCACAAACTAACAGACCACAGATCGGCCTAACAGACATCGAGGTGGTGCCCTCCAAGTTCGCCGAGAACCTGGACAAGGCGCACTACACGCCCTTCGAGTACGTGCTCGCCACGGCAACGAACAAGTGTGCCGACGTGTACAAGACCGAGATCGACAACGAGGTGCTGGGCGAGCCGGCGATCGTCATTGCGGCGGATACGGTCATTGTCACGTATGATGGCGAGATCATGGAGAAGCCGCGGAGCGAGGAGGGGCACCTGGCGATGCTGAAGACGCTGCGGGACGGGATGCCGCATAAAGTGTAAGTGATCTTTGAAGAGGAAAGGGGGGGGGGGGGGGAGGATTGTGCTGATAAGAATGGCAGATATACGGCGGTCGTGGCGATGGTGCCGCTCGAGACGGTGGTGCACCCGGGGTATTGCCAGGAGAGCCATGTGGAGGAGACGGTGGTGGAGTTTGACAAGATGGTGACGGACGACCTGTTGGAGGCGTATGTGAAGACGCGGGAGGGCGCGGACAAGGCCGGCGGGTATGCGATACAGGGCACGGGCAGCATCTTGGTCAAGAGGATTGAGGGCACGTTTGATAATGTGGTGGGGCTGCCGCTGAGGGGCACGCTGAGGATCATTGAGAAGGCGATGAGTGCGGAGGAGATGCAGGAGGACGAGGAGGAGGAGATCGAGTAGGGGGGATGAGTAGATTTCTTGTCTCGTTTTTTTTTTTTGACTTTGGCTTTGGCTTTGGCTGTGGTATAAATTGGTGGGTATTAATGGATGTCTCTTTCCTGTTTCGTCTTTGTTTGCGTTTGTGTTTTGATTTTTCTCCTTTGGCACGTTCTCATGCATGATATAAAGTCCTCGACAGAGAGGAAGCTCTGAACTGTACACTTATAGACGTACTTTCATGTCTATCGTCATATCCTTCATCTGATATAACGTCCAAGTAAGTATAGTTGAAGATTTTTGGGAGTCGGCTACTAGGTCGTCCCTTCCCCTAGACATAATAATGTGTACGTAGCTTTGATGGACGCAACCCACCGTGTACATCCCCCCGATGCCGGATACCGCTAGATCGAAGACTATTATAAAGCTGTTCCCAACCAACGCCTTTACCCCAACCCACGATTGCAAACCTCTCCGCAGCTAACCGGACAGAAGCCGCCCTTCTCAACTGGACACCGGCCTCCTGGTAACGAAACCATGAAGGGACGGTGGATGGTTTAGTTAATTAGTTTATATTTACATTACCGGCACGTGATCGAGTGATTGCCTGTGATTTCAACCTGGTTGTGCCGCGAGGAGGAGTAGCGTTCTTATCAATAACACAATCTTATTTGGAACCAATTCTTATTGACGGCTTGCTAGGTGTGACATATCAAACCGAGAGTGGTCCCGCGCGCCTTTCGATTATATAGAAAGTCTTGACCCTTTTTTTTTTCTCCCGTGGAGGAAAGAGCTGGAAGATTCGTGCCTTGGGATCGAAGAAAGAATTAAAACGGCTCCGGGAAAGTTGCGTTGTGGTGCAGGTGGACAGACTAGGATAGTTGTGGGGAATGCGAGGACAGGTGGGGATACATGTAGTTGTGGGGAATGCGGACAGGTGGCCATGGTGCTTATGACGAAGGACAGGTCACAGTGGTCACGGTGTCCTCGCTACATGTAATTAGATTTGCCTACGACTATATGTATTTCTTGTGTCTCGCCTTCTTTACTTCTTAAGAATCTTAACATCAATGACTTACAACAAATAGCATTCAGCAACAAATGGTGTACAGCGACAGATGCCTAAAGCCCGCTTCCAACAGCATATGATCATTGCCTATCTCAACACCCACCGGAAGCTGCGGGTCTGAGTGGAGTTTCAAAGAAATATTATAACTATTCAACTTTTCAAATCTTCGAAATGTAAACCAGGTATTAGCTCTAGCGCTCTTCTGTTAACCTTCATAGTGTTGATGTAGTTTTACATAGAGGCCAGGGCTTATGAGTATTTGCATCGATATCTAAGGATTAAAATAGGCCTTGCATTGGGCCTGTATGCCCGGCCCTCTCCTTGGACCTCTTATTTTTGCACCCGGGCCCGGTCAGGTCTCGGAACGTTTGAGGCCCGGGCCGGCTAGGTAAAGAAGACTTGAGGGGCAGTAAGGGCGCGCGCAGATAGAACAGCAGCAACTCAGTGTTTAATATCATGGGACCGGGTAATGAAAAAAGGGATCGTTAGCGAAATTGTATACTCATTTAATTGATATTTTCTTCCCATACCCGTATCCAAGGAGGCCCAGGTCCGTCCCGGGCCTTTCTTGTTGGGCCCGGGCTCGGCTTTTCATACTCGGGCCGGGCCAGGTCAGAGGTAGTTGAAGGCCGGCCCATTTCCGTCCTTGTTTGCATCATCCTCAAATACTACATGTACATTACTCTATGAGATAAACCTAAACTGAGTTCCGCTCTTCTAGGCCTGGACTCGACATACATCTCGACTGTTGGTTTCGCTGTTTTTTTTTGCTCTCTTGATGTGCCGATCGTTAGTCACAGCCAGTCACTCGCCCAACAGGCCACGTGCTCGCCGAGCCGACTACACACGCAAGGATGCGGCACAACACACACCACCATACCGTTTTATCAAACTCGTAGCGTATCATAGGGCTGCATGTTCTCCACCCGGGCCCATGGCCATGACATCGGGGTCTCCGGTAAGCCTGCCAGCCCACTTATCCTAAATGGGGACAGCTTCCATTCCAACCACAATTAACCACTAGTGTATATCTGTGAAGGTACATGTATGTATTGGAGTTTCGAACTAGATTTAATATGGGAGGTGGGCCGGCATGGCCGGGATCAGGAGCGACAACTCATCCAGCTTGGCTCCAGCTTATTCACATTGGCGGGGTTGCAGTGGAGTGTGGCCTTCGCCGGATGAAATGGTGTTAGTGCTTCTAGGGTTCTATTAGATCTATAGAGGGGATTGATCTAGTTTCATCAAATCAGGTAAAAGTCTAAATCCACGATTTGAAGCTTTTCATGATATCAATTAACTTTAAAAATTGCCTCTTAAATTAAAGCAGAGCTTCGGGAATCTTCGATATCAACGTGTTTGGCAAGCGTTAAGACACAATTGCAACTCGATTACTGCTTCTGGTTGAGCCTAGTCACAGCCCACTCTCAATATGCCGAAACCACCTACCTGTTTCTGGGACCTGTCAGATATGTATGTTCCAGAGCTCGTATCAAGCCATGCAAGCTAGCTCTCGGGTAATGATCAACATCACGTAAAATCTTTAAAAAGGAACCCTACCCCCCCCCCCCCCCCCCCCAAGCTTCCGACACTAGCACCTCGATCAATTAATTAATTCAATATGGCACAAAATACGCACCCAGACCACTACACAGTCCTCACGAATAATACCCTTACGAAGGATATTACTCTCTTCATAGGCCTCGTTATCCCCAGCGTCCTCGACATCTCAAAGCTCAAAAATGCACACGAGGAGCTAGTCAAACACTGGCCCATTCTCGGGGGCACATTGGTCACCTCAGTATGCATCTCCCAATTATCCCTCTCTCACAGTAAGTAGACTCGGACTCACAAATAAAACTCTAGACCAAACCCTACTCCTTCACCACCGGCACCACCATTGACTTCCAATCCCGCACACTCCCCACTACCCTCGCCGCCACCCTACCATTCGACTTCCGCACCCCGCTGACCGCCTCCGCCCCATCGCCCACCCTCCATACCCACGCCGGCGGCGACCCTAAAGACGCTGTGTTCCACTTCGACAGCATGCGACCCATGAACAAGCTCCCGACCACATTATTCGCCCTACGCGTAACACTCCTCCAAGATGCAACCCTCCTCGGCTTCCGTGCGCCACACCACCTCGTCGACGGGAAAGGCATGTTCGAAATCGTGAATGCATATGCCACTACCCTTTCCCGGGGCGTTCAAAGCCTCCCGCAGCTCGTCCCGCCACCCGACGTGCATGTACTCCGCGGGGACGGCAGCGACGGGGTAAAGCTGAGCGGGTTAGTGGAGGGCAAGGATTATCTGCCAGAGACAGTGAAGGAGGGCGCGCGATTTGTAGATCCGCGGGAGAACTTCACGTTGGGGCTGTGGTCGTTGTTGATGTTTATTGGACGCTTGCTGGTGAAGCAGGTGCTGGGGCCCGCGGTGGGGTTGGGGGAGAAGGGGGAGGGTAGGTATGTGCATGTGTCGGGGGTGTGTATAGAGGACTGGATGAAGAGGTGTCAGGCGGAGCTCGATAAGGCTGCGGAGAGGGGGGAGCTGGAGGAGGGATCAGGGCTCCAGCTGACGAAGAATGATGTGCTCTCGGCGTATTGGTTGAAGGTAGATATTATTTTCCCTTCTATATCGTTTTCGGTGTTTTCGCCCGGTGTGATAGAAGTATAGTATGTAACCGTGACTTACTCGATACCGATACATCATAACAGGCAAACCACGCCGCCTTCAAGCCCGACAACGGCCCGATAGACCTCATGTACAACCTCAACTACCGCCCGCACCTCCGCCCCGCGGAAGCGGGAACCACCTACCTGCACAACAGCTACTACAACATCCGCGCCAACTTCCCCTCTCTTTCCGCGTTCCAAAAGCTGCCACTTTCCCGCCTCGCCCTCGAAATCCGTCTCTGCGTGCTGCGCAACAAGCAGCCCTCTGCCGTGCGCAAAACACTACAGTTCATGGAGGACACTGTGGATAAGGTGCTTTCGCCGGGGGTGCCCGGCGGCAGGCCGGACTTCTTGCCGTTTTTGAGTAGTTGGACGACCTTTGAGTATAATAGGTTGGACTTCTCAGGGGCATGCGAGGAGGGGGAGGAGGGGAGGGTCGAGTTTACGCATGCGTATTGTGGATTTCCGGGGGGGATTGAGATGAGGCCGTTTGGGGTTACGTTGAAGGACGGGAAGGGGGGGTATTGGATCAGGACTTGGTTGGGGAAGAGGGCGTGGGAGGGGCATGAGAAGGCGTGGGAGTTTTAATATCTCTTTTGCTGGGTTATCAAATAAACACATTATTCCATATTTGTTAAACATATATACGCAAACGATAAGACATAGAGTACTCTTTTCAAGTAATACTGAACCCAATATTCTCACCCCAAGCTACACTCAATACTCCACATGAAACTCCCGAAAACAAAACTCCTTACACAGACTCTCCCCGCAAAACTTACACTCAAACGACGTCCTCTGCACCCTCCCCCTCGGATGCGAGATCTTCCACCTCTCAAACAGCTCTGCATGCCGCTCCTTGTGCAGACGGATGTACCGGCAGAACACACACAGCTGGGAGCGCTGGTGCTTCGTCGAATGCACAAGGACGTGGTTGCCCGGTGTCAGCCGCCGCATGGGGAGCGCGTAGTGTTTGGAGATGTAGCCTTGCCCGCGGCTGGCGTGCGTGTTGCCTTTGGGGCAGGGGCGGTGGGGAAGGTGGGGTGAGGTGCTGGTGCGAGCCGGGGCGAGGGGGGGAGGGGGTTCGGCCGTGGTGGGAGCTGAGGTGGTGTCCGGGGGTTGGGACATTGAGATGGGTTTGATTACAAGGCCTTAGTGTATGTATTGAGAGTTGTGTGATTTCGTAAAATAGGTGGACGTCTCTGATCACCTCGAATAGACTTAGTAGCCAAAGTCCGAACCCATATATGCTTGCTGTTAGGTGGTTACTCTCAAGCCAATCTAGGTATTGGAGGTAGTCTTGAGCTCTTGAAAGATCTTATATCCAAGCTCCCGGCTTATCTAGGCCTCACAGTTGACCGTTGAATTCCCTCTTAACTTAATCAAATGGATAATAATGATATGATATCTCGAACTACAACCCGCGGGTTAACCGCCAGTTATAGAATAGTATTAGCACTGCCAGCACAATCATCATAGAGCCGGTGGGAATCTTACCTACCTTCGCAATCAGGTACAGTAATTGTCGTAGCTGTCGTTGTGAGAGGTGGTGAAAGAGGTGGTGAAAGATGATGTCATCAGCCACACGCCTAGCCTAGCCACTGTGGAGGGAACCTCCGCTCGAGTGATGGGCTGTGATTAGCGTAAACCGCAAACCGGTGCCGTGTTTTCAAAATCTGGTCGCACGGCCGCGTGTCACCGGTCTATGTGTATGGAATAAGAGTTTGTTCTTTTTTTTAAACGACGCGACTCAGTCGTCCTCTCTTGGGCCGGGGCGGAAAAACGCGAAGTCTTATTGAAGAATATCTAGGCCAGTCTATCTCTTCATCTAGGCATCTACGTTCACTTCCCAAACACCTTGAGCGATGCTCACTTTCTATCGGCTCAATTAATGAATTAAACAAAAAAAAGAAAAACTTTCTATTGGCTGGTTTGAGGATTGACGAACGTACAACCGGCCACCAACTTGAACAACGGCCCTGAGTAAGGACAGCTAGCACTAGATTCAGATCCTGGGCCAAGGAGCCAAGAACATCCTATTCTGGTGACGATTCCTTCCTTCACTACATGTAGTCTTACAAGCTCTTACACCAAGTACTAACAAACATTCACGTCTTCTTTACCGTACCAAAGCTTCCATCAGCTGGTTTCTTACACAGTAAAACCACCCCGAAGATTTCACCACAGAAGCGCTCTCATGCTTTGACAATAAGAAGACTAATCGAAGTTAACAGAAATACCAAGGCGGCTACCATATCGCACTCAAAGCCTCCTGCGCGCCTTTTCTGCTGATACATGTACCCCCGGTCTCCGTCCAAAGGCAGGTTTCACTGTACTTCCGCAGTATAATTCCCGGCGCTTAGTTCTCCTACGGTGCTAAGTTATCAGCCACTCACGTACCCAGGCCTGCAAAAGCTACTGCTCTCTAAGATGACGCAGTCATTGCGCACAGCAGAGATCTATGGCTAGATGAACTGAAAAGAATAAGCAAAGGATGACGACAGTCCTAATCCCAAGTGGGTTACTTTATAGGATGATAGCAGATAATGGCATCAAGTACGATCTTCCACGATATGCCCCTGTCAATAAGCTTCAGCCTTGTCTTACTAATATCAGCACCTTGTTTGCGATGACCCGGAAACACGGTCGCGATGAACTACATCCTGGACCCTGTTCTGGCCAGCATCACCAGATTTACTTCATCGTTTACCGCCGACTTCAGTATGTCTTCTCAGTGTCCGTCCATTTACCGAACGATCTCACGCAACGGCTGAATCTAAATAGCCTTCTATCTACTGAGGCCTTCCATGGAACTTTTGAAACCCTGTACTGTCCCAATGAGGATACCGAGTGACGCCCCATGACCTGTCCGATCAAGACGTCATATCACCCCATATGGCTCTAAGAGTGATGGTCGGGCAGGACCCTGAACATCTTGTACAAGAAAGACCCTGCAGTGCCATCTAACGAAAAAAGAACGCCTTCCAGAAAAATTTTTCCTTAAACATAGAAAAACTCAGCCACCACCACGCCGCCGCCATCACCGCCTCCTTGAATTTGCAATCAAGGTCACGTGATAGGCAGATTGCAACCCACCCTTCTACCAGATAATGCGATGCAGCCTTGAGAGGCGAGACAGAGAATGGTGGTGTGCAGCTCCAGACGTTGAGCCTCCATACCTGCACAGCCAAGCCACACGAGCTGAGAATGAAGAATAAAATAAACAAGCCCAGTAAGGCAGCTACAATTGCGAATGACGAATCGCGAGCTGCGAAAACCGGCTTTTTGTCTTCAAGACAGACGAAGGTTCAAAAAAACCCTCACACACCACACGAGCGAGAGCAAAAAAGATGGGAACGTTGCACAATGCCCCCATCGCAGATCCTCCCATGCGTGGGGGGGTTGCGGTAACCGGTGTGGCATGTTGAACCCCAGATGCTCCATGCCACCAAAACCCTAAGCGGAAAGGGTTGAAAATGAACCAAGCCGTCTCTAAAAAAAATCTTGGTTTTCTGATGTTTGATAGACGCTGCAAGTTCTCTTCTCTATTTTTTTTCCGAAACCGTGGCCCCCCCCGATGTCACGCATCTAACTGGTTGCTGTTGCATACGCGAGGAAACACAATTTACGGCCTGAAGTACCGTAGAGTGCCTAGCCTAGCTAAAGTGCCCATGTCCCAGTGCGCTGGATGAGCTACCGGGTGTCTCTTTTCCACCCTAGACCGAACTAGAAGGCTTCCCCGGGAACTCACATTCAAGTTCTAGCAAAGTCTATCTATCACTCTAGAAATACCCATACCTCCTGGTACTCTACTTTACTCAAACCCCCCCGCCGCAGATGATGCAAATTTCCATGCACAATATGTAATATCCAGGAACATTTTTACCGTATATGACGACTTCATCTCGGGTATGAAGGGCGTGCATAACTACCGGTAGGTACTACACTCACCCTGACTCCTGCTTCTCTTGAAAACACACCCTCAGGGTGTATGTAGGTATTTACCGTCGTAAATAAGCAATCAAACTCGCAGAAATAAATGGGTAAAATACTTACCTACTCTACACTGGCTCGGGAACGGGACGGGTCTCACCGTCCTCTTGGTCAACGGCCGTTAACTATCATCACCACGGAGCCCCGTAAGGTTCAAGCGTGGAGAGTACCGGCATCTAGCTAGCTTCTTGAAGTACTAATTCTACGGCCCGAGTACCTGCTGTCGAGGGAAGGTATGGGATGGATCACAATTTCGTTGGTTCGGAAACGTCAAAAAAGAAAACCATGACTCCCCCAAGAAATTTTAAAGGGGAGGTAGGGGGGCAGGGCGACAAAAGGCCCGTGAACAAACGAAAAGAACGCCCCCCCTTCTTCTTGTTCTAGAAATACCATCTGTCCACCCCCGGACTTATTCTTCTTGTCGGGTCCTATGATAAGATAGGTAGAGTGGGTAGGGTATGTGCTCTATGTTTTGTTTTTAATTTCCGGGAGGAATACTGGGGGGTGGGAGCTTTCAACGGTTCTTGAAACGATACCAGGTGCGCTTTTGGGGACTGTAATTTGCTAGCCAGGGAAATGCCGTCATTGGGTATTGAAATCCATGGTAGAGTGCCTCTGTCGGGAGGGGGTGGGTATCAACACTCAGGAACAGAGGCAACACACCCCAATGAAGCTATTTTAATACACACGTTGGGATGAAATGCCACCGGGAACTTATCGTCACCAGCGTCATCATCATCATCACAGCAAAAGGAGGTGAATTTATATTTTCTGTTGGCTGGCGCGCGACACCGACTGCACGGCTCTGTTCTGTTCGAAACACATAGTTCAACCCAGAAAGGCAGGCTTCGAGAAAAGCTGACACGTTCGCTCGCTGGCTTGGGGGTGGGTGGAAAATAGGGGAAGAAGAGGGTGGGGGCACGAACTAACCATATTTGGTCCGACAGGCGATAAGGATAAGATGAGGGAGGGGAGAGGTGCCAACGAACTGGAAACCTGAATCGATTTCGATTCGAGGCGTGTTCATCTCAGAATGTTTTACCGACGGGGTTGGGTTTGTTCGCCTTACGTTACGTTGGCTGAGGGAAGGTGCATTAGAGGGGGTGGAATCGGCAAATCAAGCCTAGCACTGACTGAATGACTGACTGACTGGCTGACCCCAGCCTGCGTAGTACCTATCTTATCTCACTCACCATCCACTTCAGTTCAGTTCAGGTGAGGTGAGGTGAGGTGAGGTTGGTAGAAACCCGTTCGAGCACAATTCTCAGTCCGTGCCAGTGCCAGTGCTTCTTCTGTCCGCTGTTGCCTGAGAGAAACTATGGACATACTAACTGCTTTACAGAGAGATTCTGAGTAGGAGAGAAACCAGAATTCCTTTTTTCCCCCCTTCTGCAACCGCGTTGGGAACAGGCTTGGTAGTCCGTGCAGGGTGAATGGGCCATTTCCCCCATCGGGAGCGTAACACCGGCCTGCGCCACGACGGTGGGAGTGGTGGCAATTACTCACTCACCCCAGGGCTGCTAAAAGTGCGTTGTTAGGCTTCCATTGGAGGTGTGGTGTGTGTGGTTGTGAGTGAGTGTGTGTGTGGCAGCCCTGCAAGGGTCCATCTGGCATACGGCTGCAGACATGTCAGCATGTGGACACGACGGTGACAACCAGCGGGAGAGGCACAGGGTTGGAGGGGATTGAGTGGGTAGGTAGGGCAGGGTTGGGGGGAGTACCTATGAACCTAGGAAGAGTGGAGTGGAGTGGTGGTAAGTGGAGAGTGGACTCAGTAGCACTTGCAGGGTGTGTGTTCGGAGAGAAGAATCGAAGAAGAAGAGAATTTCGAGGTGTGGGTGGTAGGGAAGGTTGTGGTGGGTGTGGGTGTGTGAGAAAAAACTGGGAAGGCTTAACGGGGTCGGAGCGCAGCATCTTCAGGTACTTAAGGTTACGCATCCCCCGCCCTGCTGCCGCCGCCTCGCGAATCTACAAAAAAGCTCAACTGCCCTTCGGACTTATTTTTGGGTGCAATATCAACAAGGTTATACATAACACATAACACACAAGACACACATAACACCGAACGATTCGGACATATAACAATCTCGTCAGCCTCGTTTTTAGCTTATCAAAAACATATATATCAAAAACAA